AAAAATTAAAAAAAAAACGACGCACAGTTAAACAAGCATGCAACAGTCTAATTGAAATAATAAGTTTCACCCCCTAAAATTTTTAGTGAATTTTTATATTTTTATATTTTTACAGAAAAATTCCTATCATATTAAAGAGATGCCCAGGAATGTCTCAAGGATCCTCTTGTTTGTTTTTTTAAATCAGAACTGACATTGTATACGAGAATATTATCGGTGAAATGTTTAGAGTGTTTGTCAATCTTGTTTTGATTTCCAGTTGTTTCAAATCCCCATTGCTTTTTGTTTTCTTTTCTGAGATAGGTTTTCTCAAAACAGCTATTTAACACGAATCTTATTTCCAAACATGATCTTAACCGATAGTTCTAATTTTAACAAAAATATTTGTTTTTTTTTTTTCTCCACCACGTAACGTAGAAAATTCATGACCCAATACAAATTTTTGTATTCCTTACATAATTAAGGGAGCTCGGTGATTAGGACTCACTGTAGAATGTTTTTTAATTATTTTTTAATTTGCGATACACCCAATAAAAGTAAGCTATGATATGAAATTAAGTAGCATTTAAGGTATGTGGAATACTTCAGAATTAAAAGAAAACAATCTCCTGTTCAGGAATTTAACTGAATGAAGAAAGAATGAAGATTTTACAAAATTAGTACGAAAATCAATAACAGAGTTAACGTTAGAAACTGGGGCATGTTGATTTTGTTTGGCAAAATATATCATTGACCCTCGTTTGAAATGAAGTTCGCTATATTTTCACAACTGTAAGATATATCTCCCAGTTGGTAAACATTTGATGTAGGGGCCAAGGGATTTGGTAAATCCGCTCCAAACACAAATAAACAAATCCCTCCACCAATACGTCACAAAGACGCAATAGGAAATCTCGCTTTTTTTCCTCCATTATCGGCACAAAAATCTAATTATTCGGGGTTTTTTTTTATCGATATATAATTTACGTATGCCGCTAAAATATTTCAACTTACAACAATGCAAGTATTTATTGTATATTTGTTCATAGAACAATGATGATTGAGATATATACATGTACACGCAAAAATTTTGTTTGTGTGTATTGCCTAATTTTGAAATACCGAATTCAATATCTACAAAAATGTAAAATATTTTGATTTTTTTGGTATGGGTAAAGAATGAGAGGTTGCATTGAAATTCTAATAGCATTTTAAGGTTCATCGATACTCTGATAAGAGAGATCAAGTTGAAATGTCTTTTTTATTTAATTTTGCCCCGCAAGCTATGGTATAATTGTTTGTATTTTACTTATAAAAACATTTCTTTCGGAAAATCATAAAAATTAAAGCAACATTTTATATGAATGAGCAAAGGGTTTATGAACCTTAAACGCTCTATTGAATGTTATTATAAATACTGCCAATGTGGCTCGTGATTTCAAATCTTAGTCGGATCAGACCCGGAAAAAAAGATCATTTCAGAAAACAAACAAGATATGTTTATGAAACTCTGATGACCCGTATGGCAGCTCAAGGTCAATGTTTAAGATTTTTTTCAAACGTAGGAGAAGGTCATGAGGTCAGAAATATTGGTACCAAAGAAAAGGTCTTGTCACAAGGAATAAATGAGTGAAATACGAAAGCCCTAGCACCAACCGTTCAAAAGTTATGTCCAAGGTTAAAGTTTTTCAAAGGTAGGTCAAATCCCAAAGTCAAGGTCAAAAGGTAAAAAATGTTGGTACCCAAAGAAAGGTCTGATCACATGAAATATGCAAGTAAAATATAAAAGCTCCAGCAGCAACCGTTCAAAAGTTATGGCCAAGGTTTAAGTATGGCAAGATTTTATAAAAGCATGTCAAATTCCAAGATCAAGAGGTCAAATATGTTGGTACCAAAAAAAAAGGTCTTGTCACAAGGAATACAAATATGAAGTATGAAAGCCCTAGCACCAAACATTCAAAAGTTATGGGCAAGGATATTTTTTTTGTGGACAGACAGACAGACGGACGGGCAGACCAAAAACTATATGCCCCCCGAATTTTCGATTACGGAGTCATAATAATACGGAAATGGTCGATTGACTCAATGGGTCATTCATGGTACTACAGATGAGAGGTATCTTGCCACAACAGACATACTGGCTTACATTTTAAGGAGCACAAAAGACATTGACCTGAGCTTGTACGACAACCACATAAGCTTGTGATAGTATTGCTAGCATGTCACACTTCAATACAATCGATGAACCCATCCTCCTTTCCAGACTGTAAAAATCCTCCAAACAAACTGAAAAAAATGTCAACATTCGGGAGAAAATGCATTCATGCAAAAGCTACTTTGTTAGAACGTTTTAAAAGACCTGTCACGGATTTCTTTCTTTGAAATACACTGCAGCTCGTATCCAGTTTTCAAACAAGTATATCAAAAATTATAATAGATGAAAGTTTTCTATAATTTACAAATAAATAAATAGATAAATAAAATAAAACAAAAACAAACAAACAAAAAAAAAACCCAAAGAAATAAAGAAAAAGAAATGGCAGACTGGAAAGTTATGATAAAGAGATGAAACGTTCTAACAAAGTAGCTTTGGCTTGAATGCATTTTTACCCGAATGTTGATATTTTTTTAGTTTGTTTGGAGGATTTTTTAAGTCTGGAAAGGAGGAGGACGATCAAACTCATCTTCGTATGACATCAAACGATTGCCAAAATCTAAACAACGCAGTTCAAGCTTTGTGTATGTTTTCTCTTTAAGGAGTATCAAACTCGGCGGAGAGGTTACAGAGATAATCCATTAAGTATACCGAACAGCTATTAAGTTTTCCTCGTATTCTCGCTGTAGTAATAGTTAAAAAAAAGTTTGTTCCAGATTCTTCAAGCTGTTTTATCCCGAACTTTTCTGCTGCCAGTAATTTATCTCACCTCTGGTTAATTCCGGGAACTTGTCGTGTTCCCAACTCTGAAAATGTCTTTTAAGAACCACCTATAATCGGGTAGGGTGTTCGATATATGGTGCAATGTTGTTTGGGCGTGAAACAAACCACAGGAAGTTTTAGCCATTCATCTTCTCATTTTTCATGAGCAACATTTCCTTTCAAGTGAAGGCCTTAATTGCAAGATACATTCAAATATTTCTTTAAAGTTTTTATTCGGAAACCTTGAATAGTTTTTTTTTCTTGTCTATGGTGCAAAGAAAAATGTACATTTAGGTGCTGAATATATAAATATATCCTTTCACTTGCTGAAATCTGAAAAAAAAAAATCGGAAGTAATTGGTAAATGCATGTAATCATTCCATCTTCCCAGTATCCAAAATTGCCAAATTACCTCAATAACGTATGTGTTTCTAAGCGATTTCATAATAATATATATTCAATGCTGTAATCGTTGAAATGATTACGTTTAGCAATTTTTATATCCTTCGTAATGGAAGATTGGGGACATTTATTTTTGGTCTGTCTGCCTGTCTGTCAGCAAAACCTTTACCTAGCCCATAACTTTTGATTGGTTGGAGCTAGGGCTTTCATATTTCACATGTGTATTTCTTGCGAGAAGACTTTTCTTTGGATTCCGACATATTTGGCCTTTTGATCTTGACCTTGGAGTTTGACCCACTTTTGCAAAATTTAAGCAAAATTTTATCTTTGCCATAATTATTGATAGGCTTTCATATTTTATACATGTGTGTCCCTTGTGGTAAGATCTTTCCTTGGATACCAACATTTTTTTTTACCTTGACCTTGGAGTTTGACCTCCCTTTTAAAAACTTTGGGGTTTGATCTACTTTTGAAAAAAAAAACTTTAACCCTGGTCATTACTTTTGAACTGTTGCTAGGACCTTTTGACCTTGGAGATTACCTACTTTTAAAAAAAATAACTTGCAATTGGCCATAATTTCTGAGCGTTTGTGCAAGGGCTTTCATATTTCAGATGTATATTCCTTGTGACAAGACCTTTTTTTGGGTACATGTACCAACATTTTTTCCCCTCTTAACCTTGACCTTGGAGTTTTGACTTGCATTTTAGAAACTTCAACCTTTACAGTGAGCTGTAATACGGGGGCGTCAGTTTTCACAAAGATATCTTGTTTTTTTTTTTTTTTTTTTGTTTTTTTTTTGTTTTTTTTTTTTTGTTTTTGTTTTTTTTTTTCTGATGCTACTCATCTTTTGAAAATTACATAATTTCCTACTATGTATGTATACGTGTCCTTGAAATATTCTTATATTTTATTTCTGAATTCATTACATAGATATTGTGGTGTGCTTTGTGATCACTTATGTTTATAAAAGTGCCAGTCTGAACTACCCCGGTATATAGTCGTGCACTATAAACAAAATAGACATGAAATGTTTCACTGTCATTTATGCTTTTGGACCCTCTGACTGATTTTCATTCGAACAAACCTTAACAAACCATGAGAGAGAGAGGTTTCATTTAAAATTTAAACTTAATCCTTATCTGTAATTATTTGGATACATATTATTTATAAATATTATCAGGACCTTGATTTCTAATGCGTACAATGTGTTAGGAGTTTCAATATAAAGGTTATCGTATGTGAATAAACTTAAAATGTCTCACACAGTTACAGACCGAGTATAATGTATAGGGGAAATATGAATTGTTTGGCTTTAAGACAGAAATCACTAATAATGCCCAAAGACGAAAGTTGATGGTTACATTTTTGTCTGAGGGTTCAAAAAAGTCATGTTGCCCAGTTCTTACCTCCACTTACCGACGTGTTTGCTGACAATCTTTCTATCAATGAACAACTCGTGAGCATTCAGCGTACATGTATACTTCCGTCTTGCCGAAGATTTACGACTTTTTATAAGCTGTGACACAGGCGGTCCAATAATTATGAAGTTGAACTGATAATGATGTCTCAAACAGGCCAATATCAAAACCAATACAGACATCTCCCCTCAAATTTAACTGGACTATTTATCTGTATATAGTATTTGTACAGTGAAATATTCATAATGATCTACAATTAACCCATATAATCTATTTTTTTAGGTAATGGGGACAAGAATTCATGATCCTTTGTTCCATTATGAGACCCATTTTCCAGAGCGACTTTCCCGTTTACATTTGACACCCGATCTTGGGCCCCAATCCCCTCAGAGGCGAAATCGACGGACAAGGTCGTCACGACAGGATGTCCGGTATAAAACACAACCAGTGACCTTTGATGAGATTCAGGAAGTAGACGAAGAAAATGTTCACGAGGAAAAACCATCTGAAGAAATAAAATCCATGCAGGCATTCTCAAGGTCTATGGATGGTCTCTTACCAAAAGTTGGAGCAAAAGCTGACAAGAAAATTTCCACAAAGGCCGAATCACGTCTTCAGGGAACTGCAGAAGACGGACAAGACAAAGAAAACGTTGACAAACCTGTAGCTGGCAAACAAACGAACAGTAACAATTCCGGTTTGCCGCCAACAGGGCTGTCACGTGACCCAAGACGGCAAAGGATGACGGCAAAAGCGAAACGCCGACAGATGATGGCAGAGGCCAGGGAAGGAGAATAAAATACGTGATGTTCAGAAATTTATTCTTCTATTTCTTATATTCGTACGTTGTAAAGAATTTTGATATATGGTATATTTTGTGATATCGACTTATTTCATTGACATGCACGTGCTTTGATGGAGATAAGTGTATACCTTGATGATTTGGTGAATTCGTGGTTTTTAATGGCCGTGTACAGCAATTTGTTTCTTTATAACTGTGCCAATGTTATCGCCATTTCATTGATGTTAATGGGGGAAACAATTTCGTTGATGAATATTTATTTGTTTCGGACTCAGCCTCGAAATGTTGTACATGTGTGCTGAGCATTGTAAAACATGAGTGCGAATCATGAATTTATATAATTATACAGAGCTGACAGCATCAAACACAGTGTATGATTTGTCGTTTAAAATTAAAAACTCGAGCTATGCCTTCTCATGTCTTTGTGATCTATATACTAGTAATGCTCATCAAAATACAACGTAGCATTTTTCTTCAAACAAAGATAGGAATTTAAACCTGGGATCATTGACGACAAAAAAGAAAACTAAAATTTATTTTATTTTATTTATTTTATTTTTCAATTTTAATTTGAAACCATTCTCAAAAATTGCGTTATTATTTACTAAAGTATAATAATAATGTAAACACATTAATAAAGTCTTTTAATAAATTGGTATGAACACTTCAATGTGTGACACCTTCACAATACATCAACAAGTAAATGATTGACGGTATCAAATAATTGAAATTCCACTTCACTTATGACTTATCAGAACCTCTTAAAAACAAAAGCCATGTGATGTTCGTTTCGACAGCGACCATACAAAGCGCTTCTTGGTATTTTTCCAATCGACTGCGAGCTGAGTGCATTACTGAGCTTTCCAGAACTTTGCGCGTCCAATGCACGTGTGGCTAATTAGAGGAGACTTGGAATCATCGCTATGGGTTTCCAGCTCCAATAATGGGTTCACATACAATACAGCTTAACAATGTTTAGCAAAAAATGAATAAGTTTTGTTTCTTGAATATCGCTTTCAAGCATTTCTTATAGCAAATAATGGAAGAAAAATAAACAGTTTTTTAGCCCCATGTGACAGCTATTTTTCTATCCATTTTCGATTTTCAAAGGCTTCTAGCTGATATTTAAAAAGATAGTAAAACGATTTTAAAAAGTTCTCTTAACTATTATCCCGGTAATCAAGATTTTCCCATGCAACGATGAAAATTAGAGTCCAATTTATTGTACATGCAACCTTTCTGAAGTATATTTAAACATTTCCGATCTGCTAAGGTATACCTTTAACATCGTCAAAATTCTATGACTAAAAGGAAGACTTAAAGGCTTATAATCCTATGAACAAAAATATTCATAATTAACAAAATAAGTAAATAAATAAATAAATAATAATAAAAACCTGACCTCCTTCTCTTCTAATAACAAATTTGACGCCTTCATCGATCACTGTTCTTATATTTCCATGATACTGTAAACTTCGTGTACAGTATTATGGTGTAAAGGTTGCTCGGTAACGAATTTCAGACTCTCCTTCCATTTATTGATTAGTAATGTATACCATTGCATAATATTTTTAGAAGTAAAAAAATAATCAGTTTGCACAAAGTATGTTTCATTTGACTGTCTAAATAAAAACAATCAGCATTCTATCAACCCCTAGATCTCCCTATATATATTTTATCCTGCAGCAATGATCACGGATTTTGATGTCCGCATGTACCTATGACGTAATCGTGCTTCCAATTCAAAGACGGCAACAGTAGGTGGGTATAATGATAGAATCTAAGTGAAAGTAATATGATGCATATTTTTGAATACTGGTGGAGATAACCGGGCTATATCAATATATTTCTAAGAGAACACCGCCCCTGTGTTCAGCAGTTCCTACATAGCATATAGAGGTATGCAGTCAAATATGCATGTGTCATAAAAATAACATCTGTTTGTCGGTGCATTTGCCAGAAATAATAAGAGTGACATTGAATATGCAGATATGAGGCATGTTGATAAATATCAACATCAGTTCTACATGTCTAAACAAAGAGATTTGTAGTTAACAAATTATCAGAATGTTTGCATGGGAGTTTATTCGAATGCTTCGGGAAAAGTGCATCTGCCGGAGTACCCATAATATATAAAAGTACTTGGGGCTAATCTGTCGTTATCAGGCACGTAGTATATCGTTTTGAAGGGGATAGGATCAGAAAAAAATATTTTGACAACTTATCTGAAAAATTTTTGACAAGCAAACATAAAAGGTATATTGTCCAGACTTCAAAAATCAAAATCCTAGTTCGTGGGTGGGAAGGGGTTACATGTATCTGCAGGAGTGTATGGGGGCAAACGGGGAGGGGGGGGGGGCAACCAGCCTTTCAATGAACATTTTCAACAGTAAAAAGTTATGTTTGGAAAAAGTTGGGGGGAGGGCAGCCCCCCTCCTCCCCCACCCTCGATACAACGATCCTAGTTATGGTCCTTGGAATTGGAAAAAGAATTTTGAAATTATTTTCACTGATTTACAAAGTCAGTTAAAAAAAAATATTTGAATGTAACACGGCTGATTAAGGACAAATCATGCAAACAATTTTTTTGTCAAAAATCATGAAAAAAAACAAAACAACTATAAAGCCTTAAACTTAATCGGATGTTCAGGTGATTGTATAAAAATGCTGAAGACTTGCATGTATCGACTGTTTCATGTAGTACTTGAATATAGTTGCTGTAAAATTTGGTTGGCAAATATTTGTATGGAGCCTACGATTTATTATGCACATAGCAACTGGGTAAAGTAAACATCAGAATCATATTGCTTCTGCAACAGATGTTATTTTAATCGAATTGGAAAAAATGACGTTAAAAGGAAAATAACTCTAATTATGTTTACCATATACATGAATCTATATACATGTAGTGAATGTTAGGTAATAAAACAGTTATTTAATGTCTGATCAGTCAATAGACCAGAATATTTTTCCCTTAGTGCTGGGAACAGCTCAATGTGTTCTATGGCCGTTGGCCTCGGGCAACAGAACACATTGAGCTGTTCCCGGCACCTTGGGATAAAATATTCTGGTCTATTGACATTAAATAACTTTATAATATTTTATACCAGCACTTTCTGTAGAAAATTAGAAAATGTTCTCTCTGTCTCTTTATTACAGACTTCCTGCATTTCTGAAGATAGTAAAACTGACTTTTTGCTTATGATTGCCCATTTCCTGTACATGAGCAATTCAGGTTTTGAAAATTCGATTCGGACCCAGAGATGCCTAAAAAATGAGACAAAAATAACTTATCTTATTAATTAAATGTTCTTCAAAGACCAAGAGATGCCAATGTGAGAGGTTACAATATGGGGTTAAATAAAGTACAGAAGCTCTTATAGTTTGATAATAGTCTACATGGTGATAGTATAAATGGGGGACAGATACGTAAGAACTTAATGTATGAGTTGTTACTGAATACTAGACTAATTATTAACTGATCCTTATATCACCCTATTTCTCTTGCTTTTGGGCAACAAAGCTTCATCTATCAGTTTATTTTATACTCTGTGGATCCTCTAAATTGTTGTATTATACTCATGTGACCGTTAAGGCCCTTGGGCCTCTTGTCAATTTTAGGCATCTCCCTAATACATGTAATATATTGGGCATTGCATAGGTGTTGCATCTACAGATGCATAGTATACGGTACTATCACTCGGACCATTTTCAGGTGTCTTAAGTTCTATGCGTAGCATAACCAGTTTTGCAAATATACATGTAGATGTTACATCTAAGGAATAGGGATGCATACTACCAGTCTCGTTTCGGATATTGTATATGGCTACATAATTATGTATTTTCTGGATAAGTGAAAAGAAAGTTTAGAGAGTACTTTCCTCCTCTAGATGTCACTGAAGATCCTGCATCTGACATATTCTAACTGCATGGATAATATAATGTTAACATTTCTAAGAAATGATATTACAGGGTGGTCCAAAATATCTGATACTACTAGTACTATAATCCTTAAAAAAAAATCTTTTTTTAAAACCCAATCTAAATATTTAAGGAATGAATTCAATAGCTACCCAAGTTATACTGGGTTGGGACAGTTTACGCTTTATAAACCGCGAAGCGGTTCATAAAAAAGCGTAAACTGTTCCAACCCAGGTTATACTAGTATAACTTGGGTAGCTATTAAATTCATTCCTTATGATTTTATTTTCCATCATTAAGTGTAAAAAATTAGACAATTTCTCCTTCAAAAATGCCTTCATATTGTACATATTTTAAATGTAACGTCAAGCGGATTGATACGTTTTTGACGTGAGTCATTGTGACATAGGCAACCCAGGTTATGATATATATTCTAATTTTTATATACAATCAAATGACGCGTTACAAGCAAAGTGAAATTTTTGTGCAATAAAATAAAATTAAGATTTATACACAGACTCAGCCTTAAAATTCTCCGCTACAGTTTGTACATAAGCCTAAAATGTTTGCTTTAAAAAAAAATATATTTACATGGCCCTACAGAAAATTTAATTATTTAAAAAAAAAAACTTTAAGTTAAAGACTGTGTGCAATATCGAATTTGTCTTGCTTCGTATTTCATAGCATATTCTAGCAAATCAAAACACAATGTCGGGAATTCATTTCTCTTCCCTATGCCACAGGAACCCTATGTATACCAAATGAATGCTAAAAGATCATGTGAGGAATCAATGAAATTTTCACTTTTCAAGTGCTCCCAGATTCCTATTTACTAAATCCAAATCAAATACCCTAGTTCTTTCATGCCATACCTTCGTTGAAAACATTATTTGTATTTCGTGTTGTAAAGCAGTTGCAGTAAACAGTTGGCTGTCTAAAGGATTAGAAGTCGCAGTCAGCAGTTGGCTGCATGTTAAAATACTATGTCTATATAATATGTTTTTCCCCTTCCACCTAATTATCACCTGAACTGAGAATTTGATATCTTTTGAAAAAAAATCATTCTTTCTCTTTGTTTTTTTTTTTTTTTTTTTTGTTTTTGTTTTGTTCTTTTTTTTTTTTTTTTAAAGTTTTGGTTATCCTTTAGTAGAGTAAATTTCATAAAATTATTTATAGAAACCCTCTTTACGAATATATAATGCGCAAGTTAAGCAAAAATAAAAATGGCGACCTACATCTTACGCCGAATGCATTATCAAAAATTGCACAAATTCTACGTTGTTTTGAATAGGTATGTTATGACAAGTTTGTTTTGGGGTTTGAGGTGTAATTTTATTATTTTTTGCCAAGATGATTTAATAGTGTATATCATTTTATCGTCGCTAACAACTAATTATTACAATTGATGAGGAAATTCGAGATGGTAAATGCACACGTGAAAATGTAATATTCAAGATACCTTGAAAATGAAGCTTAGTCTATTTGCAATGTGAATTGCAATCAAGATTATCCTTTTGAAAATGTTTAGCTGTGGTATTTGTTTTCCAATAAATTAATAATTTGTTCATTAACACGTTTAAAAGAGTTTAGAGGTCATTAGCCTACATAATATGTATTATACAAGAAAAACTTGTTAATCAGAAGTTGTTCCTTTATAAGTAATTTGATGCAGATATATTATATTTATAGCCATAATAAATATTTTCATTTTTTGCACTGTAAAGAATGAGTGCACTTTAGAGTGTCATTTGGAGCCTTTTCGGCCACCCATTTTAAGCCTTAAATAAGACTATATTGCTAAATTAATCTATGATTATTGTGCATACATATGCTTTTGATATTTATACTTCGAATATTTTGTTAAACATATTGCTATAATTCCACACAACGTCATTGAAAAGAACATGTATAAGCCTTAAATTACGAAAATTTGAACTGGACCACTTTCGAATTTAAGGTACCAGCAAATGGGCGGAGATATTTAAATCGCATGGAAGTGGAATGTAAACATTTCCACATTATTTCCAGATTGATTCTACAGTATGAATTTAAATGGAGGAGAGAAAGATTGTGTAGTTTCATGATTCACACAAATAATAAACGAATCATGGCCATACATATTGATCATTTTCACGATTTGTATCCATATGTTTGATGCCTAGCACTGAATTAGATCAATCTTAAGTTTTCGTATATGATAAAAAATGCCCTCTCTTTTTTCTTTAGCTTTTTCATTGTTCGTTTATATGCTGAATGCTTTTCAATTCAAAGAATGAATGTATGTTTTAAGAAAGATTCACATGTACATGACTTCGATGTCACGTACACTACATTTAATTGTAATTCACTGTACATGTAGTACGTATAGAGTAATACAAACGTGTAATGAAACAAATTATACATGTATGTACAGGGGTAGACAAATAGAATTTTGCATTACTTGCCCTCGGACAGGTTACCATCATAAAATTACTTGTCCTACCAAAAAATTTGCTTGTCAGACCTGTTTCTTAATTTAAACAAAATCATTAACATTAAATTATTTCTCAACTGAGACACTACACGGGAATCAACCTAGATCTAAAATCACTAAATTCTCCCAGATTTCTTTCGATATTTTCAGGGCATTGGTAAAGTCAAAGTTTCATTCTATTCTCAAAATTCTTCAATAAGATACTCCATATACTTTCTTTGAATAAACTTAATGAAAAAGGTGAAGATGATCTCAAAAAACCTACAAACGAGACAAATCTGTGAACACTACTGCATGCCGATTGAGCTATCGACTTCATGACTATGTGATTGCCAATCAACAACCAATTTTAATAACAGTAGCACGTCTGTATTCACAGAATGAATTTAATATTTTGTCAATAAAAAAAGTCTAAAATCCAATTCAATTTTTTTGACGACATCGAAAGATGTCATGTTTTACGACTTGTGTTTATTTTAACAACACATTCATGGGTAAATTGTAGAGAATTCATATTCAATAGTGGTCAACAGCAGCGAAAACAGATGCTTTGTTGTGATTCATGATATTTTAAAAGCGGTAACACAAAAGACATATTGAGTATATGATTTTTTGTAAATGGGAAAAAGCACTTGTCCGCGGGCAGGCACCACTTATCAAATAACTTGCCCACTAAACAAAATTGGTTGTCCCGGGCGTCGGGCAATGCTATTTGTCTAGCCCTGATGTAGTACTCACGGTGATACATATTTTATTATATGCATGTATAGATAAATAACATTCGGAAATGAAATAAAAAATTATAACTTATTAAAATTTGAGTCGCTAGGTTAACATGAAAACTCCAAGAAATATAAACTATCTGTAATTTAAATTAACACTTTATTGACGGAACAAGTATATTTCAAATTAAAAAACATGGTCAACGAAAATTCTACAACGTTACTATATCGATAATCACTCGCTTATGTCTTCAATATCTCTTTCATTTCGGCAATCGAAATATTGTCAGGTATGATACTAGTGTTTAGGGATGTGTCTGTAGATGCCTGCAGACCATAATACAGAGGCGACATGAGCTAACACAGCTACATACTAATCGTGCACTTGATTTGCACTGGCAATACCAGAATCTCCTTCAAAATACCAAACAAAAAACACAATTTAGTGAAAGAAGACAAGGTAAACTTTAAGACCCTAATAAAATTCTCGCAAAATTCTTCATTATTTTGAAGTTGTTCAGGCCGGTACAAATGGTGAGATTTGTAGTTACTGTATAATACAAGTATTATATTTGTATTATAATACTTTCCTGTACACACGTTTATACGTTTTATTAGATTGTTAATAGACTTTAGGGATTTCTACGTGTTTCTCTCTCTCTCTCTCTCAATAGTGGAAAACGAGGTTCTTTTAGCAGTATCTGTTATCGTATTATGCAGTGCATTAAAACTGAAAAAAAAAACAACATCGTAATGGAAACAGCGGTGGGACACTCGTATATGTACTTGGTGCACACAATGCATCGCTAGATGAGGTGCAAAGAGAAGACCCCAGTAGTTATAAAAACTTCTTTAGAATAGATAATGCTGAATTTGAGCAACTTTTACAATCACATGTAGTTACTCCTTTTGATCTTCTTCCCATAAAACAACGAGTTTTTTGATATTTTTACAACTAAAGTCGACCATTATTTACCACGTGCTTTTTATGTTATGATAAAAATAGGATGACCACAATGTGAGTACTTTTGATTGGTTTAAAAATGAAAGGTAAGTTAAGACTTGTATTAAGAAATAGAGCATTGCCCTATAAATTCTTAATACAGTTTTATAAGATTTGAAAAATCTTAGGATTCACCGTATTAAAAGTTTAAATACATATCCGTGTGTACAGCTCTGAAGTCCATTGATAGACACAATGAAAGCATATCGAACAGTGGAATGTCACGTGAGTAAAGTGATTATAATATCAAACAGGTCAAATAGGTTGACACTCGGTGACCTGTTAATTTAGTAGCTAACCCGACCGTAGTTTGGAGAATTTTTTAAAAAATTACATATGAGCCGCAAATTGTCCAACATTGCCCTTTGGATATGTATAGGTTTAAATCAAAATACACATTCTGTGCAATGAGAAGAATGGACAAGTTGCGGCTCGATGTAAACAATGTCGTTGAAAACTGGTATGCATATGAATAACAATAGAAATGTAACAAAACTGCTAGACCCCTGTCGCAAAAACCAGTGTCGCTCGGCATTATTTATTATTTTTATGTGATATAATATATCAAACCTTGCTCTTAAGATATTGTTTAATAATTCTGATTCAAAAAGTTTATAAATTTTGGAAATTTATTATTGGCAAAGCACCGGGATCCAACTCTCATAGCTTAAGTGCACTGATCCTTTATATTCCATTTGGGATAATATATCCCAAACGGGCTATTATATATACCATTTGGATGATTGGTCCTAACCTGCTATATAGTATCACTAGTACACATGTATTTGACTCTTCCTATTTGTAAAAAGGGGATGGTCATTTTTTCCAGTGAGAATGGACTCTCAAAGCCAACTTTTACTGGATATACTTGCCTATAAGTTGGTTTGCTTATAAGTCGGTTGTATTTTTTAAAGATCATTTTGGAGGAATTTACCATTGATCCACTTATAAGTCAGTGTAGATTTTGCCAGTATTTGTTGCCATTTTCAGATTAATACTCTGTTCTATTTACCTGTCTTTCAGAGTATGTTTTGGGGTATGTCATCAATATTTGATTTTTTTTAAAAACAATTAAATAAGACATAAGATCATTCCAATCTGATAAAATTTGTGTTTTAGGCATATGTTAACCTTAGATCTTCCTTTCCTGCATTAGATTTTCTATATTTCGTCCAGAAAAATACAGAATTTTTTTGGACTTGCTTATAAGTCGGGTATAGAGTTTTGAATCAAATTTAACTCCAAAAAATCTGATGTATAGGCGAGCATATAGGTTAATTATGTGTCTTTTAAACCCCATGTATTGTTTCAAACATGAAGTGTAACTGAATAAATTTTTACAGTCAGCAGAGTTCCTTACTGAGGAAGGATATTGTGACACCAGTTTGTTCCTCCCCAAGACTCTACTCAAAAGCTCCTTCATCTGACAATCCATCAGCATCCACTACCACAGAAGATAAAAAGTTAGTAAATGAGAAATTTTTTCTCAGTTTTTCACTCACGTCAGTATTGAGTTAGATGATGATCCATTGACCAATTATGGACCCACAAGGAGCGATATTATACAAAGAGAACAATGATTACTGCATAAGCAGAAATTTTAGCGAGGATTCAATTTTGGTATTTTTAGCGAGGATGTTGTGATCACTAAAATTAGATATTGCTAACAATTTATTATGCAGAAGAGGTTAATGTTATCTTTCTATGCCCTATAAAATAGCAAAAATTACTTCTCTTTAAAATTAAATAGTGTTTTTTTAAGAAAAATTGTGTCCCGCTAAAAATTCCACTTAAACGGTATAAACAGATGTACACATTAGACATACCCAAAAAAAAAATTTCAATTCATAACTTACAAATAAAGATGATTGTGCATATATGCCTCAGTTTGGAGTATACAAATTATTCCTTGTGAGTGGAGAGACGAAAGAACAAAGAGGAAAAAATTACTATGATAAATGAAAGCTGTATACTACATGTATATCATTTATATATGGCATATTGCAGTACTGCAAAGGACACCAGGGTACTCTTAATTATAAATGACAATGGCTTTTTCCTGTATCTCTTGCAGAATTGTAAACAAACTGTAATAGGAAAGATATTATAGAAATCAACACCTGTATATTAATTAATATTGCTTTCTTATTCTTAATTATTACTCGAGTATGTTTTCAAGGTAAATAGTTCGGATCTGAATTTTATCTTCTTAGACTTATCGGTAGCATCTTTATGTGCCAGATTTTTTTTTCTTCTCCATATAGCAGTCATGAAAAAAAAGATTGTCAATTGAGAAAAGCATAGCATTCTGTAATAATTTTCCACAATGTATTTTAGTCCTAAAAATAATTTCAGAATTGTGGCGAAGAAGACAATCTTGCTTCCTAAGACCTCAGCACATGCCCTTTCTCAGCAAAGTGATCAAATAACAAAAAAAGTAAGTATAATTATAAATTTGATAATTCATTTTGCAAATATTGTCTTTACCCGTAAATTGTTTTAATGTCTGTGAAATTACATGCATGCACACTTTAATCATACTCTTACAATAAAAATAGGTTTTAAAGTCTTGAACAAGATTATTAATATCATAGAATGTACCATATTCCTTTATGTAACAGTAACTGAAAGCAAGAGTTTTTAGCTCACCTCAACGAAGTTGGGGGAGCTTATGTAATACCGTCGGCGTCGGGGTTGGCGTTCCAGGTTAAGGTTTTTGGAGCAGTTTTCTTTTCAAGTACTTCTATGGCCTATATTAGTCAGAGATGCATGGAGGATGTTTCTAGTGTGTTTCATTGTACCAGTCAAGGTTTCAGATGCTGCAATTTCAGCTAAAGAATGACCAGGTTAATGTTTTTGGAACAGGTTAAAGATTTTGGAGCAGGTCTCATTTTCAAGTAACTATAAGCCCTATATTGGCCAAACTTGCATGGATGATACATCTAAGGATGCACTCTACCAGGCTTGCTTCAGATGCTGGATCTGACCTACATTTTCCAGATTAGTGACCAGGTTAAAGTTTTTGGAGCAGATGTCATTTCCAAGTAACTATAAGCCCTGTATTGACTAAACTTGCATGAATGATACATCTAAGGATGCACACTACTGGACTTGCTTCGGATGCTGTATCTGACCTATATTTTCCGGATGAGTAACCAGGTTAAAGTTTTTGGAGCAGATCTCATTTCCAAGTAACTATAAGGCCTATCTGAACCAAACTTGCATGGATGATGCATCAAGGGACGAACAATCTCAAACTTGCTTTGGATGCTGGATTTGACTTACATTTTCTGGATGAGTGATTAGTTTTAAGTTTTCAGATAAGTATATTCCCAAGTAACTGCAAGCCCTTTCGGACCAAAATTGCATAAATGTTGCGTCTAGGGATGCACACTCCTAGATTATTAGTTTAGTGTGGGACTTTGCCTTACTTGAAGACAACATTTGTTGAGGTGAGCTCTGTAATCTCTGATTACCTATGTTTTAATTTATTAATTTTGTTTTAATTTAATTTGATTTTTTTTTTTTCAAATACTAATATTTATTATTTATTGTTTGTAGACTAGTGCAGTTCTTGAACTAGATGCAGATAAAACTGAGGGAGAAAAGGTCCCTGTTCTTATTACAGCTGCAAGTCTGGAGGACATGAAACAAGCTATGTTTGAGGTACAATATGGGGTTGATTTACTCTAGAGTATACTGGCAAACCTCAGTAAGGATCTCAAAACTTTATGGGCTGATGAAAAAAAAAATCTTTAATATATCCAAGGTTTCAAGTTATAAAAACTGAATCTGATATACATGTATTTGAAGTGGTTGCAACTACAGACTTGGATTGAATTAGCCATGATATCTGAGATATTCAAAGTTAGACTTTTTTATTATTATAACCCTGTTAAAATAATGATAATAAAAAAAAAAATTATGAATATTATGAATTTATAATCTCAAGTAAAAAAAAAATATGACTGATTCTTTGTCCTTGAGTAATCATGACAATGTTTTAATTAAACAGATAGAGAGAGTCTTACAGAAACATATAGAAAAAACAAAAGAAAACCTCCCAGTTCTGGACAGGTAAAAAAAAAAAAATGGTGTGGTGGATCTAAAAAAAATCATGCAAAATCTAGTAGATGTTAATTATAGGATAGTTATAAAACAAGAAACTTTTTACACAAGTAATATCATTTGATAGACTAGTTGTTGTCAGAGAGGAATGTCTGTTAAATATATACCATAAAAATGTTAGGCGACATCTCTTAATATACATGGATATTAGTCCACAGTGATTTTATGTTTAAGGAATAGAAATATTGTTTTGAATCCAATGAATTTTCACACATATATCATGGTTTTCTCCACAGTTTTAATAGATGCAGTAACAGTGCTATGGCTTTTTATTGTTCGTATTTTGTATTTTTTTCTTTGAGTAGAAATTTGAGACTTAAATGTTTTGATATTTATTTTTATATTAATTGTTATTTTCGTACTTCTACATGTATTACATGTAGCTTTTAACGCCTAATTTACATGTATATCATACACTTAGTCTTACACTTACCGGTATAATCATATCTTGTTCTTCTGTTGCTAAACTACAAGTTTTTTTTTACTCTTCAATTTTTTTTTCAAGGCCAGAGGAACTACTCTTTATTCCCAAGGAATGTGCAGATCAACTAACTGCAAGAAGTGGTTCTTTGTTGAGAGAAATGCAGAATGAGGTACATAAATTGAAACTTATAAAATTCTATCTAAAGGCTTAAAAAATCTTAAAACTTAAAAGTCATGCAGTATAATATAATCTTTTTCACATTTTATTGCCACTAAGACTGCCCACTAACACTATACATCCATTGTTTTCACTCATATTTAAAAGCAGCCTTTTCATTCTTTTTTGAGAATTTTTTTTTTTCATTTTTCTTTTTTTCAAATTGACTTAAAATCTTATAAAACAATTGGGAAAATATAGTTAATTTTTGGGGAAAAAGTGACATTTCTTGAGGGAAATTACCTATATTTAACCGTGACTTTGGGTAATGAAAAACCAGACAATCTTACTGTGTTTTTTTTTTTTTGCTTGCACAGACTGCTTCACAGATCAAGGTTAAGTATGATGTAGAAAATGAACATGGCGTTCTCGTAACTGTATCTGCAGCTGAAGATGGCCATCTCAAAGAAGCAATGGAAAAGGTCAGTTAAAACAAAATTATTCCTTTATTTGGATAAAATTGTCATAAAAAAAACAGAACAATGACAACTTGCTCTTAACAACTGTACGTTTAATTACCACGTTTCTGTAAAATGATGTAATTCTAGTTAGGCCTACTGTAGATTCCTAATTATACGAGAGGAATTAATTATTGCATAATTTTGTGAGAAGCACCACTCGCGAAATAACATTACTCGCTTTTATTAGCTCACCTGAGCTGAAAGCTCAAGTGAGCTTTTCTGATCACCCGTTGTCCGTCGTCCGTCCGTCTGTCCGTCCGTCTGTCCGTCCGTCCGTCTGTAAACTTTTCACATTTTCAACGTCTTCTCAAGAACCACTGGGCCAATTTCAACCAAACTTAGTACAAAGTATCTTTGGGGGAAGGGGAGTTTAAATTGTTAAAATAAAGGGCCAAGTCCCCTTACAAGGGGAGATAATCAAGAAAAGACAAAAATAGGGTGGGGTCATAAAAAAATCTTCTTCTCAAGAACCACTGGGCCAGAAAAGCTGAAACTTATGTGGAAGCATTCTGGGATAATGTAGATTCTAAATTGTTAAAATCATGACCCCCGGGGGTAGGGCGGGGCCACAATAGGGAATCCAAGTTTTACATTGAAATATATAGGAAAAATCTTGAAAAAATCTTCTTCTCAAGAACCACTGAGCCAGAAAAGCTGAAACTTTTATGGAAGCATCCTGGGATAGTGTAGATTCTAAATTGTAAAAATCATGACCCCCGGGGGTAGGGCGGGGCCACAATAAGGAATCCAAGTTTTACATTGAAATATATAGGAAAAATCTTGAAAAAATCTTCTTCTCAAGAACCACTGAGCCAGAAAAGCTGAAACTTTTATGGAAGCATCCTGGGATAGTGTAGATTCTAAATTGTAAAAATCAATACCCCCGGGGGTAGGGCGGGACCACAATAAGGAATCCAAGTTTTACATTGAAATATATAGGAAAAATCTTTAAAAATCTTCTTCTCAAGAACCACTGAGCCAGAAAAGCTGAAACTTATGTGGAAGCATCCTGGGGTAGTGTAGATTCTAAATTGTTCAAATCAGGACCCCCGGGGGTAGGGCGGGGCCACAATAGGAAATACAAGTTTTACATTGAAATATATAGGAAAAATCTTTAAAAATCTTCCTCTCAAGAACCACTGAGCCAGAAAAGCTGAAACTTATGTGGAAGCATCCTGGGGTAGTGTAGATGCTAAATTGTTCAAATCATGACCCCCGGGGGTAGGGCGAGGCCACAATAGGGAATACAAGTTTTACATTGAAATATATAGGAAAAATCTTTAAAAATCTTCTTCTCAAGAACCACTGAGCCAGAAAAGCTGAAACTTATGTGGAAGCATCCTTGTGTAGTGTTGATTCTAAATTGTTAAAATCATGACCCCCGGGGATAGGTCGGGGCCACAATAGGGAATCCAAGTTTTACATTGAAATGTATGGGAAAAATCTTAAAAAATCTTCTTCTCAAGAACCACTGAGCCAGAAAAGCTGAAACTTATGTGGAAGCATCCTCAAGTAGTATACACTCTAAAATGTTCAAATCATGACCCCAGGGATGGGGGGGGGGGGGGGCACAATAGGGTTTTCCAAGTTTTACATTGAAATATATAGGAAAAATCTTTAAAAATCTTCTCAAGAACCACTGGACCAGAAAATCTGAAACTTATGTGGAAGCATCCTGGGGTAGTGTAGATTCTAAATTGTTCAAATCATGGCCCCTGGGGGTAGGGCGGGGCCACAATAGGTAATACAAGGGGGGAAGTCTGGTAATGAACAGCATGGCCAAAGTTACTCAGGTGAGCGATGTGGCCCATGGGCCTCTTGTTTTTATGGTACTAAAATCCATGTAAAATCTCTTTATCAACCATCCATTTGTGGATTATTATTCTCACTATTTGACGTTAAAGAGCCATTTCCCAATATTAAGTACCGTACTCGCAAAAAGTAAGGAATCTACAGTAACGTACATTTTACATAATATCATATCTAATATTTTTTTTAAAAAATGAAGTTGATTAATATTTTTCACAGTATGAAATAAATTAATGAGTATGCTTAATGCAACCCCAATTTTTGTTTGTTTGTACAGATACAGAACCTTATTGCAAATAATTTAAGGTAAGCTGTTTTTCTTCGTTAGAATCTGGTTACATTTTTTTTTTTGGACTCGTCAAAAAAAGTTCATTTCAGTGAAACTATTACTTTTCAAAAAACAAATAGGAATTTTTATCTTTGAATCAAATGACTAACATTTTTCAATCAATTTCACACAATTTTTTTTACACTTTGGCAAGCAATCTTGGATTAAGTTTTTGTGATATTTTTTATGTAAGGTGTTACAGATTTTTAATCTAAATGGAATATAATTTTGATCAAATGATATAGTTGATTTTCTTAGACTGTATAACTATTCATTCTTCAGTCAGGCAGTCTGTATTATTGTGTTTACAGTGAGAGTGATGAGATGACCGTGAGCTTGCAGGAGGGCCGCATAATCGTGGGTAGAAAGGGGTCGCAGAAACAAGGCCTGGAAAAGGAGGTGAGGGGGAGTAATGAAGAGAATATTTTTTTCCCCTTCAGATGAGTTTTCTTGTGTTTTGACTTTCTTACAAAGAAGCAGAAAAACTTTTCTCTCCTTGTTTGTCCTGTCATGGGAGTTTTACTTTTAAATAATGAAAAAAAAAATCTTTGAAATACACCTTAGTTAGGTTAAGGATGCCTGTAAGAAATACACCTTAAAATATTTTGAGAAAATGAATACAGGGTTGATATTTTTTAAAACAGTGTGAATTTTGATGAATGGGAATTCTGCTATTTGCATATGTATATATATTGGGTCTCTCTGCATGATCCACGCCTCAAGTATATAGAAAATGAACGTCAAACTAGTCGGTGACGTCATCTCAGTACTGTGAGATCAAGTTGGCCTTCATTCTACATTCAGTAGTGTTATTATATGGTATTGTAAGTTGTCCATCAATTTATTTCTGTGTTATTTATGAAAAACGAAGTATTTTAGTGTGTATGAAAAATAACATTTAACATTTATTCATCGAGATTCATTTGCATTGTTTTCCCGAACCTTTGCATAGGCTGATTTAAGTATGGAAGTCCTTAACCTATCTCCGATGTATGCAATATTATACCAATGAAAATACATGTACTGCTACTACTGAAAGATCTGTCAGTAAGCAAAATCAACAAAGATTAACGAATATTTCATTTTATTTTATCAGACTGGGACAAAGATTTATGTGAGGTTTAATGACGCACATGACGAAGCTTTGGTTACTATACAAGCCAAAAATCAGCAGGAATTGGAGGCAGCCAAGGCAAAGGTAATGGATAGGCCTTACATAAGCAGTATCGGCTGTCTTCTCTTATTCTGTATAAAGAATGAAGGCGTGCAAGGCACAGATGATCCCCCGCTCTGAGAGAAGACATTTTTCAATTCTAAAAGTTCATGAAAAGTTATATTTTTTCAAAAATTATATTGTCAATATAATCTTTTACACATTTGCTGCCTATATTTTGTTGAATGAATTATTGACAAATTATTATTTTTCACTAATGTTTTTAAAGTATGTTAAAAAAGTAAAGAAAAAGCTTCACGCGTGATTCGAATTCTCTACAAAGCTCACAGTTAGGCGTAAGACTGAACGTGTTAACCACTACACTACGAAGTCTGCTTGTCTTGTTGTGTGTCAGTGTGATTTAAATAAACGAGTTAGTTGAAGCGTAAAATTTTTATGCCCCGCCATGAATATGGCCGGGGCATATAGTGTTTGTCATGTCCGTCTTCCGTCCTTCCGTCCTTCCGTCTGTCCTTCCGTCACACTTTGCGTTTAGCTCTGTTCAAAGCTCAGTTTCAAAGAAACTATCCAAGATATTTTTATCAAACTTCATATGCTGATAGATATTGATGAGGGCTATGCAACTGCATCAACATTTTTTGACCTTGACCTTTCCTTTGACCTTGACCCCACTTTTCTTAAATTAGTGTTTAGCTCAGTTTTAAAGATACCATTCAAGATAGTGTTATCAAACTTCATATGCTGATACATACTGATGAGAGCTATTCAACTGCATCAACATTTTTTGACCTTGACCTTTCCTTTGACCTTGACCTCACTTTTCTTAAATTAGTGTCAAACTTCATATGCTGATACATACTGATGAGAGCTATTCAACTGCATCAATATTTTTTGACCTTGACCTTTCCTTTGACCTTGACCTCACTTTTCTTAAATTAGTGTTTAGCTCAGTTTTAAAGAAACCATTCATAATATTTTCATCAAACTTCATATGCTAATACATACTGATGTAACCTTTTCAACTGCATCAACATTTTTTGACCTTGACCTTTCCTTTGACCCTGACCTCACTTTTCTTAAATTAGTGTCAAACGTCATATGCTGATACATACTGATGAGAGCTATTCAACTGCATCAATATTTTTTGACCTTGACCTTTCCTTTGACCTTGACCTCACTTTTTTTAAATTAGTGTTTAGCTCAGTTTTAAAGAAACCATTCATAATATTTTCATCAAACTTCATATGCTAATACATACTGATGTAACCTTTTCAACTACATCAACATTTTTTGATCTTGACCTTTCCTTTGATCTTGACCTCACTTTTCTTAAATTAGTTTCTGAATCAAACGTCATATGCTGATACATACTGATGTAAGCTATTCAACAGCAGCAATATTTTTTGACCTAGACCTTTCCTTTGACCTTGACCTCACTTTTCTCAATTTGTGTTAAAATGTTGCATTACTAATATACCCTTGGCGGGGCATTCATGTCCTATGGACATATTTCTAGTTTCAGAAATGTTCGATTTTCATATAGAATGGATTCAGACTCCATTTATTTGAAACAACTGTATATTTTTTTTCCTTTCAGATACAAAAAGTTGTGGAAAAAAGCAAGTAAGCTTGTTTTTAAATCATTAAATAACGCTACACAAAGGTAAAGGAATAGAATTTGTCCATATTTTTATAATACATAATACCTTCAAAAATTGACCTTTTTGATTCTTCAGATTTATCATGTATATAGCCTACAATGTGAACCTTATGCCATGGTTTTGCATTAATAAGAATTTTGATATGTATATGTGTATATATATATTTTTTAAAATTAAAGTTCATTTTTACAGTCCCAGAAACTCATGGTTTTTAATTTCCAAAATGTGCCATGTACATGTAAATGTTTGAATTTAATAATTCATGAATATACTAATTTTTTTTTTTAAAAGATACCCCAAAAGGAGAGTTGATCTAACATCAGATGAAAGGTACAAGTTAATTGGCAAAGGTGGAAACAATATACAAAGGATTAGAAAAAATCTTAAACAAGTAAGTGATTTTTTCAAAGAGATACATAATTAAGTGTCATTTTATCCAAAGGATGATTGGCTGACCATGTTGACCCTTTTATCCATTGCTCTGCATTATATTTAAAATCAAAAACAAAAAAATTGAAATGAAGATATTTCTTGAATTTGGTTTGCATGTTTTCATCTATGTAATCTGTCATAAATTGAACCAGATACCAATGTTATATCTTTTATTAAAACATTGCTGTGACATCATGCCTTTGTTCTTACAGTCTAAAAATTTACCTGTAGCTGTCCGATAATAATAATTAGCAGTCCAATAATATATTATCGGACGGCAGTGATAACAAAATCGGACAGTAGTTAAAAAACAACAACTAGAGTGAAATCAAGGTTTAATTTGTCCAGAAACCAAAAAAAAAGTTAGGGAGAAAAAATTCAGGGAAAGCGAACGCAAGGAAATTAAGTTGTTAAAAATAGTAAATCCAAGAAGAAACTGGAGTTTTAACCTTCCTCAAAAGTAAGACTTTCCATTTGTTTTTTTGCAAAGCGTTTTCGATACAGCACTGTCAATAAGCCAATTTAAATCCATTTCTGATAAAGAACCAGTCTGCGAATCTCTTCATTTAACGAGGTTTGTTCGCCAATGACCACACTTTTAAAACCCAAGATTTTCATTATATCATCCAATCAAAATTTTAGATAAAAATCCACATTTTTACTTTAAATGCATTTTGATAGATATCATCCAACACTGTATCTGTATAAATGTCAAACACACTTAATAAAAAAAATTTCTGAATCATAAAAAAATCCTTCATCACCTGACCACTGTCCATAGTTCCTGCCACTCTCTACCATCGGCTCATACATTCACCTCTGTCGTTGGCTCGCGTATATCACAGTGATAAGCACGAGAAATAGTGAGTTTGTTTAAATTCATTATAATTAAATGCCTGCACTAATGTTCCTCTTTTAAGGTAGATATTTACTAAGTTTATCTAGAACTATTAGTTAAATTTGAAATAATCCTTTGAATGTCATGTTTTTTACTTTATGTCAAAAATCTTGACGTGAGCCCATCGCAGAGGTGTCTGAGAGAGAAACGAACAACAACTCTGCAAGGGAGATTGAGTTCCTGCTAAGCCAAACAACTGCCATTGAATGAATGAAACAAAAGAGTTCACTCACTGATTTTACTGTCTAAAGAAAAAAACTTTCTCTTTTCTTTTGTCTACTTATTAGATGGTTTCAGGTAGAAAACTATTGATGCCTGAACTCCTATTGTGTAATTATCGGACTCCTCCAGGTAACTTTTGGACATTTAAATAGCAATGTTTTAAGTAAGATATATGCCTCATACAATTCTATATGTAATGGATATATGCCGAATACTGTTCTATATGTAAAATTATCAGACTGTTTGAGGCCCATTAGGGCCGAAAACAGTCTGATAATTTTACATATAGAATTGTATGAGGCATATATCTTACTTAAAACATTGCTATTTAAATGTCCAAAAGTTACCTGGAGGAGTCCGATAATTACACAATAGGAGTTCAGGCATCAGTATTTTTCTACCTGAAACCATCTAATAAGTAGACAAAAGAAAAGAGATTTTTTTTTCTCTAGACAGTAAAATCAGCGAGTGAACTCTTTTGTTTCATTCATTCAATGGCAGTCGTTTGGCTTAGCAGGAACTATGGACAGTGGTCAGGTGATGAAGGATTTTTTATGATTCGGAATATTTTGTTTTTATTAAGTGCGTTTGACATTGATACAGATACAGTGTTGGATGATATCTTCAAAATGCATTTAAAGTAAAAATGCGGATTTTTATCTAAAATTTTGATTGGATGATATAATGAAAATCTTGGGTTTTAATAGTGCGGTCATTGGCGAACAAACTTCGTTATATGAAGAGATTCGCAGACTGGTTCTTTATCAGAAATGGATTTAAATTGGCTTATTGACAGTGTTGTATCGAAAACGCTTTGCAAAAAAACTGAATGGAACTTAAGTGTTACTTTTGAGGAAGGTTAAAACTCCAGTTTCAACTTGGATTTGCTATTTTTAACAACTTAATTTCCTCGCGTTCGCTTTCCCGGAATTTTTTTCTCCCTAACTTTTTGTTGGTTTCTGGACAAATTAAACCTTGATTTCACTCTAGTTGTTGTTTTTTAACTACTGTCCGATTTAGTTATCACTGCCGTCCGATAATATATTATTGGACTGTTAATTATTATTATCGGACGGCTACAGGTAAATTTTTAGACTGCAAGAACAAAGGCATGACGTCACAGCAATGTTTTAAATATATATTATTATAACAGTAACTTGATCCGAAGAATCGTATCACGTCAAGTTGACAGGCGCAGATCATCAGATCAAACGAGACGCGAAGCGTCGAGTTTGATCTGATGATCTGCGCCTGTCAACGAGAAGTGATACGACTCTTCGGATCAAGTTACTGTTATAATGATAAATTTATTATATACCCCTTTCTAACTAGCAAAATATAATAAAAGGAAACTTTTTGGATCAATTACATAACTTTTATCCATTAAACAATCCATTTTGTCAAGGAACTTTTTGATACGCGAGAATAAAAACGTCATTTATCTGTGCACTACGTCATCAGTTTCAGAGAGGGGTGATATGGATTCAGAAAACCACAGTGTGGTGATCCGGAACATAGGATCACACCGTCACATGATTGCATAAATTCAACAGTAAAACTGAGTGACAAACAGTTGGGTATATAATAAGTAAAATTATCAGACTGTTTTCAGCCCTAACGGGCCTCAAACAGTCTGATAATTTTACATATAGAACAGTATTCGGCATATATCCATTACATAATGAAATTAAAATTTTGTTCATTTGTATTAGTTTCTTTATCTGTCCAAGAAATTCTAATTATGTTAATTTTTTAGCTCTACTGGTCAGAGACCAGAAGAGCTTATGCGATAGTAAGGTGTCCGGCGTCTGTCTGTCCGTCTGTCTGTAAACAATTTTTCAAAATGCTACTCCTCCTACAGTTTTGGTCTGATTTCAATATAACTTGGCACACAGGTAGACTACACTAAGATACATAATATAGTGCATCGGTTTTTGATTTGGATGAGCGGTATTGCCATGGTTACTAAAAATAGAAATTTCTGTGAAATTCCTTTAAAACCCTACTCCTCATACAGTTTTGATCTGATTTCAATATAACTTGGCACACAAGTGGACTACACTAAGATACATAATATAGTGCATCAGTTTTTGATTTGGATGAGCGGTGTTGCCATGGTTACTAAAAATAGAAATTTCTGTGAAATTCCTTTAAAACCCTACTCCTCCTACAGTTTTGGTCTGATTTCAGTATGATTTGGCATACAAGTAGACTCTATTAAGATTCATAATTTAGTGCATCGGTTTTTGATTTCAATGAACGATGTTGCCATGGTTACTAAAAATAGAAATTTCTGTGAAATTCCTTTAAAATGCTACTTCTCCTACAGTTTTGGTCTGGTTTCAATATAACTTGGCACACGAGTAGACTACACTAAGATACATAATTTAGTGCATGGGTTTTTGACTTCTATGAACGATGTTGACATGGTTACTAAAAATAGAAATGTCTGTGAAATTCCTTCAAAATGAAATTCCTCCTACAGTTTTGGTCTGGTTTCAATATAACTTGGCACACAAATAGACTACACTATGATACATAATTCAGAGCATCAGTTTTTTTATTTCGATGAACGATGTTGCCATGGTTACCAAAAATAGAAATTTCTGTGAATTTTAAAATGCTACTCCTCCTACTCCTCCTACAGTTTTTATTTGATTTCAATTTAACTTGGCACACAAGTAGACTATATTAAGATACATAATTCTATTTATTGCTGCATGTTGCAAAGTTTCGAATCCAAGTGCTACTTTTTCTTTGTTACATGTATATGTACAGACCAGTAGAGCTACAGTCTCATCAGAGACTTCTGGTTTTTTTATCTTTTGAAAACTTTTGAAAATAAAAAATTCATTTTCCTCATAACAATGTATTGGTGTAGGATTTGTACAAGGTACTTGTAGTTTGGGGTCTAATATATTCAGCAAAGAATTTTGATGGTTTGTTGATCAAATGTCAAGAATATTAATGATCCTGTGTGGCTTTTCAGTCTTTTATTTGCTTCTTGGGAGGAATACCTTTTCTAAATTTGGGATCATTTACTTAGCTACGTTAAGGAAGGCCTGAGTTCACATTTGTAAGACACTGTGTAGAAAGTATCATTGTGACGTCATTGAAAATTTAACAAGTAACAAAAATAAATTAAGCCACATGATGATGCGTAAGTAAAAGATTGTATGCATTTTTTAAAAAAAATTTTATCAGGGAATGCAAAATATCACCATTTGTTAACAAAACTTCCGAATTTTTAGAAATAAATCGTGTGTCATATATGATGTCATTTGTCTTGACTTGACGCAGTACAAGTGATCCAGAGGAGTGGATCCATTAATTGGTTTAATAATTACAAAAATTCTTAATTTAATACAAATTCATTGGCATTGCTAAATCAAATAATTAAAATTTCTTAAAAACAATTGTGTATATACGGGTGATTAATTTATCAAGACATTTTAGAGCTGCACGGCATCAGAGAATGTAAAGAAAATCGCTAATAAGATAATCTTATTCCCGATAAACCTCATAAGTGCAAAGGCATACACTTGACTGTTTATGCTGAAATACGAAAAATCAATTGCTTTTATCATGTATATTCTTAAAAAGTGCTGGGAGTGGATTCTGCTCTGAAGAAAATTATTTAAATTAATTATGATGCAGAGGGGAAGTGGAAAATTTTTGCTATTACACGCATTCTTGGCAAAATCACGAGTACTTCCCAAACAACACATACTAGCTCCCAGCACTTTTCAGGTAAGAGATGTAAACCTCTTTTAATGTTTATCAATTTTTTATGCCCAAAAATAACTGGATGCCCTTGCACTAGTACCATTTTCTACATTCAGCCTAATTATCCTTTTTTTATATCTGTCATGTGACACACAGCTGATACATGCCATGTAACTGGTACAAACTACAACACAAACCTATTCATTATAGGCAACTGTATTACTTTTCTTACGATTTTGTAGTTACTTATTTAAGAATGATTAAACATAGGCTTACATATTGAGAAGGTATTGAGAAAATATTTCCTATTACTGTCCTTTACACAGCTGAGTTAATATCATTTGGTCAAAGTCAAGCAAAAATGTCAGCACATGTACATGTGAAGAGAGAATCTTCAGTTTCTATTTGGTTATATTTTATGTCAAGATAAACTACAAACTTAACAATGAATTACATGAAATATACAAGTCACAATTTTTTGTAATGGATCAAGAGAATAAGAAAACATGATTAAAAAAAAGAATCCACCTTTTTCAGATGGACGCTGAAGTGCTTGTGGGCAAAGATTTGTTGGTTGAGGCAAAAGATGAAGAAAATCTGGATAAAGCTATGGCAATTGTAAGTATGGTTTAATCAAGAGCATGATTTAATATGAAAATTGATGCATAAATTTCAAAAAAGCTCTAGTGAGCTTTTCTGATAAAAATTTGTCTGTTTTCTGTCAACATTGTGATCATCATAAACTTTGCACACTTCACTTTTTTCCAAAACTACTAAGTGAATTTCAATCAAACTTGAAAAAAAAAACACACATTGGTGGAAGGGGATTAAAGTTAATTCAAATGAAGAACCTCTTTAAGATGGAGATAAATAATCTAGAAATGGCAAACTAGGTAGGGTGGAATCATTATAAAATCTTATTCTCAAGAACTGCTGGGTCAGAAAAGACAAAACTTGCCATACAAATTTTGTTCAAATGGCCCAAGGGAGTAGTGCGGGGCTACAAAAAGGAATGAAAGTTTTACATGGAAATATATTTTTAAAAAATCTTTAAAATTTTTTTTCTCAAGAACAGCAGGGCTGCTGCATGGGTAAAGTGATCCCTAAATGTCACTCTGCTCTTCAGGCAACAATTACATGGCACAGGAGGCTATTAGTTCATGTACACACTGTATTTCACAGGAAGTCTGTCTATGACAATCCTTGAAGCACAGTTGTGCTTTGATTTTTAATGAAACAAAAAATTTATTTTATAATATTGAAATTTATCTATTCAATACCGGTATTTACTTATTTATTTTCTTTATCAGAACAACAAGGTCACTGTCGAATTAAAATGTATATAATCATGTAATTGTGGTGTATATTCTAATTTCTAGGTCCCCCCCCCTCCCAAATCATGGTCATCAAGCTATTTTAGGGCCACAATAAATAAAAACAATGTTAAATTTTCTAAAGGTCAGCAGTTCTTCTCAGAATACATGTATGTAGACTTTCTGCACAACAACAAAGCTCTGATTTATATATACATGTACATTTACATGATATCAATTACAATGTGCAGATGAAAATCTTTGAAACATGTGTTTTAATATGAGGGATCACCTAGTCACATTTAGATTTCAGGAAGGGTACAGTGAAAGGTGAGCATAGTGGCCCCTGGGACCTTTAAATTCCTTTAGGATTCAGGCTTAGATAGTCCAGATACTGTTTGCTGCATCTTCTGGAGATAATGAAGTTACATAAATTTTATGAACTCTGTTCTCATTTAATCTTTAACTTTTGTTTGAGTATATTACATGTATATAGTGATCAAGGTGATGCTTGTTTGTTTTCAGATAAATAAAGAATTGGAGAAACTGAGGTATTTATTATCTTATTATTAGGGTCTTATACAGCAAGTATTTTTTCAGTTATATTTCAATGTAAATCCATGAATACATGAGTGCATGTCTAGTAAATGCTTGATTTATGTTTTCTATACTTTCAACAGACTTACTACCAGTACAGTAGAAGTATCATGTCTAGTAAATGCTTGATTTATGTTTTCTATACTTTCAATAGACTTACTACCAGTACAGTAGAAGTATCATGTCTAGTAAATGCTTGATTTATGTTTTCTATACTTTCAATAGACTTACTACCAGTACAGTAGAAGTATCATGTCTAGTAAATGCTTGATTTTTGTTTTCTATACTTTCAACAGACTTACTACCAGTACAGTAGAAGTATCATGTCTAGTAAATGCTTGATTTATGTTTTCTATACTTTCAACAGACTTACTACCAGTACAGTAGAAGTATCATGTCTAGTAAATGCTTGATTTATGTTTTCTATACTTTCAATAGACTTACTACCAGTACAGTAGAAGTATCATGTCTAGTAAATGCTTGATTTATGTTTTCTATACTTTCAATAGACTTACTACCAGTACAGTAGAAGTATCATGTCTAGTAAATGCTTGATTTATGTTTTCTATACTTTCAATAGACTTACTACCAGTACAGTAGAAGTATCATGTCTAGTAAATGCTTGATTTATGTTTTCTATACTTTCAATAGACTTACTACCAGTACAGTAGAAGTATCATGTCTAGTAAATGCTTGATTTATGTTTTCTATACTTTCAATAGACTTACTACCAGTACAATAGAAGTATCAGAAGAAGAAGCAGGATCTGTGATAGGGAAGGGAGGGGAAAACATTAAACAAATTCAACAGAAATTAAAGGAGGTGAGGAATGGTGGCGGATCTAGAATTTTGTTGGTGGAGGCAGCTTGATAACCGAAAAATTTAAAAAATGAGACTGAATTTAAAATAATTTTACTAAGTTGCTAGCAAAATCTGCTTGTGCAATATGTCTACCAGGTACCATTTTATGTAAAGTTTCATCAACAAAATCCATTGAAGAAGAGCAAGTACATGTTTTATATGACTTGGAGAATTTTCTGAACCATTATATTCCATCGGATGAACAACAAATGTAATTAATATGTGTGTGTGTAGGGGGGGGGGGGGGGGGGCTTAGTCAGACAGGATTTGTCATACTGTGCCATCTTGACCAGTGATCCTAGTATACCTCAGAATGTGCATGATTTGTTACCAAAAAAATAAGTCAAGTTACATTACATTCTCAAGATAATTGGACATTTGTTTGGCAGTAGTGATCCCTCATCAGCAAAGTATTTTTAAATTTTGGGCATCCAACCAAAAACAGTTTACAACATCCAATGAAAAACAGCATCCAATGAAAAACAATCTCATCCATCACTCAGCAGCAAAGTATTTTAAATTTTGAGCATCCAGTCAAAAACAGTTTACAGCATCCAATGAAAAACAATCTCAACCATCACTCAGCAGCAAAGTACATGTATTTCAAAATTTTTGAGCATCCAATCAGAAACAGTTTACAGCATCCAATGAAAAACAGTTACATCAAAGCAATCCTGATATTGTCAGTGATAACTTTAAAGTCCAGCTACATGTACCTATAGTACACTTCTCTTAACAACAGTCAGAGAAAAAAATGATATTCATTTTTACTTATTTGATTTAAAAAAAAGATATTATTGCATGTATTTGTAGATGGGGGCAGAAGTTAACATCAGTTTACCAAAAGGTATCACTCCAAAGTGTTTTATCATAGAATCCAGAAACAAACAGGATGTGGACGCAGCTGTTGCTATGGTAATGTACATGTGTATGATCGAAAAATACATGTGAATAAAGTATCGGGCCATATATTTCAACTGTCAACAATTTTACTTACTGCAAAAACTTCTCAAAGTGGGTTAAAGATTTGTTATTAAATATTGTCCAATATTTCAGATTAAAGAAAGATTGGAAAATACAAGGTAGGTAAACAATCGTAGTTAATTTCTCTTAAGTTAAAGTGATTAGCTAAAGAATTGGTCAATTTTGAAGTAAACCTGTAAATATTACATGTGCGTTAATGTTTGAATTTGTAGGAGTGTCCAAAAGAGAACTTTGGAAATATTGCAGAAAGAAGCACAGTATTTGATTGGTCCCAGGGGTGAACAAATAGCCAGTATTAGGGAACAGTTTGCAGAGGTAGAGTGTGACTGTTTTTGTATGGAAACTGATACAGTGATTTTCTGGTTATAGCAAAGTTCTGAAGAATTTCTGACAATGTTCATAGCAATTCCTTTACCAAAAAAAAAAAACCCTGTTATAATGGAATCTAACTTCACATATTCATACATCTATATGTATAGTGAACCTACATGTACTATTTTTTCTTTAGGTACATGTCGATAAATATAACAATTACTTTTAGTTATGATGAATCATAAAAAAAAGAATATACATTGTACATAATTCATATGATTTTGAACCTGTTGGATTCTTTTGTTTTTTGTACATGATGGGGAAAATCGGAATTTTTTGTAGATCCATCTGTCTGTCTGTCTCTGTGTGTCTATGTGTGTGTCTGTCTGTCAATTTTTCATCTCAGTTTTCTCAACAACTACTCAAGGCAGATGCTTGAAATTTTAGCATACTTTTTGTCTAGGCATATGGTGAGATTCATTTTTGTACAAATCCGATGTCAACTTCCTGATAATCCATGCGTCTGCCCATACCAAACTGCTCATCGCAGATGCTTAAAATTTTAGCACACTCTTTCTTTAAGCATGCCATATGGTGGGATTCATTTCTGTAGGAATCTGATGACAACTTCCTGTTTATCCATCCTTCCTTATGTCCTCACTAAATTTCGGCCATATTTTTCTCAGCAACTACTCATCACAGATGCTTAAAATTTTAGCATACTCTTTGTTTTGGCATGCCATATTGTGGGATTAATTTTTGTACGAATCCAATGTCAACTTCCTGTTAATCCATGCATCTGTGAATACCAAATTTCCGTCGCAGTTTTCTCAGCAACTACTCATGGCAGATGCTTGAAATTTTAACGCAATCTTTCTCTTTGCATGGTGGGATTCATATTCGTACCAAATTTCTGTTGCAACTGAATTTGTGTATATTCATCTGAGAGTGTATATTCACATCAGGGCGGGGGTATTACTAGTGAGCATGGGCTCATACACTTCTTGTTTATTCTAAGCTTTACTTTATCAAGTATAGGTTTCCCTCTCCTGTGACCGCCTGCTGTGATTCCCTCCCTGACTGAGTCAATTTTCTAGTTTATCTTATTTTCCAGAGAGGAATAAGTATAAATATCCCAAAGAAGACAACAGGAGAAAAAACAAAGATCCAGATCATAGGAAATAGTGCAGAGGACATCGATGAAGTGGTTTCCACGGTAATGGCACTCTTTATTTAAACCTTACAGTTTAATTTAGAATTTCAACAGTCCCTAGCACGTTGCTTACATTCCAGGAAACAATCATTAGTCTCAAAAATAATTAAATTCAAATATGCTATATGTAAACAATTTACAGACACAGTTATCTCCTGAGGAAAAAAATTCTGAGGATTGCATTCTCTTTGGACTGTCTCTCTGTGCTTCTATCCAATTTAATTACATCATTTCAGACATACATGTACACATACATGTTACTATGTGCATGTGCAACAAACTAAGAATAATTTAGGAAGCATTAGACAACTTGATAATAAGATTTTCAGTTTTGAGTTTCTTTTTTAACCCCTCCCCTCCCCAATCCCTGTAATAAAAAAAAAAGTAAAATTGTCATGATTTCAATTAGGGAAATTATTTAAATAGTTAAAAATGTACATAAAGCTAATACTCTTTTGCTTTATTTGCACAAAGAAAGACAATGAGCAGTGAAAAACTTTGTAAATTAAAGGGTTCTTATTTGATCCAATTTATTTGTTATAATCAATGTATATATAATTTTTTTTAACTTCCAAACCTTAAACAGATTTTATATTAATTCTTATTTCAGCTGGAAGAAAAATTAAAGAACATGAAAACAAGGTAATCAATGAGCTTATTGTCTGTTATTGCAGTGAGATTGTTTGTTCAAAGTGTCAACCAATTATGACATAAAACATCCTTTGGTTCAGGGTACTGTATAGAGGTTTTAAATTGCCTATTCGATTTTTTTCTTAGTTTTTTTTTTTTAATTATTTCTGAATTTTGGATATTTGAATTTGTGCAAATGTGTAAATGTACATTCTTAAAGGGTATATAATGACCATTTTACATGTGAATTATTCATTGTTTCTTAAATTCAATGCTTCATTGATAGTGCAAATTAATATAAAAAGCAAAAAGTTCTCTTTTTTGAGTTATTTCCTCACTATACAGTATTCTGATTAACCTGTTTGAAGTCCATAATTTTAATGGTTGATTAATGATATGAGATTCATGAAATACTTTAATGAATTTACTAGCACAGATATAAAATGTATTGCATGAACACTACAATTACATATTTTAAACTTTTTTTTGCTGTTCAGTTTTCATTTGATAGAAATTTGTCAGTTCACATGAGGAATTTAAAGACAGCAAAACTGGCTCTTGGAATCTATTGGCACACAAATGAAAATTATTTTTTTTGTTTCTTTATTTGTAGAACAAAACAGAAAGGTATATTGTCCGTATCCTGGGAAGACCGAGGCCGACTGATAGGCCGAGGTGGTGAGAATATCAAGAAGATGCAGGATATATTAAATCAGGTGTAGTTTTTGACAATAAGAAGTCAGTAAGCAATACAGTCAATAGATTTTGATAGAAAGAGCATACATAATTTTATAAATGCTTAACTATTTGTGATTGCTAATCTATGAATTCATGTTAGACCAAGCAGTGGCGGATCCAGGAATCTTGAAAGGGGGGGGGGGGGGGGAAGGGGCGGCGACCAGTTTGGGATCAGGGAAGGGGCCCACAGCCACACCTAAAAAAATTGATTTATTAAATCTTATGTATATTTTGGACACAAAAGGGGAACCCCCCTCTCTAAATCCACCAGTGCCAAGTATTGAAATCATGTTGAAGTAGTGTAAGGCATTGAAAATTTTGTATGGAGGCATAATTTTGCAATCAGTGAAACCTTAAGCTTCACTTAAAACACCCTTTAAATCATTTTTGTTAACCAACAGTAGTATTATACTGATCTGACTTAATTAAACTCTTTATATACTGGCCTTAAGTCTAATTTTAGTCAGCTAATATTAAAAAGATAAATCACAGGTGTTATTTTATCAAAATATCATCATACTAACTAAAAGAAAATGGTCTTTCCAGAAAGGTATAAAAATAGTAATACCTCCGCAAACATCAGAAGAAGAATCGTATGAAGTGGAAGTGTATGGAGAGAATGAAGAGAGCATCCAGGAGGGCATTGCCATGGTAACATCACCTTGACCTTTGATATAAATATTTGCTCCAATTAATAAATCTCATTTACATACAGACACTGATATAAATATAAAAATAGTGTACTTTATGGAGTTGAAATAACGCTGAATAATTTTTATTATCCCTGGTAATGAATTCCAGTTTAAAGAAGGAAAATATTGCTCTGTTTTATATTGCTAAGTTTTAATACTTCTGGACATTAGTTTTAGGGCAGTAGCATGTTTTGTATATTTACTGTACAGTTGAATTTTGGTATCTTGAACACTGATATCTCTAATATCATGGATATGTCAAAGTGATTTGGAAATCCAAATCACTTATTCTTTATTTTACCCTCGATATCTCAAATCCTCGGATATCTTGAGGGTTTTTTTCTTGGTCCCACTGAGATCTAGAGAACAAGGTTGACTGTATAAACTTACAAGTATAAACTTACAAGTTTTCTAATTTAACAATGCAGACAAATTCTTGTTTCAGTTGGAGGAGAAGATAAGAGAAATGAAGACCAGAAGCCAGTAAGTAATGAGGTCTAGGGTGATTATTCTGTGACAAATTTCCCATTTGTTTCTCTTTTTTAACAGTTGTTTAGAACAAACAAAATTATTAAAGATTTTTTTAGCACAAATGACCTATTATGTGTTATGAATTGTACTCACTTGATGGCAATTGTACTGTATTATATGTACTTATGCATATGTTTGTAAATACTGTCTATGAGATGTAGATGTCTCTTGTCTGTAATAAACTGAACTGAAATTACTTTTGGATTAACCCTTGCAGTTAACTTTTTAACAGTCTATGACTATGTTGTTGTACTTTTATTTCAATATCTTCATTTTTATATGACTTTAATATCAATACACTGTACTACCATAGTTCCTAAAGTTACAAGCGTATATTCACTCTCTTATTATGCCACTGTTAGCTGAATAATTTAACAATAATTTAAGGTTGCTAAGAATGATAGAGTTATCTCTCTTTGCCCTGTTAAAACAGTGAAGCTTAATAGTAAAGTACATGTAAGTGAAAAAATGAAAGTTCGGATAGATTTTTAAAAATGGAATTGGATTGGGTTTTTTTGTCTTGATCATTGTTTACAGGTATGAATGCACTGTGAATGTTGTTATTTAATGTAAATTGTTTAATTATGAATTCTTAATAAATTTGATTGTTAAATGTTTATAATCTTGTGCCTTTTTGAGAAAATTCGGTGTGTGGTAGGCATTAGAAAGTATTTATTCATGAACCACAATAATTTATTTCTAGGTACACTGCTAGCCTTACATCCTTGTAACAGTTAATTTCCATATAGGCCTAGTATATAAATGTTTGTTTGTTTTTGAAGCTGATAAAATTTAGGGTAGATATGTTTTATACTTCACATATGTAATCCTTGTGACAAGATCTTCCTTTGGATACCAACCACTTTGACCCTTTGACCTTGACCTAGGAGTTTGACCTACTTTTGAAAATTTTAGCCTTGGCCATAACTTTTGAATGTTTGATGCTAGGGCTTTCATACTTCACATATGTAGTCCTTGTGAATGTTTTTCTCTGGACTTATTTTAACAAAACATGTAGTAAGTAACACTGATGAAAAAAGAAATAGTGCCTTTAAAGCATTTCTGTGACTTAAATGTATAGTAGAAATCTTTTTTACATTGGACAAAAGCTGAAGTTCAGATCTTCACTGAAAAAGCATTAAAAAAAAAGGATCAACGTTATAAGTTAGAGTCAGTTTGGAAAGCAGAAACAAACATTTTTTTTCTAGGCCTTAGGTTATTCAAAAGTTTGTACTGAAAGTAAAGCACAAAGAGAAGCTATCATTTATTTGTATACCTTTGATGTAGAGTTATCACTTGGTAGTCTTACTATCCATCGTCATCTGAAAAAGTTGAGAACAGATTTCAATAAAATTTTAGAAAAAGGTTTTACCTGAAATGAAATCTTAAAAAAATGAGGAATCATTGATTAGGATTTTATAACTATAATTCATAACTGAATCCCTCTGAAGATTCTGAAGCAATCACCAAATGTTTGCTATTTATCTCTTAATCTCATAAAATTATCAACTGTTTCTAATGAAATTTGGTGTCAGGTGTTTTTTCTTTGGAGGGAGTTGATTATTTTTATTGTCTGATCAATGTCTGAATCCATGAATTATTTTTAAGGATAGTCACGATATGATAAGACAAGGGAGATTACTCCAGATTGTCTAATTTGGTTTCAGAGGTTTATAGGGTTATAGGGACCTTATAGGGTTATAGGGACCTTTCTGAGCACTGTTGTTTCCTCAGATTGATTTTGTGAAGTATTATCCATTATATAAATACTTCTTTATTTCCTACCCAAAGTATAGTGACACATCATAACTTAATTAGAATGTAAGAAGGTTATACACATTTGTTGATTTTTTTTTTTAAATAATATTAATGTTAGCAGACATGGGATTAGTCCTTTAATCACTGGACAATTATCATTTTCATATGAGAAATGAAAAAAAAAGAAGCAAAGTGAGGAAATAGCAATGGATTTTGATTCTTTTTCTTGATTTGTAGACCACAAGAAAGCAAGACTCTGTCATTTTCCTGGGAAGATAGAGGCAAACTGCTTGGCAAAGGTGGTGAAAAATTCACAAGGATACAGAAAACACTGAATCAGGTAAGTTTCTAGACAAAACTAAAAGGTGGGAGAGTTTATTAGTGATACAGGGCTCTAAGAGTTCAATGATAAATTATTGAGTATTGAGAAAATACTGGGTAATTGTAATTTTTTAGTTTATGATTTAGAAAAATAATTAAATTCCATTGATTGTAATTTTGAACTATTTAAATTATAACAGTTTGAAGTTTTGAGTTCAGCATTATTATACCCCACTGCCTGGACTATAACTTTGTAATGGAAAATCAATGGAAGTTCATACTTGGTACAAAGATTGTGTACCGGTATGACCTGAAGGTGTGTTCTGATCTTGAACCAAGGTGATTCTGGCAAGTTCAAGGTCACTGGGGGAAAATGAATAATATTCTTGTCCAGTCTACAATTTCTTTATTGAGAAACATTGGAAGTTCATACTTCATACAAAGATTGCTTATAACCTGAAGGTGTGCCATGGCCTTGAAGCAAGGTCATTTGATCAAGTTCAGGTCACTTATTGAAAAATGTTTTAATTCCCATCCTCACCCTATCTAGTAATGAGGAACATTGGAGGCTCATACTTATCACAAATATTGCATATGATCTGAGGGTATGTATTGACTATGACACAAGGTAATTATGTGTCAAGTTTAAGGTCACTAGCAAAAGAGTGATTTATTTGTGTCCTGAACTCTCAAATGGGGCCTAATTGGAAGTAATACTTGGTACAAAGATTGCTAATCACTTAAGGTTGTATCATAATTTAACCTAAGGTTATTTTGGCAAGTTCAAGGTCACTTTCAGAAAAAAATTTATTTTGTGTCCAGTCTATAACTTTCTAATAAATAAATTTGAAAGCTCAAATTTCAAACATATATTATTTATGTCCAATATGAGTGTTATGACCTTGAACCTTTGGAAAATGAAACTTCAAACAAAGATTTTTTGTGAGCTAAAAGTATGTCATAACCTTGACCCAAGGTAATTATGGTCATTGTGGCAAGTTCAAGGTCACTGGCAGAAAAATTTTCAGGTCCATAATTTTCTAATGGAGAAGTATTGGATGTCCATATTTCACTCCAAGATTACTTATGACCAGAGGATATGTCATTTTTTATGATCAAGGTCATTTTGGCAAGTTCAAGGTCTCATTTACAAATTTGCAGATGGACACTTTAAACAAAATGCAGTGGAGGGTATTATTTTATGAGCTTGCTCACAGTACCTCTAGTTATGGATTGGCTATTTTGACATGTTTTACACATCTATAACTTTAATTTTTTTTTTATGTTAGTTGTCTCACTTATATGTAATTATGATTAATTTGACAAGGTTTATGAATATCAAATTTATATAGTCTTGCACTGTGTACTGTACTTTATAAAACAGACAATCTTTCTCTCTTCCAGAAAGGTGTAGATATCCGACTACCTTCAAAACCAAATAAAGACGGATCATTAAACATAGTATTGGTTGGTGATAGCAAAGAACTTATTGAGGAGGCTTATGCCATGGTAATGTCATTATGACCTTGAATACAGGTTGTTCATTATGACATAGGAACTGTGTTCAGTCTCATCGGTCACATGATGTCTGAATTCATAGAAAATAAATACTGCATATTGAAGAATAATCATTTTCAATTTTGATGAAGTTAATTTGAATTTTAAGAAATAATCGTATTGTATATTCTAGTTATGAAAGTACAATTTAAAGAATATGAATTTCTGTGAATTTCTAAACAATCATAATTGATATGCAGCTAAGAGTAATGTTTTTAAGTTTCTCTCAAACAAGTATACCTCATGTCAGAATTTTGAAAATAATTGAGGGTTAACTATTTCTTCAGTGCAAAATAGCACAGTTTTTACTTAAAAAAAAGAAGGAAATGTGATATATTTTTCTACATGTATGTATGTTGTCATGTAAACTTTATGTCATTAAAATAGAGTGTACATGTACATCAGTTTAATGATTCGAGCAGGTCCATGATGTTCAATGCAAATTTCTTGAATGAAATTGTATGTAACACATTTCTTTTTATTTCAGATTCGAGAAGAAATGGGGTATGTTGTATTTTATGTCAGTCTAATAATTTTGATAGCAGGTATTTGACAATGACCAGGATACACATATTGTATTCATATGTAAACACAAAACAACACTGAGGATAATAATATATGTATGTACAAATACTATAGATCAACAAATTTTTACAAATCATATTTTCATGAGATAATTATTTGTTATATATAAAGGTGATATAATTGTCACGGATGTTAGCTGTTGTTATGTATAATCCTTGATAATACAAATATATGCAGGAACAAAATTTTCGCAAGCAGACAATCTCACATTTTTATGGGATAATTAAGTTTTTTACAATATGTATATCATATAGCTTTCCATCAAAAATTGATAAAAAAAAAAAAAAAAAAAAAAAAAATAGAAGCCATTGTTACATGGAATATATCTTATTTTCAATAAAATTAGCCTACATAATTTATAGAGCAAAAAAAAAAAAAAAGAAAGAAAAATAACTGTTTCAAAAAACAAGAGGGAGAAAGAGTAAAAAAAAAAAATGTAAAAATAAAAAAAAAAATAAAATAAAAAATAAAATAAAAAGACTAGCAAGCTTTCCTGATCTCAAGTTTGTCTGTTGTCATGAACTGTTTACATTTCATCTTCTCATGGTCCTCAGGAACTTTTTCAACCAAACTTGCTACAAAGCATCCTAGGGGATTTAATTTTATTCAAATAGAGGGCCACACACTCTTTCAAAGAAATTAATTAAGAAATATGGAAAAGAGGTTTTTATTTTTCATTTAATAATCTTGTCTAGAATTTTTAATGGAACTGTTTTTCCATTGTCACAAAAAGAATTCCCTATGAAATTCTTTCCCAATGGTATTCCTCTTGCAGTATTAGTGGACTTTAATAAAACTGAATTGGTACTTGAGTAGATGGTATCCAGCCTTATTGTCATTATTAGTTTATTGATTAGATTCTGTCTGCCACTCCTTCTAAAGTTATAGTTTGATTGAAGTAAAAATTTGGCACAGGTTTAGAATTCTAACGGGATGTAAAATTTCGATTTAAGATAGTAGATTTAAGACTAAAAAAGATTGTTGCAAGTCCATGTGCAACTTTTCTCTTCCAGGTTTGTAAGTACAAACCCACAGAGGAGCTATGGTCTCGGCAGAGATTTCTGTTGAAAATGGTTTCCCTAAGTGGAGTTGCCATGGTTAAATTTTCATTGAAATTCCCTCAAAATTTTACTCTTCGTATTTGACTATAGTTTTTGGCTGATTTCAGTTAAACATGGCACTGACTCAGAGGTAGATTACTTTGTAAACCAAGGTTCATACAGTAGTTCTGCAGAGAGAAATGCCACTTCTCCTACATTACTGATTTGATTTAATAAAATTTTTTATACAGTTGGGAATACATAATTCTGTACCGGTAAATATAAATCTGTAAAAAATCTTTTGAGTCCAGGTGTAGCTTTTCTCTCCCTCTATTTTAAGTACAAACCACACAAGCTATGGTCTCATCAGAGACTTCTGGTTTAAAGATCGGAGTGTAGTTTGAAAGAGTTATTTGGTTATTTTGTTGTTTACTTCTCTTTCATTTACAGAAAACTAAGGAAGACCCTGTTAATAACTTATGCAGAAAGAGGGAAACTAATTGGCAGTGGGGGAGGAAATCTCAGTAGAATTAGGGAACAGCTAGAAGAGGTTAATATTATTTATAAGTGGTTGGGACTTCCAACTGACCTCAGCATATCCATTGTATTTGAGATACCAAAGTTCAACTGTTATATATATTTATAATAAATATTGTTTTCATTTACATTCCAGAAAGGAGTCTCCCTCAAAATTAATGATGACTACAAAAGTGTGAGGGTTGTTATTGTAGCCCAAAATGAAGAAGACCTGGAGGAAACTATTGAAATGGTAAAATGAGAAGTGGTATAAATGGTAGAAGTGGTAGAAAAGGTAAAATTAGAAGTGGTAGAAATGGTTAAATTGGAAATGGTAGAAATGGTAAAATTAGAAGTGTTAGAAATGGTAAAATTAGAAATGGTTGAAATGGTGATATTAGAAATGAACAGGTAAAATTATTTAAAAGTCTTAGAAATGGTAGAATTAAAAGTGGTACAGGTAGATGGTTAATAATTTATAATGAGGTGTCTGTGTTAAACCAATTACATGTACTGGTATATGTTTAATGAAACTTTCTGTGCTAGAGAAATCTGATTTGGAATATTCTGAAGTTATATTTGGTGGATGGTTAATTTATCTAGAATTTATGAGTACCCCTTATCCATAAATTCACACCTTGCATGAAATATTCTCTATCTATTTGCCTATATCATTCAGAACAAGATGTTTCCAAATGCAATATTGTCAAACTGAGCCTGTGAATTTTAAGCAATCCTTAAAATTTGTCCCAAATGATTACATGGTAATATGTATAAATCAGTAATGTGTATGAAATACATTTTTGTTTGTTAGCTTGAACATATATTTTCTTGGTTGCCTTGGAAGTTTATGAAATATTTGAGGGAAAACACTGGTTCAAGGGGATTTGATTTCATGGTTGAAGAAGAAGCATACCATAGTTTAAAAATTTTAATATTTATGGGGCATATAAATTCATAGGTCTACTATTTCACAAATACAACAAAAATGAACCCCTCACAAAAACTGAAGATTTCATTGAGCTATAGGTTAAATTTGTAAATATCATTCTCTTCAGCGTATATCTAGCTAAGTTAAGACTTCAATTTATGACCTGTTAGCTTAGTCAAAGCTATGTTTGGATCTCAATAAGCAGGTCTCTAGTTTAGTCCCTAATAAATGGTCCTTTAGCTTAGTCCTCAATAAGTTGTCCTTTAGCTTACTTCTAGCTTAGTAAAGACCAGGACCTCCATAAGCAGTTCTCTAGATTAATTCTCGGACCAGTTTAGTCAGAACCTCGGAAAGTAATCCAGTAGTTTATAGTAAGAGTTGCATGGTTCTGGTGGTCATTGTGGCTCATGGGGTCACTTGTCTTAATAACTGAAAAAATTGAAGTAATCCTTTTGAAATATTAATAACTATCTGATTTTTGCAGGTGCATCAAGAGCTTGAACTTGAAAGGTAATGTGTATTTAGATTCATATCAGAAAAAAATTCTTCTCATCTTATGTCATGTTCAAAATTTTTAAATTGTTACTTGTTTCTTATGTAGACGTACAAGGAGAAACTTGCGCTAAAGTGCACTCATGGTTAATAAAAATATAACGATATAGGGCAGTGCAGAATTCAAACATTGAGCTTATTTTTGGTGCTTTTAAACATGTAGAAAATAAATATAAAGAATGTTTTTCAGTTTAGAGTGAATAATTGGTTGTAAATAACACAGACTTGCACATAGACATATTTTTCTTGAAGCACTAGCATTGATGAAATATTCCAGTCTGACAAGTCTGTGTAAAAACATTCCTCAATTAAACTTTAGTGTTATTTGTGTTTGCTACAATATAAAGATTTTTTTTGTTTTGATTACAGATCAGTCAAGAGAGTTGAAGTCCTTAGAGATGCCGCCCTTGGCCTCATAATGGGGAAAAAGAGGGAATTGGAAAATCAGGTGAATATGTAATTAAGGGCAGTCCTTTGGATGAGACCAAAAAAGACAGAGGTCTAATGTTGCAGTAGATGCTGGCAACAAAAAGATCCCATTCTGCTCAATGGCCATAAGTGCATAATGGCAAATCTAAATTTGCAGTCCTCCACTGCACTTGGTGGCATCCCAAAATCAGTGAAAAATTCTCAAAGGAAAAAGCAATAAAACAAATAAATAATTAAGGGATAGGGTTGAAGTCCTAACAGGTGAAAGAGAAAGATAAATATATTTCAGTGAACTTGAAATAAAAGATACCACAGAGTCTGACACATCTGTTTTATATTTGGTTATTTTACTGGAAAAAGATGTTAATGGTAACCTAAGAACAAAACTTTATGATATACATGATGACTTCAACTTTTCTATCGTCAACCCATAACTATGTAGCAATATACCCTTATCACCTGCATATGGAGTTTATATCTCCTAGTTGATTCAGTATGCAAGAGCATTTACAAACAATTTCTAAAACCAGGCAAGCTCTTGACAAACAAGTTGATGAAACAAGGATATCAACAGTCTCATTAAAGTCATTCATCAAGTTCTATGGTCAATATAATGACCTTTTCAGCAAATAAAATCTATCATTAAGTCGAACTGACATTTTTCTTACTAATTGTTAGGCCATTATTTAAACACTGCATTGTCCTCATATTTTTCTGTTTGCCCAGTCATGACAAAGAGCACACGGCAATTGTGACCAGTGGACAGGGGATGCTTACTCCTCCATGGCACCTGATCCCACCTCGATGTTTGCTCTGCTCGCAATTTGTATTGTTTCAATGGACTTTTAAGGTTGATTACTGTTTTTTATCTCCATATTTTATGTTACCAGGTGTTCAAGTGACCTTGATACATGTAAGAAAAGAATACAGAGTTGACAAATATTACTCATTGCTTTCCATTTTCTTTGGCTTTTGCTGGTACATTCGTATAAGAGAATTAATTTGTTAACTTCCAAATAAGAGATAAGTTAGAAAAAAAAGAATGGATTCATTCTGAATCTTCATTTATAAAGCCACGTACTCTGCATCTTCGCTAGCCAAAGGTGTCTGATACGCTACTCTCCTCATAAACCCTTGGCATACGGTGCTGACAAAAGACGGGATTGTCTTCGTCACGTGATCACGATTCTTACCAGGTGAGCACCGATTGTGTCATCGACAGAAATAAAAAGCGTATTAAAAAAATAATGTTTTTAAAGAAAATTAACAAGAAGGTATTGAGTTATGTTAATTTGTTATTTAAACATGTTAAAATGCAAATCTACATCTCCAGTATAGATTCTTAATTAATTAGCTTAAGATAATGAATGATTCATAGAATGGCATGTTATCTTACGGATCGTTGTTTACTTGCGTTTTTCATTCCTGATATTAAAGAGTCAAGATATATCCTGAACGCAAATATCGTCATTTACAAAAAACAATTGCTGATTGGTTGAACGATGTCGATCAACTCCAATCACAGCTTGAGAAAAAAATCCCAACTTTTTTTAACACCGTATGCCAAGGGCTTATGAGGAGAGTAGCGTATCAGAAACCCTTGGCTAGCGAAGATGCGTACTCTGACAAATGACAACATTATTTGGAAGTCTGATTACATGAAGTTTCAGTTAATTCCCCAAAGACTAGCATGGGTTCACAAAGGATACAAAGGTTTAAATCAGAAATTTGTGTATAAAAGAAAAAAAAATATCCATAGTTTTTGTAAGTGAATGAGATATCCATGTACTCTGGAAATTGTTTTATTTAAGGAATCTCTAAGCACCAAAAAAAAAAGCATTTTTGGACCTTGAAAACATTTTATCATATAAAGGGTGAACATAGTGAGTTTATATACATGTAGTTCATTTTCAAGATAAGGTACCTGCCTTATTTACCCAGGAAGATTGTTCAAAGGCAATGGAGTATTAGTGAACAGAAAGCACTATTGTTTATTGAACAATCAAAATGCAAATACTGTACTCCGTTACGTTATCTTGGTTTAATATAATGTTAAGAATACTTAAGTGTACTGTATTACAGATTGTCTCATTAATTGTAGATTCACGTTTTTTTTCGATCGTAAGTCTAAGGGCAGATGACTCTTACTGCATAAATCTACCTTACAATTAGAGCTCTTTAGAGTGCAGTGTTTAGAGCTTCCTTAAAGTTTCTTTCTTGTTTTCCATAGGCCTAAAAATATGAGATTTATTTGAAAGCATCCTAGAGTAAAAATAAGTTTGCTTAAATCAGAAACTGATGGAAATGTTGCAATAGATGTTGGGTTGGGGGTGTACAGAGTCCACTGTATAAAAACAAAATAATTTCTAGATCCCTATACATGGATTTAAGGCATATATAATGAAGGGAATGCGATGAGAAAGGAGTAGGTGAATAAAAGTGAATGTAATATACATCTCTAATGTTACCCTAATTTTTTGTGTCACCTGCAGAGCAGAGGGACACTTAGGGATCACTTTACCTAGCATCTGTCTGTTTTTCTGTCTGTCACACCTCATATCTCAAGAACTGTAAGAAGTGTGAATTTGATATTTTGCACATATATTGCATGGCATTATGGCTTTTGTAAATTACCATGGTTACTGACCTCATGACCATTGACCTTGCTCTTTGACCTACATTTCAAAATAGGTCATAGTGATGATATACAGCATATTTTTGACATTTAAGAGGTAAGTCTATGCTTTTGAGCATGCATGTGCTCTGTTTGTCATAAAACTTTCAGTATAATGGTGCTAATGAAATGGACATAATTTGTTCCTGCTAACAACATTTTTGTCTTTTCTTTTACAGTTTGGGGATAAACTGAAGCTTCAGTTACACCTTGATAATCATAAAATATTCAGTGTTGACGAGGAAGAGGCAGCTATTTTATCAATAGATTGTGAAGATCCAGAAATTACACAGAAAGTTAAAGCTGAGGTTAGAAGTTCATTTATATCTAAATGAATTGGGACAGCACTTCATTGTATTCAGTTGTTAACATGGAAACTGGAATACCTCTAATAGAATTTGGTCACTAAACAACTTTTCTAAAAATATGCAGTGTACATGTATTTCATGTAGGATTTCAAAACCACTGTAGGTGGGAGTGGTTACAGATTCATTCTAAAAAAAATTTTTATTTTGAAGGTTGACAAACTTGAGAATAAAACATGGTAAGTAATGAACAGTTTCTTTAAAGTTCCTATTATCTCATCTTAATTGTCTCCTCACAACAAAGTAGGAGGGGATATACATGTAGTAATGCACTCGTGTGTGACTGCATGCGTAACAGAAGTTACCAAGCAATAATATATATTGAGATCGATGTGCCCTTTTGCAAGGGAATGTATTGCTTTTTTTGGTGCCCTTGTTTTTCATGCTTGAATATGTACCCAGTCCTTTATAGCCCTTGATGCTAGCAGTCATTTTACAGCTACAATATGCAACTTTTAAATTAAGTTTGAGCATAGTTATGTTTAAATAAGAAATAATTTAAGGAATATGTTTTTTGAACATGCTATTTCGAATTGACTGTTTCTTTCTCCTTTATCTTAATCATAATTTAAGTTTTTTTTATGCCCCTGCGGATTCAGGAGCATATAGTTTTTTTTATCTGTCTATATGTTTGTCCACAAAAACTTTAACTTGCCTATAACTTTTGATTGGTTGGAGTTTGGGATTTCATGTTGTTTCATGTGTGAAAAGACTTTCATTGGGTGCCAATATTTTTGACCTCTTGACCTTGAAATACTATACAATTGGAATCTTTTACCAATTTGTCCTTAAAGAAAAGGTTTATAAATTTAGCGAGAAGTAATTTTAGTGATTTTATAATACCAAGAACTTAACCACCAATTCAGATTGAATTGGAAGTTGTCTAATTTGGAAAGTTGTCTAATCCAGAATGTTGTCTAATCTGGAATGTTGTTTAATCCAGAATGTTGTCTAATCTAGAATGTTGTCTAATCTGACCAATTTCTATGGAACCATTGATGGCTGGATTAGACAAGTTTCACTGTTCAGTAAATGGTATCATAACAATCCTAATGATGCTTAGATTTTTAGTTAATGTTGAACGTCAAGGAATACTATTACATGTATTTACTTTACTTTATCAAAGGCTGCCACACAAAGTAAAAGTCCAGTATGAAGATTCTACAGAAGATGCAGAACAAACCTTGCGAGACGTCTTCGATATGGTAAGATCAAAATCTCTTCCACAAAATGTTACTGTAAATCACATTTTATTTGCAAGAACTTTATTTTCATGTAATTACGTGAGACTGACTACTCACAAAAAATTTCATTCTCGCGTATAATTCTATTATTAAAGATTATATACAGCAATAACCAAAATTCGTGAAAATTTTGTTTCACTTATAAATACCAAACAATCTCGCAAATATAAGGTGTCCTGCATATTTAGTGATATAAAGTTTCATGTGAAGCCTCAGTCAAGGTTAATATTTAATATGTATGTGTAAATTAATATAATAAATCCATTACTATTTCTACCCCAGATTTAGTCTGAGTTCAGAAATAATCAATTGTGTTTATGTCTTTCAGAAGAGAATCAATTTTTTAAGTGATCTGTGTGTTTGTGTACTAGGGAGTTTATTTTAGACATGATATTATATGCATTTATTATACAGTAAAACATGATTATAGTGAAGTGCTAGGGGCAAACAATTTTGATTCGTTAAGCATGAAATCAATAAAATTGGGTTCACTGTAACCATATATTACTGCATACATTTATCGTTTGGTTTTATTTTTCTGGATTTATTTTTTCAGACTACCAGAAAATGTTTTCTTTTTTTTTTTAGACAAATTGTTTCTATTATAAACCAAAGCAGAATGGAGAAGAACTGATCATTTATGCTAGAAATGAAGAGGATTATGAGTTAGCACTAGCTAGGGTAAGCCATAACTGCTCGCTGAGTGAACACTAGCTAGGGTAAGCCATAACTGTTTGCTGAGTTAGCACTAGATAGGGTAAGCCATAACTGCTCGCTCAGTAAGCACTAGCCAAGGTAAGCCATAACTGCTTGCTGAGTAAACACTAGCTATGGTAAGTCATTACTGCTAGCTGAGTTAGCACTAGATAGGGTAAGCCATAACTGCTTGCTAAGTTAACACTAGCTAGGGTAAGCCATAATTGCTTGCTGAGTTAGCACTAGCTAGGGTAAGTCATAACTGTTAGCTGAGTTAGCACTAGCTAGGGTAAGCCATAACTGCTTGCTCAGTAATCACTAGCCTGGGTAAGCCATAACTGCTTGCTGAGTTAACACTAGCTATGGTAAGTCATTACTGCTAGCTGAGTTAGCACTAGCTAGGGTAAGCCATAACTGCTTGCTTAGTTAACACTAGCTAGGGTAAGCCATAACTGCTTGCTGAGTTAGCACTAGCTATGGTAAGCCATAACTGCTTGCTAAGTTAACACTAGCTAGGGTAAGCCATAATTGCTTGCTGAGTTAGCACTAGCTAGGGTAAGTCATAACTGTTAGCTGAGTTAGCACTAGATAGGGTAAGCCATAACTGCTTGCTCAGTAATCACTAGCATGGGTAAGCCATAACTGCTTGCTGAGTTAACACTAGCTATGGTAAGTCATTACTGCTAGCTGAGTTAGCACTAGCTAGGGTAAGCCATAACTGCTTGCTAAGTTAACACTAGCTAGGGTAAGCCATAACTGCTTGCTGAGTTAGCACTAGCTATGGTAAACCATAACTGCTTGCTAAGTTAACACTAGCTAGGGTAAGCCATAACTGCTAACTCAATAAGCACTATGAGGTCGAAGTTCAGGATCAATCTACTCCAGACATGAGAAGATTATGTTTGCTCTTTGCTAGACAGACACCAAACTTGATATCCTGGTACTGTAACAGTAAAACTCAATTATTGTGAAGTCCTGGGGACCTGTTTATTTACTTTTGCCAGATCTTCATATAACAAATTCCTGAAAATATACAGTATATAGCAAATTTGCAATATACATGTTTTCCTTCAAATATGACTGCCAAATATGTCAGAAAAATACTAGAAAGAAAACACAACTTGGGTACAGATGAGGTTTTCAGATGAAGTGAATTTCAATTATAAATACTAGGGATGTCAACGAATAGTCGACTATTCGACTATCAGTCGAATGGACCGACGATCGAATAACGAAACAACATTCGAATAAATAAATTCAATAAAAGAGTGATAAAGAGATGGAATTCTCATCTTAAAATTCGGAAACCGCCTTTCCTCAGACACAGTCGATAAGATAATTTTCCTCATTAAAAACTGCTGACTTTACATGTAGAAAGTACAGTGATTAGAAATGCTTCACTTCCGCGAGAATTATTTGTTAATTAATGTGTTGTTTTTGTAATGAAATTATCTCACTACACTGTGCTTTCTTTGTAAATTTATTAATTGGATTTGATCTCATACCATGTAACCATTATAGCCGTGACATGTTTGGACACTACGATAATTACTATAAAATTAATATTCTTTTACATATCTTAACGCTGCATTGCACTTCCGGAATTTTGCATAGCATTTCCGACTTTCTTAAATTTCATTTCCGACAATTTTTATTTTGAAATGCAGCCAATTTTAAAGACATTTTGATAGTTATAACAAAAAGTATATTCAAATACAGTGGCTTCCATTTTATCGGATAGCGGTTTAACGAATATTTCGGCTATTTCAATATAATATCAGAGCACAAAACCATTTCTTATATATTTATTAATAATTTCACCTGATATTCTGATGAGAAAATATTGGAATTTCGTTTTATCCGATACAAAAATTTGGACTATCATAGTGTTTTTTGATAATCAGCACCTTGTTCACACCTCCAACTTCGTATGTGAAGCCTTTGTTTACACAGTTTGACACCAATTACCTTGACTGGCTTGAGTACGACAATGAGGGGATTAGTCATGCCTGGAAGCACACAGGCACCTTACCTGTGTCAATAGTGGGCATAGTAAATAGATATGTTTTGATTACAGTTGTGGTGATCAGCTTGGGTTCAATGATGCACTTGTTAATTATGACAATTATTTGCAATTTTTTCGGCGTGAAATTTTAATTATTGAACTGATTAGCTTGTGTATGACAATTTGCTTTGATAATAAAATAAACCTATTCAATCGTTTAACTTGGTCAATTGGCTTAATATTTATTCACTTTTCAGTGCAAAATTTATGGTAAAAATCACAAATGTCCCGTTCTATAAAAATACGTCTCAAAATTCATACCATCTTTCTCCACATGGCTCTCAAAATCTCTCTTCAGCAGACAAGAACGAGACTGGTAAACTCACACACAGTATAAAATACGTAACCGTATTAAAGAAACAAATAAAAACGAAACAATTATATATATTTAATATTTTTGTTTATTTTTAATTTACAATCTATCCAGGGAAAAATAGTTTACGGTTATTAGTCAAGCATTTAGTCTACTTCCGTTTCCAAAATGGCGACCATCGAAGAAGGAATGTAAACATGTGCTGAAGAAAGATGGCAATAACTATCAAAGAATATATTCTATACGTCAATTTATTTGAAAAAAAAAATTTCATATTAAATTCATAAGTAAGTGAAATAAATTATTTTTAGTAAAGTCATTAAGTAAACATGTCAAAAGAAAACGAAAGTGCAAGTTTGAAATTTGCTACGATGTATTATCAATACATGTAGCTCTATACATCTATCTTTGGACTCGGTATGGAGCAATCGGCTATTCTAATTTTCGGCTATTCGGATAAAACTAGGCCGACAACTTGACTATTCGATAAAACGGGAACCACTGTATTTAACATTATCACAGACACCGTGTATGCCCCCCCCCCCCCCGCCCCAATCATTCTAATAAGCTTTAAAAAATGTATATATCGTACTGTCATTTTAAAACCGACTTTACAGATTGATTTATGAACATGATTGATGGGGAAATCATACATTTTTGAGAAATTAACGGTCTATATTTAGTAAATATAAACACACTATCCACATTTTAGGCCCATGTGAACATCTGTGTGTAACGTTTGATGTAACTTTTTAATAAATTTTGAAAAAGGGGATTTGGGGTAAAATATGCCATGTACTAGTGACGTTTGAAATTAAATTTTAGTTTCCGAAAAAAGTTTCGAATATATTCGACTATCGTTCGAATAATGCAATCGAATATTCGACTAAAGAAAATAAATATTTTGACATCCCTAATAGATACTTATGATAAACAGTGTCAGTTCATTATCTTAAATTTTGAGATGTTATAAATTCTTTATAAAAGATATAAATTTAAATACATGTATTTCTAACCTTTACAAGGCACAAAATCAGTTAGCTCTAGTAATCCATAAATTAGTTATATCAGAGGTTGTTAAAACTGTAAAATTTTACAAAGAATTGTTAAGAATTTTGCTGTGGATCCAAAAAAAAAAAAAAATTTGCTATATTGTAAAATTGTTATATCCATATTCTTACTAAAAACAAGTTTTACTGACCCCCTAAGGAGTAGATTAACCTAATAATTTTGAGGTCACAAGGTCAAAGGTCATGGGTCAAACTACTTCAGACATAGAAAGATATTGTCAGACAGCTCAATATTTTAGGAGCCCTTTGCTTGATACACCTGTACCCTCTAAGAAGTAAATTGCCCCTTTTGATATCAAGGTTTGATAGGGATCATACAAAATTTTATGCTTGCCCATTACTAATAGATAACCCTTTTTTTTTTTAACTTTTAAAACAGACAATCTAAATTTAAAGCTGATTGTTTTAATATTACCACATGTGGGGCATATATATGTTTCTGAAACATTTGTTGTTTAAATTTATTTTTTCTTTAAATAAATTACAGATGAAAGAACATGCAAAATTGAAGATAACAGAATGGTATGTATACATTTGATATAACAGAGGATATTGTTTGTACTGATGAGAACTTAATAGAGAAGATTTGTGGGCTTCTATTTGAATGTTGAATGCATATTTATATTTATCCAAGTAAGCCCCCAAGCCTCTGTAAGTGTCCATTTCTGTTATTTTTTTCTATTTGAAATAATAAGTGCCCTTTGTTGGACTATTTAATAAATTACTGTGTTTTCAGGAAGACAAATGAGTTTTGCTGCAAATCAATTAGAAATTCTATTATATAAATATATTTATAAACATCATTTGAATGTGTTTTGATGTAAACCATCTTTTTTCTGCATTACATTAATAACCTGATGAACAGTGTACTAAACTAATTCTTATTCATTCCATTTCTGCTTTTGATAGCTTGATTGATAGCTCTTACCTCATAGTGTAATGTTTAAAGATATTTAATGCGACATTGCCATAAATAATTCCCTCGCTCATGTCCTCAGAATGAGTACTCATGTTCCGACCTGTGTGACTGTCACAATTTTTAACTGTTTAAACAAAAGCATATGAAATAATTTGTTTTTAATGCACCTGAGCTGAAAGCTCAAGTAAGCTTCTTTGATCACCCATTATCTGTTGTCTGTCTGTCCGTCTGTAAACTTTTCACATTTTCAACTTCTTCTCAAGAACCACTAGGCCAATTCTAACCAAAGTTGGTACAAAGCATCCTTGGATAAAGGGTAATTTAAATTAATTTTTTAAAATAAAGGGCCAAACCCCCTTCCAAGGGGAGACAATCAAGAAAAGACAAAAATAGGGTGGAGTCATTAAAAAGTCTTCTCAAGAACCATTGGGCCAGAAAAGGCTGAAACTTGCATTGAATCTTCCTGAAGTACATTGTAGTGTAGATTCTAAATTGTTCAAATCGTGGTCCCTTGGATAGGGTGGGGCCACAATAGGGAATCAAAGTTTTACATTGAAATATATAGGAAAAATCTTTAAAAATCTTCTTATCTTCTTCTCAAGAACCACTGGACCAGAAAAGATGAGATTGTGTAGATTCTAAATTGTTAAAATCATGACCACCAGGGGTAGGGTGGGGCCACAATAGGGAATCAAAGTTTTGCATTGAAATATATAGGAAAAATCTCTAAAGACCTTCTTCTCAAGAACCACTGGACCAGAACAGATGAAACTTAGGTGAAAGTTTTCTGAGGTAGTGTAGAATGTAATTTTTTTCATACCATTGTCCCCAGAGGTAGAGTGGGGCCACAATAGGGAATCGAAAGTTCAATATAGGATTGTATATGAAAAAATATTTTAAAATCATCTCAAGTACAGCAAAGCCATATATTGTCATATTAATCTAGAAGCAACTTTAGGTAGTGTAGATTCAAGCTTGTTTAAATCATGACACCCCCCCCCCCCCCCTTCCTCTCACAGGGGGAGGGTGGGGCCAGAAAAGCCAATCAAAATTTACATAGAATTTTATTGCCTTATTAGGAAAAAGTCTTTAGAAGTTATCTTCTGAAAAACAGTAAAGTCATGATGACTCATCATATAAGATAGAAATATAGAAGTTAATTAATCAAAGGGAAATGAAAAGAATTAATATTTAATTTTCTGCACTTTTGACATACTTTAGATTGAACAATTATGATGTGTTATTTTACAATTATATTATACTTTCATGTAAATTATTTGAATCTGATTCTTCTTAGGAAAATTTGGTAAAAAACACTATTAGTCTCTGAATGATAAAACCACACCCTCCTGCATGATAGAACTTAACAACAATCAGACAAGGGTTTTCTTAGGATGAATATTTTCAATGTTATCCCCAACTACAGGCAATCTTTGTATAATGTACTAGAATTTAAAATCCTTTTTTATTAATGAATCACATTTTGCTTTGAATTAGGTCTGAAGTCCCTTGGAGAATAGATATTTCCCGAGATGCTGTTGTTGGACTATTGATGGGAAAAAGAAGAGAATTTGAGAACAAGGTAGATACAGAATGGAAAGAGAAAGTGGAAGTTCTGAACCTTAAAACAGTATTGCTCCAGAGAGGGGTTTGTTTTAGGGAAAAGATGATACAAGCACAAAATGAAGTGCTTGTAATTAAAAAATTCATATTTATTTAGTATACTGAATCACCTATTTTCAGAAATAATTTAAAGTACTTATGTTTTTTCTAGTGTGCCAATATGAGAATAATAAAGTTCTTTAAGGCATGAAATGGGAAGTATCTATATAAATTAGAATTAATTGCTTAATGTTCTTTTCTGCCTTACTGGTCTTATGCGATATGGTAAGGTGTCTGTCATCCATCCATTTGTCTGTCTGTTTATCTGTTGACAATTTTTTTTTAACAATGCTACTCCTTCATAACATATCTGTGCATTGTTTTTTTTTTATTTCCACAAATGATCTAGACTTTCCATAGTTACTTAAAATAGCTTTAAAGGTTATGAAATATTAAATAATTTATGTTCTTTCAAAACTCTACTCTTCCTACAATTTTAGTCCAATTTCAATAAAACATGGTACACAAGTAGACTTTGTAGCTACATTATGATACATTATCTTGTTTATCAGTTGTTTTGATTAAATATACCACATAATGATTGTACACATTAAGATTTCAATGAACAATGTTTCAATAGTTAATAAAAATAGAATAATGTTTGAATTTTTTTTCTTCAAAATGCCACACCTCCCACAGTTTTGGTCTGATAAATGAAACCTGATAAACAAGTACATGTATATCAGATGAAGACATATAATTCTAGTTATCACTGTTGCCATAACTACGAAGAAAAAGAATATGTGGAAAAAAATGCTATTCCTAATTAAGTTTTGATTTAATTGCAAGAAAACTGGGTACAAGTTTAGAAGATATTAGCATACAGAACTCTGAAAACAGTAAAACTAAGAATATGTTTCAGATCCAGATGCTACTTTTCTTATTCACTGTAAGTACAAACAAGTAGAGCTACAGTCTAATCAGAGACTTCTGATTATTACCTCTACTGATCAAAGACCAGAAGAGCTCATGTGATAGTAAGGTGTCCGTCGTGTGTCTGTCTGTCTGTCTGTCTGTAAACAGTTTTTCAAAATAACTTGGCACACAAGTAAACTACACAAAGATACATAATTATATATATTGGTTTTTGATTTTGTTGAACGGTGTTGCCATGGTTACTAAAAATAGAAAATTCTTTAAAATACTTTCAAAATGCTACTCCTCCTACAGTTTTAGTCTGTTTTCAATAGTATTTTTGCACACAAGAAAACTACACTAAGATACATAATTCTGATTTTGATGAATGGTGTTGCCATGGTTACTAAAAATAGATTTTTCTTTGAAATACTTTCAAAATTGCTACAGATACAGTCTTGTCAGAGACTTCTGGTTTTTGTGGTAAGAGATAATAATTTTGTTCTCAGTTTGGAGACCGTGTAAAGCTGAGGTTACCCCTAGATCATCAGGCTTCATTGGAATACACAGATCCACAGATTGCAGAGGAGGTTCTAGCTGAGGTGAGATTCAGTTTGTGTCTTCAAGGGGATGCTAGTAAATGCTGTTGACCAACTTACTTTCACATGCTGCAAACTTTTACATTTTCAGCAAATAATAAAGGAAAGCAGGAAAGATCAAGTTTAATATTTGAGTTACTGGGGTACATGAAAGCAGATACAACTTGGAATCACTGCAAAGATGTTTGGTTGACAAATTAAATGAGCAGGGTTGTCCCTAAGAATTGAAAAAGCAGAGGACATAAAAAAGAAGGGTATCTTGGGGTTCCTCCCCTAACAGAGGTTGAGGGGGAATACCAGAATAATGGGGGATTATCATTATAGGCGGGGAAATTCCCCAGCCTGGGGTCTTAAGGACAACCCTGAATCTGGAAGAAAAGTTGAAAATTTTATTACTATGCAACTTTCCCTAATATGTTAAGTTTCAGCATCTGTCCTTTTCAGTTTTTGGAATTTGGTTTTTATTTTTAAAAAATGTATTTTCTTTTAAAGATTCAAGAACTGAATGAAACAAAATGGTAAGTACTAAATAAATTTAGGACAAAAATTCTTTTAATCAATAACATGAAATACCCTTTCTGGTTTTTAGCTCTTCTTGACAAAGCTGATATGAGCTTATGCTATATCTAATGATTGGCATCTCAGATTAAAGTAGGTCTATTCCCATGTATTAACAATAATGTGCACCTGGACCAAATTTGTTTGGAGGTTGCATCTAGAGATGCACACTACCAGATATGCTTCAGATGCTGCATTTGACCTACATTTTCTGGATGATTGAACATATTTTTGAGTTTTAAGAGCAAGATTACAGTTGAACAGAATGCTGCATTTGACCTTTATTTTATGGATGAGTGACCAGGTTAAAATTATTGGAGAAAGTCATTAAAACTGAAATCTTTGCTTATTTTTGGAGATGAACATGTATATACATGTATGTACTAAATGCTTAATATCCCTTTAATAATTTGCCTTCACCCAAGGTAATGTGGTAAATTGATTTGAAAAACATGAGTAGAAAAATTGTCATTTGCAGAAAGCTCTGAGTTGAATTTTCCTCTGTTTTTCAAAGCAAATAGAATAAGAGACTTCTCAGTTTTTATAACTTTCTCTAATATACTTTTGAATTTGAAATGCTTGAATTCATTAAAAATATAAATAAGGCAGGTTCTTTGTGCAAATGGTTTAAGTATTAGCTAGGTATTCTTGAGTTTATCATAATGATTGTCCCTTCGTACAGTAAAAAATGCTTATAGCAAACAAGCTTATGATGAATTGACACTTACAGTGATTTTCATTCCCCCTGGCTTTAAAAATGTTGTGAACTTAATGGATATAAAGAATTAAATTTATTAGATTTTGGTATCTGGAACATCTATTTCTGGAATATCATGGATGTGTCAAAGTATTTTGAAGTTTTTACCACTTTTTCTTTATGATAACTTCTGTGAATATCTTGAATCCTCTGATATCTCTAAAAGTTTTTTCATGACTCCATCAAGTTCAAGGTAACAAGGTTTGACTGTGTAAATATATGGTTTGTTGTTCACAATTTTAACAATAAAACAAGATGTGTTTGTGAAACACTGATGCCCCCATATGGCAGCTTATGGCGAAGGTTAAAGTTTCTCAAATGCAAGTCAAAATCCAGGCCAAAAGATAAAAAAATGTTAAATTTGAAAGCCCTTGCACCAACCATTCAAAAGTTATGGCCAAGGTTAAAGTTTTTCGAAAGTAGGTCAAACTCCTATGTCAAGGTCAAAGGGTCAAAGTGGTTGGTATACAAAGGAAGGTCTTATCACAAGGATTACATATGTGAAGTATGAAAGCCCTAGCATCAACCATTCAATAGTTATGGCCAAGGTTAAAATTTTTCAAAAGCAGGTCAAACTCCTAGGCCAAGGTCAAAAGGTCAAAGTGGTTGGTATCCAAAGGAAGGTCTTGTCACAAGGATTACATATGTGAAGTATGAAAGCCCTAGCTCTAAAACCGTTCAAAAGTTATGGCCAAGGTTAAAGTTTTTCAAAAGTAGGTCAAACTCCTATGTCAAGGTCAAAGGGTCAAAGAAGTTCATATCTAGAGGAAGGTCTTGTCACAAGGAATACACATGTGAAGTTTGAAACCCCAAGCACCAACTGTTCAAAAGTTATGGTTTTTCAAAAGTAGGTCAAACTCCTATGTCAAGGTCAAAAGGTCAAAATTGTTGGTATCCAAAGGAAGGCCTTGTCACAAAGAATACACATGTGAAGTTTGAAACCCCAAGCACCAACTGTTCAGAAGTTATGGCCAAGGTTAAAGTCTCATAAAATTTTGCAAAAGTGGGTCAAACTCCAAGGTCAAAAGGTTAAATATGATGGTACCCAAAGAAAGGTCTTGTTACAAAGAATACACATGTGAAATATGAAAGTCATAGCTCCAACCAATCAAAAGTTATGGGCAAGGTTAAAGTTGACAACAAACAGACAGACAAACAGACAAACAGACAGACAGGACAAAAACAATATACCCCCGGGATCTTTCGATCCGGGGGCATAAAAATTATGTTCTGATATGTGTAGTCATTTAAAACTTCAAGCATTACACACAATACTTACATAGAATTCTATTTTTAAAGGTTGCCACACACAATAAATGTTGAAGAAGATGTTGCAAAGCGTGTTATTGGAGTAAGAAGTGAAAACATCATTGATATAATTGAAAAGGTAGGTTAAATACCCCTACTGTCTTTTTTATGTTGAGATCTTCAGCTTCTTTAGTTAATGTCGTCTGTATCTTCAGACAAACTGTTACTTAAATTACGAAATGTCTTCTGTATCTTCAGACAAACTCTTACTTAAGTTACGAAATGTCCTCTGTATCTTCAGACAAACTGTTACTTAAGTTACGTAATGTCATCTGAATCTTCAGACAAACTGTTACTAAACTTACATAATGTCCTCTGAATCTTCAGACAAACTTACTTAAGTTACGAAATGTCTTCTGTATTTTCAGACAAACTGTTACTTAAGTTACATAATGTCTTCTCAATCTTCAGACAAACTGTTACTTAAGTTACATAATATCTTCTATATCTTCAGACAAACTGTTACTTAAGTTACATAATATCTTGAAGTTCTATATTTTCAGACAAACTGTTACTTAAGTTACATAATATCTTCTATACATAATATCTTCTCTATCTTCAGACAAACTGTTACTTAAGTTTTACTGAAGCTGAGGATGGGAGAGATCTGACCATTTACGCTAGAAATGAGGAAGACTTCAAGGCAGCCATGGCCAGGGTATGTCTTAATTAATGTATAAATAGGATGGATGCTGTACTGTTTGATCGAGTGATAAAAGGGGTGGGGGAGGGGATTCTGTTCCTGCTGTAAACTTTATAGTTTAATTAAAATTAGATCTTTCATGGTCCCATCTTCTACAATCATGTAGCGATGACATAATGACATATATCACAAGATGGAAGCATTAAGGATCTAACTTTGAATAGATAATTAAGTTGCAGAGAATGTAATGTCATATTTTAAAAGGTTTGTAAATTGTTACTAATATGTTTAAAGATTTTTTTCTGTTGTTTAATTGAAACTGTCAAAGTAAATTACAAGTGATATAAAACACATGTGAATTTTACTAAATAAATTAAAAAGTGAGGATGATTTTTTATATTGTATTGTTTTTTTGCATGTTGATTGATATGTTTTGATATGAACATGTTTTGAAGAATAAGTTAATTAGATTCTGTTGATTATCGTTAATTTTATTTGTTATGCTTTCTGACCTCCCAGACTGCCTTAGTGTGGAGATATATATATATATATATATATATATATATATATATATATATATATATATATATATATATATATATATATATATATATATATATATATATATATATTGTTTATTTATCATTAGTCTTTTCAATAGTTTCAAAAATCTCTGTCTAGATATTTTTTTTCTTTTGCTTTGCTTTCCTGATATGACAAAAAGGAATTACATGTAAATGTATAATTCAAATTAACAGGTGTAAGGTTTTTCAATGAAACTTACTAAGACTATAGAAGATTTACCAGAAGATAATGCAGATCTTAGAATTTTAATGTATTTTAAGTGTTTATTTTCCTTTCAGATCAATGAATTTATAGAGCACAAGACAGATGCAAGGTAATACCTTATTTAAAATTAATAATGCAATAAATTTCAATTGACAGTACAGCACTTATTGTGTTCATGTATTTGTAAATATATTATGGCAAGTTGAATTTTTCAAAAAAATTCAATCTTCCAGTCAATATTTTTGAATTCACCCATGAAGTATGTCATATAATCCTGTTTTGTTTCTCACTAAGATCCACGAAGAAAATAAACATTTCCAGAGAAGCTTACCTGGGTCTGGCCACTGGGAAAAGGAGAGAATTGGAGACTAAGGTAAATACATAGCTGAGGAGAGAAGTTGTAAGTTAATATTGTGAAACATTTCAGTCAAACATGTGTAAACAAAAATGAAATGTAGGTACATGTAGGAAAGGGGGATATATCAAAAATATTATTTTTATAAAATTTTTAAGTTCAAATTTTTAATGTTTTTATTCTGGAATTATGTTCTAGACGGAATTTTTCTCATAACCAGTGACCTTAAACTTTGAGATTGGATTGCAACTTTAGTTTGTTGTCAGGCTCTTGAAGCTATGTCATTAGGTAGCATATTTCCCTCTCTTGACCCAGTCTCACTTATCCTTTACATATAGAGTGCTTATGGGTAGAGGATGTGCAGTGACTTTTAACCAATCTATAGATCAAAGGTCAAGGTCAAAAGAATATTACTGTGTAAAATCTCTGTCTTTCTCCATGACCATCTTCCTCAAACTTCATGTACGAAGTGCCCATGGATAGAGAATGTACTGAAACCTTGACCAATTTTCTTAATCCAAGGTCAAAAACATCTGGGTCTTAAATCTTGTACGAAGCATATTTTCTTTCCCCTTGGCCCATTATTTGCTAAAACTTCACCCTCAGATTGCCAAGGGGTAGAGGTGTGTAGTGACCTTAAACTAATCCATTTAAGACCCAAGGTCAAAATGTTGAAAGGATCACCATTTCACTGATATCTAGTTCCTTCAAAATCTTCTTCTCTGTTCTTGGGTATTTACCAGACAAACTAATGTATATTCATGGCCCCAGGGTCAGGGTGTGACTCTATTATGATCATGTGTACAAATTTTAGTCAGCTTAAAAGAAACTTATTCCCCATTGTTATTGACCTATGACTATTGGACTTTGCGCTGACTTTTACAGTCAACAGCTTACTTTTACACTAAAACAATATACGGAAGCTCTTTTGCGATATAAATATTTAGCCAAACAGTTAACTAAAAGGTAATAATGGGTCGTTTCAAAGCACATATTACGTTATCTTGGAACCACCCCATCCTCAACCCCCTCCCTTTCTGCCTTGACTGACTCCTGCTAAGTTTTCCTTTCGGAATGATTTTCTTTTCTTCCTAATTTAACTCCTCCACCAAATGAGATTAAAAGGAAATACTACCTCTCAAGAATAACGTAAGTTAAGTTGTTATTCTGCCTCTCATCATCTCTTGTGTTGATTGTATACTGGTAAATCGTGTTAGCGTCCCTAACACCATACCTATGACATGTTTTCTTATTTATAATCAATTCCGTACCTCCTTACATAAGGCAGGTTTAAATGTCAAGTAAACTGTCGACTGTAAAAGTCAGTGCTTCTCGCAAAGGTCCATTAATCACTGTAAATAATGTTATTGATAGGTAAATTGGATAAAAGAATCATACAAGAATTTTTAATGTACATGTATAATACAAAAATTTCTTTCCTTTAAATGGTCTAGTAGACTTGTAATAATAGATGAATAAAAATGACATGAAAAATCTTTATATACATGTATTTACATTAAATATTATTCAAAGACTTAAGAGAGGCCAATTGTTGAGGATCAACTATGTGAATACTGTTTCATATGCTGAAGTTTATTTTGATGATAGTGATAGATTTTAGATAGCACTGGCATACTGTAGATTCCTAAATATATGCGAGGAATTAATTATCGCGTTATTACGTGAGAAGAACCACTCGCGAAATAAAATTACTCGCTTTAATTTTTGTGGTACTGAAATCCACATAAAATATCTTAATCAAGCGTCCACTCGCGAATTAGACTTCTCGCGATTTGTCGTCTAAGGGCCTTTTCGCGATATTAAGTACTCGCGTAAAATAAGGAATCTACAGTATACAGGCAGTCTTCAGAGTTGTTGCAGATTATTTTGTTCACACTTGATCATCCTATTTCTCTTGATTTTGAGTTTCAGTTTATTTTGTGTTATTCTATAAGTTAATCATTTACAGGGTTGTATTATACTCATGTGACTGTTAAGGCCCCTGGGTCTCCTGTTAACACTTTATTATCAATCTTATTTGTTTTTGTTTTTTTTGTTTTGTTTTTTTTACAGTTTCAGGATCAGTTGAAGTTGAAGCTTAGTGTTGGTGATTTTGACATGTTTCACAATCAAGATGCAGTGCATTCTTCAATTGTATCAATAGAATGTGAAGACCCCGAGACTGTTAAGGAGATTGAGGCTGAGGTAGGAGTTATGTCCAGGGAGTAAAAGATTGCATTTTTAAAATTACTAGCTCTAAAAATGAAGGCCTTCCTATTTTTTTACTAATGTTTCTTGGAGAGGGTTAAACTGGGTCTAGTAGAATGTCATTTTAACAATAAAATGTTCTATCAACTGCATAAGCACTGATTTGGAGATACCCCCACCCTCACCCCCACCACCACCAAAAAAAAAAAAAAATTAGAAGAGCTACTTTAGTGCAATAATCGAAATTACATGAAAACTATAGGCATCCATGATGAATTTTCTTGCCAGACATTAAATAGATATTGATGTAATATTTTAAAGTACATCTTTGTAAAAAGAACATTGTATGAGATACTGATCAGATTAATTAATTTGGCTGTGATGATAGTGTATAGAATTAATGCATCATTTCTTATTTGCAGATTGAAGAACTGAATAAAATAAAATGGTAAGTAATGAGTAGATATTTTAAATTCATGTTTTAGGTCATCTGAGTCTTTCAGGATTGAACAAGATGTGTTTGTGAAACACTGATGCCCCCATATGGCAACTTATAGCAAAGGTTAAACTTTCTCAAATGCAAATCAAATATGTTGGTACCCAAAGTCTCAAGGAATATACCTGTGAAATATGAAAGCCCTAGCAGCAACTGTTGAATAGATAAAGGAAAGGTTAACTTTTTTTTCAAAGGTATGTCAAACATCAAGGTCAAGGACAAATGGTCAAAATTAATGGTGCCCAAGGAAAGGCATTCCCCCAAGAAGTACACAGATGAAATATGAAAGCCAAAGCACCATTCATTCAAAAGTTATGACCAAGGTTAAAGTTTTCCAAAAGTAGGTCAAACTCCAAGGTCAAGGTTAAAGTTGCTGGTATCGAAAGGAAGGTCTTGTCACAAGGATTACACATGTGAAATATGAAAGCCTTAGCACCAACCATTCAAAAGTTATGGCCAAGGTTAAAATTTTGCAAAACTGTGTCAAACTCCAAGGTCAAGGTCAAAGGGTCAAAGTTGTTTGTATCCATTGGAAGATCTTGTCATAAGGATTACTTGTGTGAAGTATGGAAGCCCTAGCACCAACTGTTCAAAAGTTAAGGCCAAGGTTAAAGTTTGATAAAATTTTGCAAAACTGTGTCAAACTCCAAGGTCAAGGTCAAAAGGTCAAATATGGTGGTACCCAAAGAAAGGTCTTGTCACAAGGAATAAACACGTGAAATATGAAAGCCATAGCTCCAACCAATCAAAAGTTATGGGCAAGGTTAAAGTTTTTGTGGACAAACAGACAGACAGACGGATGGACAGGGCAAAAACTATATACCCCCGAATCTTCGATACGGGGGCATAAAAATTGATTAGGATTTGATGCATACTTGGAGATACTAAAAGTATGCAGGTGCAGGATTTCAAAAACAAAAATGTTAATAATCATGATACATGTAATGCTTTTGAATAGTTTATTGATACTGTAAAAGTGGAAACTTTGATGATGTGGAAACGTTGATGAAATTGATGAAATAACTTAATATGGTCATCGTCATAGTTTCCACTTGTCAACTTTCACATTCTAGTTAAAGAGGACTCTTCAAAGTTTTCACTCACCATATTTATAAAATACCAAAATCGTCGAACTTTCAACTCTTCAATATAACCACGTTTACAGTATTACCTGAGGACAAGTTAATAGGTAAAAGATGTCTAAATGTAGTCTTACAAAATTTCATTGGTAGTGTATTTGCTCTCGGATTCTTGACAAAATTCTAGGCAGTTTAAAATTTAATTGCATGATTTTACATGAAAGTTGTGATTAATTTCTGTATACAAGGCTTCCTCATACTATGAAAGTTGGAAATGAACTGGCACAGAAGATCATTGGACATAAAGGTGAAACTGTCAAAGATATCATGGAAAAGGTGGGTTAATTTATATAAGTAGTTTGGAATGGATTCCATTTCTGTGTTATGTGAAAGAGTGATTTGGGGATCTGTTCTTATTAAGTTATTAATGCCCTGTTCACATGGAGAGTTTAATTTGAATTAAATGCAAGTTGCTGCGAATTATATCTGAACCTTGTTCATATGGAGAATTTAATGCAAATTAGTTGAATTCAAATTTATTTATGGTGTATCAAATTACTTCGCATTAACTGTGAGTGACCATTAAGTGAAGCTATTTCAAATTCAATTTTCATGTGTGTGTGATAGTAAAATTAAAGTCAAATGCCACGTGTTGGTGATCAGATGTAGGTACTTATGCTATTTTTAAGTAAAAACAGTGAAAAATTATGTTAACCATTAAAAAATGTGTACAGACCTTATGAATTATGTCAGATGTATATCTACTTTCCATAAAATGATGTAATTTCCAAATGTTGTCATAACAGACTTAATATATGTCATAAAATTTTTGAGCACATTAGATTACTTCACATTAACTATCACATGAATGCTATTTAATTTTCATTAATTTCATTCACATTAATTTAATTTGCATTATTTTACTTCACATTAATTTACCGAGAGGTAAAAATTTAATGTGCATTGATGTGAACAGGGCATAAAGACATCCTTCCTGTCAGATGTAGAATACATGTACTTGATGTGCTTTTTTAAGTTCATTCAGTAATTTTATTGCAAATTTTCAGTTATCTTTTCTCTCTTCCAATGGGCAAAATTTTAACATCTTAATTACTTCAAAGGGGTATCCTCATTCAAACAATTAGCATTTTTTTTATCAAGGATGATGGTCTGTAAAGTTACAACATAAAGAGAGACATCAGATGCAAAATATTTTTATTATAAATCTGTTTTGTAGACTTTACTGAAAAAATTCATTTTTTAGACAAATTGTTTCCTGAATTTTAAACCTACAATGGATGGAGAGGAGTTAGTTATATATGCCAGAAATAAAAAAGACCTCAAATCAGCTTTAACCAAGGTAAATCTTTATATGTTATATTGATGTTATACTGTTAACATTTTTATGATATATTAACATTGATGTGTTAATTAACATTGTTATAATATGTAGACATTGATGTTATGCCTTTAACATTGTAATGGTTTGTTAACATTGGTGTTATACTGTTAACATTGTTATAATATGTAAACATTGATGTAATAGTGTCAACATAGTTATGATTTGTTAACATTGATGTTAACATTGTTATAATATGTAAACATTGATGTAATAGTGTTAACATTGTTGTGATTTTTTAACACTGATGTTAACATTGTTATAATATGTAAACATTGATGTAATAGTGTTAACATTGTTGTGATTTTTTAACACTGATGTTAACATTGTTATAATATGTAAACATTGATGTAATAGTGTTAACATTGTTGTGATTTTTTAACACTGATGTTAACATTGTTATAATATGTAAACATTGATGTAATAGTGTTAACATTGTTGTGATTTTTTAACATTGTTGTTAACATTGTTATAGTATGTAAACATTGATGTAATAGTGTTAACATTGTTGTGATTTGTTAACATTGATCTGAGTCTGTAAAGATTGATATAACACCATAAACATGGGTGTTATGCTGTAAAAATTGATGGGATGCTGTAAACATTGATATGATACTGTAAACATGGTTATTATACTACAAACATTAATTGATACTGTAAACTTGATATGATACTGTAAACTTGATATGATACTGGAAACATGGTTATTATACTACAGACATTAATAGATACTGTAAACTTGATATGATACTGTAAACTTGATATGATACTGGAAACATGGTTATTATACTACAGACATTAATAGATACTGTAAACTTGATATGATACTGTAAACTTGATATGATACTGGAAACATGGATAATGATATCAGAATGTGATACTGTAACAGCAAAGGAGAAAATGTATGGCTGGACCGAAAATCGAACCCGTAACCCCTGCATCTTTAATCAAGAGCTCTAACAACAGAGCTACTCCAGTCAAACCATTACAATATTATTCTGTAAAACTGTAAACATGGATATGAGATTGTAAACATGGATGTGATATTGTAAATGTGGATATGTGCATAATTATAATCATGATAGCTAGATGATAAAGTTCTTTGGCGCAATCTTATACAAATTACCTTTCCTTACTGTGAACTAGATTTACTTGACTGATACATCCCTGGTTTAATACTGTGAACACACTTTTGTTTTAAAAATGCTTAAGTTAACTATGTCAAAGTCTTTCAGCTAATCTTAATTAAATCATAATGATTTTTTTTAAAATTGTCAAGTTGTAACTTTTTCAGGTCAATGAACATAAAAAGCAACTACCTTTAACAAAAAGGTAAATTTATATGTGATATTTCATTGATTGTTAACCATTTATTAAAATATTAATATAAAGATTTTTGTAGACATTTCATCATAGATAATAATAAAAGTATATGTACAGAACATGCAATTATTTAATCAGTTGAAATGGACTTATTGTCAGAGTGATCTACTCTTACAAAGACAATTTAATGGGTTTTTTTTTTTAGAATCATGTTTTCATTTTGAATTTACAGATTACAAATTTCTAGAAATGCTGTCCTTGACCTATTAATGGGGAAAAGAGAAGAACTGGAAAATAAGGTGCGTATTTCATTGAAATATTTAAAAGTGTTAAACAAGGGAGCAGCAAGGTGGAGCATCCCCTGATTGATCCCAATTTAAAGTATTCTGTTACATGCACTCACTTACCCACACACAGGCATATTTGTTTATCCCCTCCAACTTTGTTGTGTGGGGATAATTATGCAGTAAAACTGGGTTATAGAGAAGTCCTTGGGACCTGTAGATTTACTTTCCTATATCCATAATTCGTTATATCCATATAGATTTAGCAAAAGTAATGTTTATATAGCACATATGCAATATACATTTTCTTTCTTTTGACTACTGAATTCACATTGATTGAAGTATTACATAGAGAACCTACCTTGGAGAACTAAAGTTTTTGTTCAATAAATTTTAGTTAAAAATAATTGTGAAAATTATTGTGCTTAATTTTGTTAACTTTAGAGACAGTTAAAAATGCATTTGATCTCAATTTTGTAATTTTTTTCATTTTGATGGGACACAAAAGTAACTTGCTATTTCCATTTAGTTATATCAGAGTTCATTATAATCATAAACATTTATGAGGAATTGTTAAAAATGTAAGGAACCCCACAAAAATTCCCTATATCCTTAAATTTACTATATTTGTTCAGTGTTCATACAAAATTAGTTTTAGTGTAATAATTACAGTATTTCAGGGGAAATCACTAGAAGTATTGATATTTGCTCAATTCACCATCTCAATAATCCTGCTTTCTGGGACTGTTTGGGTTTCAGTTTGGTTTTAGTGGGCACTGTATATAAAGCTTTTTCGTTCCTTTACAGTATGGAAATCAGGTGAAGCTGGTTATCAGGACTGGATTATTTTATGGTGGTAAGGATTCAATACCTGTTGTAGTTGACTGCAAAGATTCTGAGATTGTGGAGGAGGTTACAGCTGAGGTAAGTTCTTCTGGGGGGGGGGGGGTGTCATGAGAATTTAAGACTGACCTCTTTTTTGTCAGTCTGTGTGTAAACCGTGAATGGATTAGCACTTGAAAATTTATTAATTTTTTAGCTCACCTGAGCCGAAGGCTCAAGTGAGCTTTTCTGATCGAAATTTGTCCATTGTCTGTCGGCGTTGTCATCGTCGTTGGTGTTGTCGTCGTAAACTTTTCACATTTTCATCTTCTTCTCCAGAACTACTGTGCCAATTTCAATCAAACTTGGCACAAAGTATCCTTGGGTGAAGGGGATTCAAGTTTGTTCAAATGAAGGGCCACACCCTCCTCCAAGGGGAGATAATTACGAAATAGCAAAAAATTAATGGCATTATTGAAAAATCTTCTCCTCAAGAACCAATGGGCCAGAAAAGATGAAACTCATGTGAAATTATTGTCAGGTAGTGTAGATTCAAGTTTGTTCAAATCATGACCCCCGGGGGTAGGGTGGGGCCACAATGGATGATCAAAGTTTTACATAGGAATATATAGGAAAAATCTTCAAAAATCTTCTTCTCAAGAACAGGAAAGCTATGATTGGCCATATTTATTTGGAAGCATCCTCAGGTGGTGTAGATTCAAGTTTGTTTAAATCATGACCCCCAGGGGAAGGGTGGGGCCACAATGGACTATCAAAGTTTAACCTAGGTGTATATAGGAAAAATCTTCAAAAATCTTCTTCTCAAGAACAGCAAAGCAATGATTGGTAATATTTATGTGGAAGCATCCTCAGGTGGTGTAGATTCAAGTTTGTTCAAATCATGACCCCCTGGGGTAGGGTGGGACCACAATGAATGATCAAAGTTTTACAAAGGAATATATAGGAAAAATCTTTAAAAATCTTCTCAAGAACAGCAAAGCCTCTGTTTGTCATATTTATATGGAAGCATCCTCAGATAGGGTAGATTCAAGTTTGTTCAAATCATGACCTCTAGGGGTAGGGTGGGGTCACAATGAAAGTTCAATTTGTAGAGAAAAATGTCACAGTCAAAAAATTATGTAGACATCCTTAGTAAGTGTTGATTTAATTTTGTTCAAATCATACCCCTCACTCCCTTTTAGAGGTAGTTTGGGACCATTTATGCATTTAAGCTTTTCAACACTAAACTGATTTTTCTTTTTTCCTAGCCACAGTGCTCAGGTGAGCATTGTGGCCCCTGGGCCTCTTGTTTATGTGTGTATGCATTAGATCATTTAAAAGCTCAATAAATTATGATGAATTGTACCTTATATTATTATACTTTGACAATTTTAACAACTTTACCCTCTTTTAAAGATTGAAGAATTGGGCGGAACAAATTGGTGAGTAAAAAATAAGTCATTAATATGCCCAAAGACAAAAATACTTCGATAATATTTCACAAAGTAAAATTTACACTCACTTTTTTTTTCATTGCTGAACTTTCACCTAAAGTGATGTTTTCCTGTATATAAATATACACATACATGTATGTACAAAAACACAATTTTAAAAACATCACATGTATGAAATGATAGTTTATCCTGTGTTGTACCTTTTACCTGCATTTAGTGTAAATTTACAATTGAAGGCGGGAACACAAAATGATTATGCAGCAAGAAGTTGTAAAAAGGGTGGTTGGATTCAGAGGTCAAAATATGAAAGATATCATGGAACAGGTCAGTTTAATGGGATGTTTATTTGTATGTTTTAGTGTGTTTTGAGAAATATGAGAGAGTTCATGTGATGAAAGATGAGAGTAGTAACTGAACCAAAGTTGGTGTTTGATACCTAGTGCTTTGCACTTGGGTTATGAACTCTGTAACAAAGCCCAGGTTACAATTATGGCATATAGTTAATGCAATTAAAATAATATCTTTTCGTGCATATGTAATCCCCTTCTAAATAACGTAGAGATATTCTAATTAGGTATGGGTGATTCATGTGAATTTTTTAAAAGAAAAATCTTACAAATATTGATTTTTCATTTCAGACAAATTGTTACATGCATTTTAACCCTACTCAGGATGGAGAAGAGCTTACTATATCAGGTAGAACTGAAGAAGATATTGAGTCAGCCATTGCAAAGGTATAGTGTGAAACTGTTAACAATACTACCATAGCAAAGGTATGGTGGGAAATTGATATAATATGGCCATAGCAAAGTTATTGTTTGAAACTGATAACAACTCAGCAATAGAAAAGATATGGTGTGAAACTGTTAACAAGTCAGCCATTGAAAAGATATGGTGTGAAACTTATTACAAGTCAGCCATTGCAAAGGTATGGTGTGAAACTTATTACAAGTCAGCCATAGCAAAGGTGTGAAACTGATAACAAGTCAGACATAACAAAGGTATGGTGTGAAACTGTTAACAAGTCAACCATGACAAAGGCATCATACAGGGAATCAATTCACTGTAAATGAGAATTCATTATAAGCTTGTTCTGTGTAACCCTATATTACTGTAATATTGTATATAAATGCTAGGTATTTTTTTTTAAATGTACCATCACCTATAAAGAATAAGAAATAGTTGTACATTGATACATGTTGCATATTTTATGTATACATATTAAGTTGGTTTCAGGTCAATGAATTTTCAAAGTACAGCTTTACACCTGAGAGGTATGTTTACAGCCTTAATCAATAAAACTTTTATATTTATATATTAGCTAAGTTTATTTGAAACTTACCAGCTGACATTGTACTTGACTTCAAGACTATATATTTACATTTGCTATGTTTTTCTACTATGCCAACTGTGAAATTGATTTGAATGCCATTTTCGTATATACTCACATGTAGAAATATGCACAGAGAAACTCGCGCTAAAGTGACGTCACAATGAGCTACAGAGACGTTAATAAAAATGTAATGATATAGGGCAGTGAATAATTCAAACATTGAATATATATTTGATGCTTCTGAACATGTAAAATGTAAATATAAGGAATGTTTTTAAGTTTAGTGTGAATTATTGGTGTGTAAATCACACACTTGCATGTAGGCATATTTTTCATAAAGCGCTAGTGCGTTTCATGAAATATGCCTACGTGACAAGTCTGTATGATTTACACATCAATAACACACACAAAACTTAAAAAATTCCTTAATTGTCCTTGTAAAATAGAAAGCTTTTCATGATGTATTATTTCTTTTCCAGGATAGGAGAAGTTAGAGTCCCCAAACGTAAGCAAACTAAGTTTGAAGATTAAAGAGAATAATTCCATAGTTAGCAGATCAGTAAAATTTAACAGCATATGTACTGGTATAAACTTAAATAGAACAAATGTACAGTGAAACCTGCTTATGAGGAAGCTTTTGGGGACTTTCTTATCATTCCTTTTATAGGAACTTCAATATAAAAAATTCTTTTATGCAAGTTTACTTTTTGATTGTAGAGATTTTGATTTATTTCTTCTTTTTTTACAGAGATGCCTCATTGTAAGTTTTTCTATATTATATTCACTTCATTGTATCCACTTCTGACTGAACAGTCTGTTTGAAAACTAACTTTTATACAAAATAAACCTAATATAGGCTAATATGCTATGTTATTCTTTGGAAAAACAATGCATTATCTATGCTATCCTTTTCAAAATGTTAAATATCTGAAAAAAAGATATAATTCTGTTATTTTTCGTGTAGTCCGAGATGAAGATGAGGAATTATTGTATCGCATTGAAGAAGCTCTGGACAAACGGGAAATTCAGATAACCCAAAAACTTAATATTCCGTAAGTGAGAAATTGGAGATTTGATACAACTTTATTTTTTATCTTGTAAGTGTATATATTATTCACCATATTTGGAAGAAGTTTCTGTTGAGGTTGCTTTCACGCCTTTCAGTTGACATACATGTCAATACATGTATTTGAAAATGGGTTTATAGGTTCCTATTTTTCTCGACTTCAGTGATTGCATTGAACTTAATTATCATAATAAAAAACTTTTATAAGATCAATATTAATTACAAATTTTTTTTTTTGTTCATACATTCCTTTTATGCAAAACGCTATCAAGATTTGGAATAATGATCAATGTGTGTGTGTTAATTTTTACTATTGGTGTAAGATGACCAACTCTGAAATCTATTGCTGAAAACACTTACCTATAAGGAAGAGATTTTATTTCATTCATTTGACTCTTTCATCTTAGAGAACAATTAAGATGCATTCTGTGACTAAGAAAAAATAATCATCCCAGAAATTAAATGGAAAGAACTAATATTCTGATATACAGAAAATATACAACTGCATGGGTTAAGTATGAGTTTATGATTATTGACAAGTAATGTTTGTAAAATTTGGCTTTATTTTCCAGGGAGGATTTCAGTTTTTCAAAAGTTGAGCCATTAAAGATTTGGTCAAAGGAAGATTTGAAGAAGCCAGAACCACAAGGTAAGCTGTTCACTGACTGTATGTGGCTGCTGAGCTGTAGCTCTCTGGGATAGATAATTCAGACAGACATACCAAAGAGCTACAGAGCAATCCATTGTAAAAAATCTTCGATTTACGTTCACTTGGTGTTTTTTTTTTTTGTGACACATTTTGGGTATTATTTGTTGCATTATTCGCATTCCCCCATCCTTCAGCATGGGATCTATATTTTACTTCTCTTTGTTGTACTGTATTACCAACAATTCCAAACTGCTTCTGCGGCCTTTGAATTTCATGGTTTCAACAGTTTTACCTACATGTACTAACACCCATTTTGGGTTGTACTAAAATATGCATGCAGGGGAAAATATGTCCGTCAAGATAGTCCATGCATCTGTCTTGTTATTTATCTAATTTTTTTTATTGAAACCTCACTATAATTATAGATGATGTAGTTATTGTTTGACAAAAAAAAAAATCACTACTAGATTTCCTCGGCATGCTTATTTTCCCTTCCTTGCAACCCCCAAAAATCTATCAAAAGGTGAGGTTTCTAAAACAGTTACATTGCAAGGTCACAGAGACCATTTGGAACCATTGAAAGGTAAACGGAAAAACAAAGGATTAAAAAACATTTTTAATCAATGGATACCATGTTTTAGATGGGGAAATGTGTATAATTTGAAAAAAAAAACTGTTACTTGCAGGTTTTTTTTACAGTGGTGGCTCTGTAGCTTTCTGGTATGTCTGCTCAAACTGTATATCCCAGAGAGCTACAGATTTGCTGCTTTGATTGTACGTATATGTACAATTTCAATATACAGTCATACCTTGAACTCAATGGCAGCAAGAAAAAATTTTGAGATGTTTGAGATATTGAGGTAAAAATACAAAAGAGAAGGTGATGGGATCTTCCAACAAACTTCGACATATCCATGGTATTCAAGATATCAACATTCCTGATACCGAAGTATAACGATATTGAACTTCGGTATTTTAAACATTGGTATCTCAAATACCATGGATATGTTAAAGTAAGTTATTAGAAGTCTCGACCAATTTTTCTTTACTTTAATCTCAATTTCTTGAATCTTCGGAATTCTTACAGTTTTTTAAATGGTCCCTTTCAGTTCAAAATAATGAGGTATATGAACTGTTTTTGAAATTTGCTGGAAGAAGTTTTTTCAGCCCATTCTATTTACATAATTATTAACTTGATGCTATGAATGACTGTAATGTTGGGTAATTTATCTTATGAATTAACTCTGTCATGTAGCTAGGGCTAGTATCAACTTTGCAGTGTAAAGAAGTAACATTTGTGGTTCTAGTCTGGTTAGTTGATTGCTCTACCTCCCTTCAAGAGTACACATGTCTGGAGATGCTTTTGCATTAAGAATTACCTACTGAGTATGGTGTAGAGGTACATCACAGTAGTTTATCACAACAATACCCTCCGCCGAAAGTGTCCCATTATTCCATGTATGCTGGCCAGAATAAAAAAAGTATTTCTGATAATTTTACCACTTTCTAACAATTTTTCCTTGTCTTTGCAGATCCAACAGACAACCTGTGGTATCAGTTGGAGAGAGAGGAACATGAACGGCTGGTTAACAATAGAGTTCCTTATAATGGATTCGAGGAGATGATCCAATTGACCAAACAAGGCAAAATGTGGCACTATCCCATTGATAATGAGCAGGGTAAGCCATCAAATGTGAAGAATTCACTATCATATAAACATGGGGATGTAGTCAGTTTAAATGTAGTAATTCTGTATAACTGAACAAAAATTTGGCCACGGGGGGGGGGGGGGGGGGGGGGCAATGTTTTTGGGGTTTTTCATGGGTCACCCTTATCCATGAATTTATGTCCCCATGAACAATGATTTCAATGTATTGATTCATTGAGCCATTTGAAGTAACCCATGAAATTACGACCCCAAGACTCATTAAAATTCTACTTACCCACAAATATTGACCCCCATGAATATTAAAATGATTCCACAGTAGTTCTTAAACCCAGCTGTTTTTGCTCTTTAGGAATTGAGGAGGAAAAGGATGTGTCCTTCGCTGATCATGTGTTCCTTGATGATTTGCTCAAAGATTTCCCAAAAAGTGGGCCCATACGAAAGTTTATGGAACAAGTGACAGTGGGTCTATCTCAGAACCCCCATTTAACAGTGAAAGAGAAACATGAACACATTGAATGGTATAAAAACTATTTCCAGGAGAAAGCCATGGTGCTTAAAGACAGTTTTGGTGAGACGGGTGATTTAAAGACTTTCCTTACACAGGAGAACAAAGAAAAAAAAACTTGAATGATTAAACACAACATTGCAGGTCTCAGAGCTTGTAAAAATATTCAGATGTAAATGACTGTACTAGTACATGTATGTGTGTTTCTTATATTTGTAGATTTGAAGTGAATGAGATATTAAATAATAAATGAATGCAAAGGTGTTGACTTTTGAAATTGCGAAATCATGGTGTCTGTGGAAAAAAAATTCAGTTATATTCAAGATTGTTTTATATGTCAATTATCAATTACTTTGAGGTATTTTGAGAATTTGTTTTTTAATTCGAGTTTTTCCACTCTGTAAATATATGACAATCTTTAGCAAGGAATACATGAGGGAGTAGTGAAACTGATAAATGACATCATGATGTAAACAGAAATTTAGTTTGTCATAACTACTGCGTATATAGTTGAACTTCTTTATCTTGAACACCGATATCTTGAATACCAGTGATATGTTGAAGTGAGTTTGCAGTCCAAACTACTTGTTCATTATGTTTTTCCCCTGGTTATCTCAAAATCATCAGATTTCTTGAAGTTTAATCTTGGTCCCATTGCGTTCGAGATAATGAGGTTTGACTGATATACTTTCTGCCCATTTCGATTGGGAGTTTTGCATTCTCGGTTCTAAAAGTACAATATTTGTATTTGTTCATATATAAGTTAAGAAGTTTATGTGAACATCATATTTTTCAGAGGATAAAATATTTTCAAAAACTCTGTAATTACATTCTGCAGATTTTCACTATATTCATACATGTGATAAGTCAAAGACCACATAACTGTACAGGAGCCATAAGAAAAACTGGAATTTTGGTGAAAAAAATTGTACACTGCCTATCAAAAAACGGTACAAAATATCGCTTAAATTCTTCTGATAAGAGCACCTTATTTCTAAACCAACAAATATATATTGTTGCAAATGTCTTATTTTAAAAGTTGTAATGGAGATTTGAATGCTTTAAAATTTCATGTATTGTGTTTTATAATAATATTTCACTGTACTTTGTTGTACCTGAACTTCGTTGAGGTGAGCTAAAAAATGTTACATGTTATTGTGATTTAAATTCAAGACACGTGGTGTAGGTTGAACCGGTTTTAAACATAAAATTGGCAGTAAACAGGAAATTGCTATAATCTGTTTCTTTTAAAAACATGTCCTATAAAAATCTGTTTCCAGAATTTTCTGAAAGATTTTAAACAGAAATGAGTGGGATATAAAAAGTCGCAATCTACTTACTATAATTCATCTTCTCTTTTGTGATAATTTACGGCGAAAATTGGAACTTTACGAGTAATGTCACATGTAAAGGACTTAGTGTGAGCTTATCTCACTAAACAAGCTGCTAAGCAGTACATGTATTGAAAAGCGTCTTTGATTGTTCTACAAAGTCATCGGCGCTTTGTTTGAGGCTCAATTTAATATTCACTCATCAGCCAAACAGGAAAGTTTATATTTTTTTCACTGTTTTGCCTAATAATAAAAATTGACCAAGTATGTTTTAATTAGACAGAACAACAAGCATTACAATGCAATGTATTGTAGGACAGTTATATTTTTATTTAAAAGCAAAATTAATTAGCTTACAATTAAAGAACTTCACTCGACACTCCAGTTTTCCTCGTGATGGTTCGCATATATCCATATCAGTCTTTCAATAAAAAAATCAGCGAAGTAACTGTTCTTTGATGAGAACTTAGCTCTAAGTACAGTTATCAGAATATATTCTGTTTATCCTTCCTGGTGCTTATCTGCATTACTCTCAAAATTTACACTCATAAGTCAAACATGAGATTTCTCTCTTTTTCAATCTTTCATATATCCAAACTAGGCGTTGCATAAAATAATAAACAGCAATGAAAAACTTGTCGAAAAATCCTTCGACATTATTAGTGCATTGTTAATTTAGATTCGTAGGAAAGAGAACAATCAAATAAGAAAATGTGAATGAAAATATTCCATCCAGTCTGTTTTTGAAAACTTTTTTTAAAAATCAAAATATATTAGAAAATATGTTAATTTACACCTTATTTTCAATACCATAATGTAAAACAAAAATGGACTTCATTTTATTGAATGACATTGCATTGTAGGGCAGTGCAATAAAATGCTGTTAAATTCTTATTATGGTAAACAGTATAAATCCTCTTGCAAACAAAAAAAATCCACTCATCAGTCAAAAAGGAGTGTTCATTTCTTTTGGATCTTTTATGCATACTCAAACTAGTCATTCGATTAAAAAAAAACACAGTAACACGTAACTTTGTGAAAGTCCTTCGACTTAATTACTGACTGTTAATTTTGATTCATATCAAAGAAAACAAATATTTAAGAATATGAGAATAAAAGAAATGCTCTCTAGTCTGTTTTTGAAACCCTTTTTTCCAAGCATAAAATGAAAAAAGTGTGTGTATTCAATGCAGTTTTTAAATTCAACTAAGAAAAAAAAATTGACTAAGTTAATTTTGATTGGACAATTTGGCAGGCATCACAATGTATCGCATTGTATTGCAGCAGAGTGTGGCAGGCATCACAATGTATCGCATTGTATTGCAGCAGAGTGCGGTATGGTGCAATTCTACTTGTATTTAAACGAGGACAATTATTTTACTTGTCAATGTATTGGAAATATTCCCCACCATCCACCCTCCAAAGAGAGCTTTTATATACAATTTGTCCTTGTGATTGAATGTTTCTTTGGAAATTTGCATAATGTAAGTTTTGTTTCAAAGTTCGATAATTCAAATTATGTCCCTTTGAACAACGTAGACAAAACGATCATTGATTTCTGCTTCATATTATGTAAATATTTAAGCAATGCTAACGAGTAACAGGCTTGTATACTATATATAAGACGTTAGAGAGATATTCACAAATGACCATGTGTTAAAGTCAGAGCCAGTAAATAACGGTTACTGGTAATGTCGCGTGTAAAGGACTTAGAGTGAGCTTATCTCACTAAACAAGTACTGCTAAGCAGTATTGAAAAGCGTCTTTGATTGTTCTACAAAGTCATCGGCGCTTTGTTTGAGGCTCAAAATATTCACTCATCAGTCAAACAGGAAAGTTTATATTTTTTTCACTGTTTTGCCTAATAATAAAAATTGACCAAGTATGTTTTAATTAGAGTGTTACAGACAGACAGAAATACAGTCGGACGGACGGACGGAAAGACAGACCCAAATTAATATCCCCCATTTTCAGTGAAAGCGGGTGACAAAAATGGGCTACCAAATGATATAAACCATGTCAGACCAAATTCATGCATGTACAACCCAACGATAGATTGTATTTACAAACAAGGTCATTATAATGACCATAGAATTTGCGAAAAGCTGACTTTAAACAGGGTTGTTGTCCCTCGCTTTCACTGAAAGTGGGGAATATTAATAATTTGGGTCTGTCTGTCTGTCCGTCCGTCCGTCTGTATTTCTGTATGTCTGTAACACTTTCGTTTCCGCTCGATATCTCGAGAACACTTTCAGCTTTCGCAATGAAATTTTGCATAGCAACTCCCTATGGCCTAAAGAAGAACCCTATTTATTTGGAGGTCCAAAGGTCAAGGTCATAAATTCATAAATTCTCTCTGTTTTAACACTTTCGTTTCCGCGCGATATCTCGCGAATTCTTTGAGCTTTTGCAATGAAATTTTACATAACAACTCCCTGTTGCCTAAGGAAGACCCCTATTGATTTTGAGGTCAAAAGGTCAAAGTTCAAGGTCGTAAATTCATAAATTTCGTCTGTGTGTAACACTTTTGTTTCCGGGCGATATCTCAAGAAGCTTTTGAGCTTTTGCAATGAAATTTTATTCCATAACTCCCTATGGCCTCTCTTGCCCCTCTCAAAGTGTCCCGCCCCGTTTTTTTTTATTTATTGTATTTAAAGTCGCTTGGCACTATTTTTAGCACAGGGGCATGTGGAGATTTATTACGTATGATACATGTTGTCGGCGGACTTTATATTCAAATTACATCTATTAGAACTGTTTAGTAAAGGCTAAATTAGACAACATGTATTGTGTAAAATTTTGACAATATCGAACGTGAATATAAACATTATATGTGACCTAATGTTTGCATTTAAATTTCTGTATAAGCAAGTGCCTCCGTGGTCTAGGGTAATGATGTTTTCCTAGCAAGCCAGAGACCCGGATTCAAATCCCAGATTTTTTGTTTTAATGGGTTTTTTTGGATTTACTAAATGATATTATTCAACATTTGAAATGAAAAAGTTATGACGTCTGGCGTATATAAACTCATAAAATCATTATTACAGTGTGATAAATATTTTATATATTAAAAAGAATCCTCTATACACATATTAAAGAAGAAGCAATCAAATCTTCATATCCATATTGACATTTTTTTTTATTTGTATACATTTAATAATTCTACAAATCCAGGGGGGGGGGGGGGGGTCAATGCGCATAATTCAATTTCAGCGAAAAACATATTACTTTTCATGTACATACTCATGATTAAACACAGATTTAAACAACATTTTCCACAACATGCAGTTTTTGCGATATTCTTTTTTTTATTCAGAGACAGCTTTTAAATCAACAATCCAAATGGCAATCTGATATTAAGAAATCTGCAAAATTACGGACGTACTGCATTATTAAGGAAGAATACGGCCTTGAACAATACGTTGAGATGGACTTGCCGAAACCAGTAAGGTCTACAATGGCGCAGTTCCGGTGTGGAGTGCTCCCACTGCGTATCGAGACTGGTCGCTATCGTGGAGAACCAATTCAAGACAGAATATGTAAGCTCTATGATCTTTACAAAGTAGAGGATGAACTTCATTTTCTATTAAAATATAATCTCTATAAAAACTGTAGACAAGACTTTCTAAGAAATACTGGAACCTCAAATTTACATACTCAGTAATAATGATTTAAATGTTCTCTTTAAATATCTATTAACTCACTTCCCACGTCAAACTGCAAATTTCATATATAACATTTATAATACAAGACAACAAAAAAAATTCACGCATGTAATGTATATTTATATTTCTTAAAGTGACTTAAAGGTCCGATGGGCCAGGTGTTGTTCATACATGTTTAGTTGTTTAATGAATGTAAAATTATTGTATATATACACATGTCACTATAATAAAATATTTACTTACTTACTTACTAATTAAGCTAACTCAAAATATTGTGCACGGAATTTACATGCCGACAGCTGCGTAGAAATATATCGATTTGAAAATTACACGATTCTTGGGAGCGGATCTAAAAGCCTGTAGTACACAAGTCGGGTATAATTTCTTTTAAATGTTATAAAAATAAAGAATTCCCCGTTATGTTTTATTGTCTTTATATTGATTTACTAAGTTATCGATTACGTAAGTTATGAAAATCTGCACGTGCAATTTTTAAAAGCGATTACACATAGAGCAATCAGAAACTTGCTTTGTTGTCAGTAAGCAAACGGTCAACGGCAACACGTCGGAGTGCAATGGAGTATTAGAAAGATATATCTTCAGGTTAAAAAAAATATCTAGAAATAAAGGACAAGTTATGGTAACGGCCGAATCTGGCCCCTTATTTGATGTAAAATTCAGAAGACAGTTAAAATTGTGATAGCTTGTAGTTAAGAACATAAAATGACGCTTGTTTGAAATCCAGCACTAATTTTGATGCAAAGCTTACACGGAGGCCACAAGAGGGTGCAGAAGTAGGACATTTTCCTGAATTTCCTCAATTCTGGTTGAATTTCGTCAAATTTGAGATACTTTTCACTTCCGGAGATATAGAGCACAAGCTTGCCTATCTGAGATTTTTATACAAATGAAGCATCTGATACTAGTGTACGAAATATATAAATTTGGTAGATAGGGAAGCTTGTGCTCTATGTCTTCTGAACCAAAATGTGCTGTAAAATCGATAAAAATTTGCATAAAAATGAGAAAATTCGGAAATTGACATATTTTCTGACCTTCCTGTGACCTCTGTGTATCCAATAACTTAGAACCAATACTCATTTTGTGGCAGGGATGACAGCAGGTTTTTACTGATAAACTGTTGCATCATTCAAAAAGACGCCCCAAACCAGGGGCAAAAAGGGGTCATAGCCTATCTTGTCCTTTACTTGTCGATACACCTTAATACACGTACAACTTGATTGACATTTAACATGGTTAATACCTTGTATAAAGTTGATGTGCAGACGAAATACGTGAGAATGTGATAATAACACTCACATCAGTAAAACTTAGTCTAGGGTCCTTCTTATCATTTAACTTTTATAACCTACATAATAATTTTTTTCTAGTTTGGTTTTCAATTTGTACTAAATTCAATGTAAATTCTTTCTTTTCAAATAAAAAACGCAAAACACGTGCTTCTTTACAGAGTTATATCCCTTGCCATCCCCGGCATTACTCATTGACAACAGTTATCTCGCTTAATAAGTTATTTGAATATTTTTCTTTCTTCTACTCAACAAGAATTTTTATTGTATAATTTAAAAATAGAAACATATGATTAAAATATTTCCTTTAAAGCACACGGAGAGACACAAAAAATTTACAGAAGCTGAATTCAAATCATGAAAAGAACATTGTCATACGTTTTACAGAGTATTAGGTCATTCCAAGTTTTTTCTATGTTTAGCGTCCGCGTGCGCCTTGGTTTTTGGCATACCATATCAGAAAAAAAAAAAAAAAAAAAAAAAAAAAAAAAAAAAAAAAAAAACTAGGAGTCCTAAAATTGATTATTTTGGTCAAAATTTGGGTCAAAATTAAGGTCCCCCTTTCATCTCTCGACCAAGTTTAGGAAATGTGGGGAAAAAATTCTTCCTAAAACCTTTCTTGTGCACATTTGTGCATCCTAAAGCTTTAAATTATGCCTTACTAGCTGTCAATTATCCAATTATCTCTTAATTATTTTCTTACAGGTTTAATAGACACTACAAATGAGCCAGGTTTTGTATACACAATAAGTACTTTGCTTGACCAGGATTGACAGCAATGGTGCGTAACGTCGGCGATCAAAATATGCATATTGAGAAATTCAAACTTTGAATCGCTGAAACATCAAAAATATTAATTTTCTAACAAAGATTTTTAAATATATGATTTTAATAGCATGTAAACTTTGTAGTATCAAAAAAATTTGAGAAGTGATAAAAAACCCTTTAAATATTTCTCACTAGTAAGTCATATTATGTATATTTTAAGCATTTAATACCTTGATTCTACCAAACAGAAGACATTTCTATGAGAAAAATAGATTCATGAAATCAAATCCTTTGAATGATGTCATTTTTATTACTGTTACGTCGGGGGGGGGGGGGGGGGTTGCGAATAGGTAGGTAGGTTTTTGAAAGATGGGTGGACGCTAAAAAACTTGGAATGGCCTTAGTTTATAACACAGTCGCGTGCCTTTAATTATTGGAATGACGAACACTGACAATAATTGTATCAAAATAAATAATGAAAAGTAGTTCGGTTACTAAAATCGACATTACATTCATCGGAAAATGAACAGACAAAAGATCTCCGTAAAAATACATTAGTTCAAAGTGATGAAAGTAAGGAAAATTGATCTTAGGCATTGTTACGTCATCATGTACTTATTATGATATAGGAGCTGAAGTATCAGTTTGTAGAAACATCCAGTCAATATCAACTATTGCAACGTCATTATACTATATTGACGTTTTAGAGAAAATTGTTTCCAATTTTTGAAACATCATATGCTTTATTTTTTGGAAGCTTAACTTGAAATATAGAAACACCCAGTTAGCTGGTCAGTATGTTGTTGCATACTTGACCACATGATCTATACTTTTAGCCAATCATGCAGACAGGTGAGAATATCGAAAAATGATAAAATATTTTAAAATTTCAAAAATACTTGCTCTATTTTAATTATTCCGTATTTCAGTAGATCTGTCGACAGGGGATGCTTACTCCTCCATGGGACCTGATCCCACTTCTAATGTTTTTAGAGGTCCGTGTTTGCTCTGCTCCCGATTTGTAATGTTTCGATGGACTTTTGAACTTGATTTCTTTTCGTTATCTCCATATTTCATCTGGCCGTTTACTTATAAAAAGTATAAATGTATTCTATTAAATTTCTGCATCTGCCAGTTTATTAATTTTACCAGAAGGATTTCACCATTTTACCTCGGTTCAGTACTTTCAGTCCTTTATAATTTTCGTTCTCTGCTTTTCGGGTCTTCTCTGGATTCACCTTTGTAATATATTGTGACGTCAATGTACTTCCCCTAGCGACTCTGTTATTTAGATATGGCGGCAGATATTTTTTTGCCGAGTAAGCGAAGACAGACTGAGTGATAAAATGATAGACCCACTGTAAAAAAGGTAAAAACAGACATTTTTGACTACCGGAAAAACATAAAAAGACTAAATAAATCAGTAAATAAAAAATGCTTTCATTTATTATACTATTAGATCTAACGTTAGTATCTGAGTATCATGAAAGTCAAATGGTTATAAAATTCGCTGCAACTATTTTATAGTTTTTCAAGTTTATAAAAGGTAACTCCTCTGAAAGTATCCTCTTATGATCTTTGCCATAAATACACAAGCATTTAAGCGAAAAACCACCATCTTTTGACACTATTAAAATAAATGTTTATTTTGATTTCTTTTCCTTCTCTTATAACTGGTTTAATTTACACATTGATTTCGTCATCATTGAATATACTAGCTGCTGCATTTGCATATTAGTTTTAATTAATTCTTTTTTATTTCAAATATGTAATGAGGGTGTATGCATAAATTTGTACTGTACGTAAGTTAGCTGAATTTCTTAATTAGCTCTCAGGAAAATTTTAGGTTGTGGGACATGTGAACTGAAAATTTTACTTAGAGCTACAGTTTAGCATCTGTGCATCATTATCCTTTAGTTTCCCTCTAGGTTCCATGGTAGCCAGTGTTTTTGGTAAACACACGCATTGCGGATGTAGTCATGACCAAGAAATACCAGCATCGAACTTCCTCAGGGGGTAAAACTACAAACATCAAAACTCTAGAACAGCAGCCAGCAAAATTTGCAACTGCAATCTGTCCTCTGAACTTAGAAGAGCAGAAAGAGCGGTTTCTGAAGCATGGAAGGCTACCAAAGTTTGTTTTAAAAGGCTCTGAAGAAGAAATAGAAAACTTGTACAATAAAGCTAGCAATCAGATAAGGTTTGAGCTGTTTGGAGAAGCTGAGCATATACTTAAGGTTGTGAAGGAAAAATATGGGGATGGTCATGATTATTTGGAGGCTATGCATGGGAAAAAAATTACCAAAGATGAGGCGAATAATATTCTCCTAGAGTATCTCAAGGAAAACAAACTAGATGGAGCGATGAGCATTATATGGTGTACTAATTTAGCTTCAAGGTATCTATGATGAAATTTGTTCTAATTTATATTCATTCAAGCATTATGATGAATTTTATGTACATTAAGATTTGTTTTGGTCATTGTCCTATGATCAATGTGGAGCCATTATTGGTATATTAACAAAAATATTAAGTATAAACATGGCCATTAAGAATAGTTAAGCTGTTCTTCAAAATTTTGAAACACCTTTGCTTTCAACTTACTACGTTATCTTCTTGTTTTCAAGTGCAAAAATGATGTGGGTCGGTCCTCATGCTAAATACAACAAACCAGAGGCTAGGAGTTACTCTTTCTGGATAAAGAACACAGAGGATAACAACTTTTTAAGAGAATGGGGTATCAGATGTCTTGCAGACCATGAAATAGGAACACATTTTGTATCCTGATGAAAATTTATAGTGTTTTAATTTCAATTTGAAAGGGAGAGATTTCATTGCAGTTATCATTGACACTGAAAGCTGAGTAAAACTAGCTCCAAGATTTCATTTTAAAAATAAAAACATGCATGGGTGAAATACTGCCATCTTCTCTAAAAAGTTTTGATAAGATTTATAGCAGAATATTTGATTTAATAAAAAATGATAATATACAATTATGGACTTCAGTGTAGGTCAATATGTGGTTATAAGGACTCATGGCAATTGATATTGACCGAAGACACAAAAAGTGATAGTGACCAAGCCTGCGAGGTCGCTATCATTTTCTGTGTCTGAGGTCAATATCAATTGCCATGAGTCCTTATAACCATATATTGATCATTCACTGAAGTCATAATAGTTATATTATATAATCACTCAAAGTGAATGCACTGACACAGTCCTAACTGAACAGACTTGGCTGTCATTACGTCACAATGGTTAAAACACGCTTCTTATATTATGACATCACGTTTTACGTAACTTTAGTGCAACCGAACGGTGTGTCGTGCGATATCATTTTCCAGACGCGCTTTCGCGTTATCAAAAAAGGAGGAATATCACATTACATCCTTTCAGCCAATGAAAATTACGAAAATAATCTTGTATAATATTTGTTATTGAAGTCTATGATGTGGAAAAATGATCAACACTCAAGCCTTGTTAACTCAGGTCATTTAATATTTGAGCTTTAACCAGTATGCATTGACAGAGACCTAATCCTTTTTTTATATATAAATGCACCTTTCCTTAACCTATCAGTTTCGATCTTTTAATGATGGCTTGCAGCCTTGGTTTATGGACAGGAAGAGGTTTGGAGTTCGAGGTCTGGGGAGTTTAGAACAGCTGCGTACAGAGGAAGGACTTGCCTGTATAAATACCGTACTGAATGCCAGAGTTCGGTATCTTTGGAGCTCAGCTCTTCAGTACTGTAAGCATTTTTTGATCTAAATGTAATGTAATATGTAATAACCAAATGAGCACATTTTTTTAACATCAAGGTTTATCTCCATCCTAAATCTTTTTCTTCCTTAATTCTTAAATTATTCTACCTAAAGTTTTGCATCAGTAATTTAAAAATAGATACTCAATATTTCTTAAAGGAAGTATAAGCATATATGACTATATGAATTAATGAACACTTAATGTGTCGAAAGAAGAAAATGGCTTAAAGGATGTAAGAAGAAAAACTTAAACATCTTGGGTTTGGGGGATCAAAACAATCATGAACCAATAAAAAAGTAAATATTTGAGTAATACTATATTTCCTCTTGATTTATGCACTACAGTGATCCTTTTAAATATTTGCAAAAAGCAAATAATTATGATTTCAGATGCAGCCTGTAAAGCAGCAGAAATGACGTTTAAACAACTGTTTGATCACCTAGCTATGTTTGTCAAGAGTCCAGATCATAGATGGCGCCTCTGCATGAGAATAAAGCGAGGACTGATAGATCCAAATGATTTAGGAGGATATGGAAAAGACCAGTGCTATTTTGAAGGTATCTTAATACTTTTAATTTTTGAATCAATCTCATATTTTTTAGAATTTAAAAAAAAAATATTTTCCATAATTTTAATTGCTCGTTAATTGAATAAACATGGTAATGAGATATTGTAGATTCCTTATTTTACCAGAGTACTTAATATCACAAAATGCTTCTTAGACGTCAAATAGCAAGAATAATAATTCGCAATTGGACAGTTGATCAAAAGACTTCATGGATTTAAGAACCATAAAAATAAAAGCGAATAATTTTATTTAGCAAGTGCTGCTTCTCGCGAAATTATGCAATAATTATTATACAAATGTACATGTATTAAGGAATCTACATTAAGAGATTCACTGGTAAAGATGATATCATAGGGCTTTCAAAAGGTAATAAAATATTTTTAATTACATATTACTTTTATTTTAGGTGCAGTGGAAATATTACGCAACATAGACAACATAGATTTTCAAGTTCTGATGTGTGGGAAAATGTGTGTGGATGAAGTAAGCCGGTGTAAACGATTAGCAAGGCAAGACTGTCTCCGTATGCCAGCATTTATGAAAAATGAGACAAAATACAAAAAGAATCTCAAGGCTATTGCAAATTTGAATGGCTTGAATACTGTTCAACCACGTGTTCATCCCCCATTAGCTTATATACAACGTCTAAAAAGGGGGCGAAGAATTGGCCCTGAAAACTCTCGTAAGGTGAGGAAAAAATATAGAAAGGGGAAAGGTAATAAATTTCGGGTTAAGGGTCAGAGTTCAGAAAGTTTTTCATCTGAAGCTACAGAGAGCGAATGTGAAGAGGGTAGTTGCACTAGTCTACATTCTAAGGCTGAAGTTCAGGAGACCCCTGAAGGGCAGAAAAAGCAGAGATTTTTGACCGAGTCCAGTGCTGATAGTGGCATTTCATCTGACCTTGACCTACCTCAACATGATGCAGGTCTAGATCCCTTTGAAGCGAAACTAGAAACATCTTGTAACAATAATGCAATTTTTAATGATTTGCCTCAAATTTGTCCGCCATCTTGTTCATCTGCTGGATCCATGTCTGGATCCGTCTGGAGTCTGAAGTCCGTAACAACCAACACAAACAGCAATGTCTGCACTACCGTCATCCACCAGGACCAGAGCCCTGAACAGTGGAGCAGTCGGTCTGAGGTAACACTGCATGCCTCGTGGTCTGAAAGTCGATTGTCTGGGTTTTCTTTTCTAACTGACTTTGGTGTGAAAAAGTTGAAGTCTATTTACCCTGGCTCTGTTTATAGAAATTCAGATTCTCCAGACTTGTGCTCTAATGTTGTCAAAACTGTTTGTGAATCTGGTAGAGAAAATTTCATATATCCTGAAAAATATAATCTATTAGACAGTTTAGATAATATTCGATCTTCCAAATCAGTGACAGAAAATCCATTTACATCATGTGTTCAGAACGAGAGGCAGATTTCCTCTTCTCCACCTCCCAAATTGTTAACAAGGAGGGCAAAGTCAGCTTCCAATAGATTACATTCTAATCCTACAAATATAGAGCCAAAATAGTAACAGCATCTCACAATTCTGGAGAAAAATGAATTGATACACTTTAAAGGGAGACCACTCCACATTTCAGCGACACAAGATCTTGAATTTTTATAATTTTGGTGAGAATTGTTGAACTTAACACTGCATGGCTGTGACGGTGAAATTATGACCACATTTAATCACCTCTGAAGTGTTTTGGGTTTCATTTAATTGTTCAGTTTTACCATTGAAATCAAATAAACTTGAAAATTTAATTTGCAGCTAATTTTATACACTGAAATTTCAGTTTTTATTGAGTGTTTTTTTTTTTTTACCTCTGTTTTTCATTCAAAGAGGTTTTAGCAGTAACTGTAGTCTAGTCAATGAAAAATGCATTTCTTTTATTTTTTAAAAAAAATTTTACTTACAGTAAATTACATGATCAGTCAAACAATTATTTGACATTTGCTTCAGAATGTTAAAGTAATCCATCCATGGTAGCTCATATGTACACTTTTTTCTTTCTCCTTCATCAAAAAGAATGAAATCCTGTTTCTTTTTTTTTTCTTGCATAACTTAAGTTGAAAATTAAAGTCCTACATTGAATGAGTCAATCACTTTTGTTTCAAAACACTATCAAACCAATATTGAAATATAAATCCCCAACTTTAAAAAAAAAAACTTTTTAAAACTTGATTTTCTTTTATAAATGAGGAAAAATTCTGTTTCAACATTTTTTTTAAATTACACATTTTTAAAATCTGTATTGGAACATTGCAGAGTAATTTTCAAACATGTGATGTTAGTTCATCCAAGTCATTTTGGGTAAGTTTATACATGTACATTTATTTTTAAATTACCAAATAACATTTTTTGGTTAATTTTGGAATGTAGAATCCATGTAATATATAGGTTGGAAAAGGGAATGTTTACTAAAGTTTGGCAGAAATAGTAAGACTTTTTATGTAGAATTTCTTTTTCTCTCATGTGGTTACTTGTGAAATTATCTGAAACTTTTTTTTCCTGTGGTGCTTTGTGTCTTTACTGTACTTTATCTACATTGTTGTACTAAAAAAAAACAAAGATCATGACTATGCTTTAAAATTAATCATCATTACTGTAGTTTCTCAATTAAGATTTTTAAACTTTTTTTTTATCTATTATCCTGACCAGTACTTGTTTCTTTTCCCAACTTTTCTTAACTCTTAAGGTCCCATTTAAAATACTGCTGATTTAAAGCTTAAAACTACAAAATTCTAAAGAAGATTATCTTATACTTCTACTCAGGAAGCTAGCTTACTATAAAAGGTTTGTCATCTTTCTTCATCTTTTCTATTCCAAAAAAATCCAATGAAAAAAATTTTTAAAATGTTTTCATTCTTTTATTATAATCTAAAGTATTAGCAAAGAATTGTTAGATAAATAATTGGAGGAAACTTCAGGATCAAAGCAAGTCAAATCATATGTATGTAGCTTTTATTTTCTTTTCATACCTTTATACTTAATGGTTTTGTGATACTGGGTAATCTGATAATATATCTTGTTTCATCTGATATTCATGTTAAATTTCCATATTGCCAACAATTACAAAGCTGTCATTATAATATTTTATTTTTTAATTTTATTTTTTGAAATTAGCATATATATGTACTATAATACTTCATGCATGGGTTAGTTATATTTTTGAAAAATGTATATTTAAAAAGTTAATCTTTTTTATAATGTTGACTGGATCGAGACTTTAATGATATACATGTATAAGTATCATGTAAGTAGAGAGCATGAGTATACATATTTTATACTGCATTTTCATACTGATTGAAAAGCCTTGTTTTTGTACTTTCAGAATTTGTATTTAATTATAAATGTTTTATATTATAGTGTTTTTAGTTAAACTTCCTTTTTTTTATAGGTATTAAAAACAAAATTAACATCATATACATATTTTGTAAAACTAATTCATTGAGGTTTTTATGGCTTCAAGTTGATACTTAATCCTGAAATATCAGTGTCATACAGCTACAGAAATGTGATTATTTTTAAAATTTTGTTTATAGAATTTTTGAAAAAAATTATTTTGATTAATTTTTATTTAAGTAAAGATAAAGTAAAATTTTGCAAAAATCCACAATAATCACATTTCTATTGTTTTAAGAAATGAGCCATTGAATTGTTAATTGTTATTGCATGTTTGAACTAAATGTGTTGAATCGAATGTTTAGATGCTTTGGGGATGCAGTAAATGTTGAAATTAACAAGGAGTGTGTCACTTACGTTTTGTTAAAGTTAACATTTTATGCTTTAATAACCATTGCTCATAAGCCTAAAACAGGGTTATACTTGAAACATTAATACGTAAATTATTTGATGGAATAATAAATGTTAATAATATTTTTAAAATGAAAATAAAATGCCATTGAATTATTGATCAATCATTTGCACACAATTTGGGGCACTTATTAACACAAAATCTAAATAAAGAGCCTTTCATTTCTTTTTCAGAAAATAAGCTGTTGGCCACTACGATTGTTATGCAAGTAGGTGGTTGTGAAATTTTTGTTACAGACTGTAGGAGCCAGACTGTTGAGTGTGGTAGTGATATTTTTGCTACAGCCTGTAGGAGCAAAGTTCTTAATCTCGCTTTTTCTAAAGTCATGGAAAAGAAAATTACCCAAAAGTTCTAAAACATGAAAAATTACTGCCAGAATGTATTGTTTGGTTGGGTACAATATGCTAGCTTATATTCCCATTGTGAATAATGAAGACAAAACAGTAAGTAATCTGAGGGCGTAATTTATCAAAAGTAAAAAAAAAAATATGGACTAGCTTACTACTTACTTTATCAGTATATTGACAAAAATTTTATTAAAGGTAGACTAATTTTTCGTGAAGAATTTTTAATAATAGGATTAACTCATGCCCCAGATCCAGATCTTTATAAGGCAATGTGAAATGATCAATTTTTTTCTACACAGTTTGGTAAAACTCCAGAAAAATATACATGAATGTTTGTACTAAGTCATACATGTATTACCAAATGATGTTTCATGATGTAAAAGCTAGTCTTCTAGATCTTTTATTTTTATAAATATATATATATATATATATATATATACATCTTTTATTTACCGGTAATCTTCATGAATAATTTTGAATTATTTGGAATTAAGGGTAAGACAAGTTATTTATACATATATCAGAAGAAATTTAGAGAAATCAATATTTATAGAATGTTTAACATTTTTGTGGTAGTGTTAAATGGCATAAACAGAAATTTTCCTGGTAAAGATCTCTTAGTGCCTACATGTAACTTGTGCAGTAACTTCACCCCTAATATACAATATATCATAATTTAGATGAATATTTCACTAATGTGCCAAAGTTTGTCAGCATTTTAATCTTTATTTATTAAAATGTGCAAGCCATGCAGTAGTAACATTTTAACCATTTTTTTTTTTTTTTTTTCAATTTACAGAAAGTAAAATTAGTTTAAATAAATAGTGCCTAATTTAATTGATTTACCTCCACCCATTCTGTTATAGCCATGAGTTACCAAAGATCGAAAAACTCCCACCCATTGAGGGGCACCGGAATTAACCTTCTCCCATTATATAAGCATCCCATTTGTTTGTGTGCCATGACATTTTTTTTTTATACAAAGTAAGCTGTGATATCCACTTATGTTTTATTTTCATGTATTCACTAGACAGTTTAAAAGTTGTGTTATCCACTTTAGTGATTAAGCTATATCCACTTAGTGTTTAAGTGATATCCACTTTAGTGTTTAAGCTATATCCACTTAAATGTTTAAATGATATCCAATTTGGTGTTTACTTCAGTGTTTAAGCTATATCCACTTTAGTGCTTAAGCTACATAAAAGGTTAAGTTATATCCACATTGATGATCAACTCCAATATGTATAGACTATATCCACTAAAGTGTGCTAAATCTGTGACATCCACTTACCAACTGTGATATCCACTACAGTGTTTACAGACTGTGTTATCCAGTTTAGTGTTTGTTTTTCAACATGTACTCAGAATCAAAGGGTCTCATTTTTTTCTTGTTATTTGTCAAATTGTGTGCAAATGGTGTAGTTGTTTTACTGTTGTCATTATTAGACTTAATTTTATAGTAGCACTATTTTTTTTTAGTGTGAAATTTGTTAACTTCATATTTTGTTATTAATTTTGTTATGTTACCGCGGGTACTAGTTCATTCCAACTCCAATCCTGGTTTGGATATGTTTGTTTGGGTGTCAGAATCTCTCATGAATTGTTTTCAGACGATGCATTAATTTTAGAAGTATCAAAGAATCACTATTTTATTATTGAATGCATTCTTCTGAACATATGCTATTATACAGAATAGGGATATTTAAAAACCTTGTTTATGATAACATTTTAAGACCTTCAATTGTTTTCTTTTTGATAATGATTGTTAGATTATTCACAAAAATTTGTGTGCATTTCAAAATGTAATAATCTTAATATAACAAGTAATTTAAATGTACATTTAAGGTACCTAAGTTTTTAAATATTGTTTTGTATTTACTTCAGTAGAGTGAGGGGGGGGGGGGGGGGGGTAGAGATCTTTAGTGCTTAAAAATACATGTCTATCATAGCCATTGACTTAAGGTTTTGCATGTACTTTTAATGCAGTTTTAGATTTACATTGGTAGCAAAGTACAGAGGTAATATAATGCCAATAAAACATAGTCAAAGTCAAAAGTGTTGCATTTATGTTCAATATGATTTCAAATATTATTAGGTATAGAGAGTTACTGCCCTTTATTCGCAACTTGAATGGAATAAACAAATGAATCAGTATTTGGTTCCTAAATGGAAAAGCTTGCTAATTTGGATTGCTTTGATTAAAAAGGTAGTTTGTTCCACACAACATTGAAAGATTTAATGAGGACTTGAAAATCAAGCACATAAATTGGGACCCCTGGGTCTGGGGTTCAAGTCCAAATAATTAATATCTGATGTTTCATGAAAAAATTTAAGGACACATGATACTAGTACAAACAAAAAAAATGGATGCAATGGATTGGTATATATTTTAAATTTATTTTAGTGGTAATTGATGCATACATCAGATTTGTAAAATATTAAGAAATTGTGAACTTTCTGTGATGTTCAAATTTTCCATTTTTTTGGAATCACCTTTACAAATTTATACAAATTTTTACCACTTTATAGGACAATATAGGACATTATTGAATAACTTAAAAAAAAACCTTTTTGTAGCTAAACTTATTCATTTTACTTATGTAAATATAGATTTAGTTGTAAATTTCATGATTTTGAAAAAAAAATTGTATCATCTGGCCTTAACTTGTAAAAATGCAAATTATCCATAACCTTTTCTATAGATTGCACGTTCCAGGTGTTTGAAATCAAAATTATAAATAATAAAAAACCAAAACAAACAAACAAAAACGAAATTTAATACATAAAAGATGGGCACAGATGTGTTAATTATTCCAACATAAATATGCATTACTTTATATCCTACAAAGTAAACATTTTCCTTCCTTGAAAATGTACAAGTCCACTATAACGGAATCAAAAGATGCACCTTAGAGATTGTACATACAGGCTTTAAAGTATTTTGACAAAAGTAAATTCCAGGTCCATTCTAAGCACTCTTTTCTATTGTTTCTGCTGAATTTTCGGGACTAGTCTCAGACACCAGTTTGTCGTGTGAATGTAACTTGACAGCGTGAAGTCCGTAATTTATACCTGTCTGGCTGATCCAGTTCCACCTCCGGGTCAGTGGGTTGTACATCATTCCATGGATCAAGGTCGTGGAAAATCCACCTGAAATGTGTTGTTGTTTGTATGATTGCTATTTTTTAAATACCGGTAATTCCTCTCTTTCCCAAACCATGACACAGGTTATATTCTAATGGTGGAAATTTCATTCTTTGATTTGTGAGCATTACTTTGAAATTACATGAATTTAATACAGTAACTATGGCCTTCAGGTTGATCAAATAAATTTCTCAATCTTGCATGCTTCTACATACATGGTCAAAACTGTGAACAGTCACACATACAAAAGAAAAAAATCAGATTTGCTCAATTTTCAATCTTTGAAGCATAAATATATAGAAACTCGTATTGAAAACTGCACTATGTTTTATTATAAGCTTGACTCTTACTCTTATCCAACAGAAACTGTAAGTCTTCAGGTGAGATGAACTTTTCCCAGTCATGGGTGCCTATTGGAACTAAACGTAACAAATACTCAGCTGCTAATACTCCTGCCATATAGGAGATGGCTGTTTTATTAATTGTAGTCAAGAAAATGGATCCTCCAGGCTACAAAATAAGAGATATTTTTTCAGAAATGTCCAAGAATGAAATGGTGATACTGCGATAAAGACTGTAAAATATTAATATGATTTTTCTTTAACAGACATATCTTCTGATTTGATGTCATGAAGTATTTTTGTCTGGATCAGAAGATAAAGTAGATGCTGCTCATGCAAGTGCCTAAATAAATCATGGTTAGCTCTCTAAACCATACAGCTATCCAGGAGGGTGGGGTATAATAAGATATACAGGTACATGTAGTATAAACATTCCTAAGTCAAAGCGCTTTATTGGAAATGTAAACCCATTAGGTTAGATGTAAAAAGCAAATGCCACGATACATACGTCTTATATTTAATTGAATTATATAATTCAAATATATTTTGACCCCCCCCCCCCCCGAAAAAAAAAATCAAAATAGGCCTTACCTTTATGATTTTACAGCATGATGTTAGAAAGGTGTCAATATTTGATACGTGTTCTACCACCTCTGAAGCCACAACTGCATCAAATGCCTCCTCGTTTGTTCCGACTAAATCCTCCACAGTTGCTTGGATGTATTTAACTGTCCCACAAATAGCTGGATCATCCTCTAAATGGGCTTGAGCCACTTTAATGTTATCCTCCACCATGTCAACGCCAATCACATTTGCCCCAAGTCTTGCCAGTGCCTAGAAATTAAATAATAATAATTATCTTTATTCAGGAATATTTACATTCCGTGTAATTTTCTTTATGAAATCCATTGGAAATCTACAACATTCAAACCCCTATAACACACACGAATCCTTGTCACTGCACGATAGAATTTACAGCAGTAACTATATGCTTTTTTAATACTCTAGGAACATGAAAATGTATATTGTTTTGGCTCAATTTAATTAGAAAGAATAACCCTATTAAATTATTGTAAAAATGTAACAATTGTATGTTTAAAATTAATTTGTCCTTTTTTCCCCTCGAAATATTTATTTGCGTTAATCTAACTTTCCACGTCACAACAGCTCTATTAAGCACACCAGTTCTGAAAAGTGCTAAATTCATAATAAAGAATGAAATTGACAATTTATATGAAGAGAGAAAATAAGAGAATGTAAATATAAGCATTAAATTCTTATTTTTGGATTTGTCTGTTCTATAAAAGCACCTGTCCGACTGTCCGTGCCAACAAATTATCATGCCGCACTAATGTGTGGTATTCAATTTGTCGGCCAGGTGCTATGACATCCAAAAATAAGAATTCAATTAATGCTTAAATAGGCAATGAACATTGTGGTGTGATTGATATACACAAAGAAAACAAATAAATATATGAAACATCTTTTTATCAAAATAAAAAAAAGAAACAAAATGTATTTCATATCTACCTCTGATAAAATGCCACCACCACTCCCAGCATCTAAAATTTGTTGACCAATTAAAGGTTTTGTGTGTAATGGAGGTGGCTGGTCTTGTTTTTCTACTAAAGAGTCTCTTATCCACGGAACTCTCAGTGCATTGAGGGCATGAAGAGCCTGGAATTCTCCAACCTCATTCCACCAGGTATGTGACAGTTTTTTAAATTTTTCGTGCTCCTCTTCATCTATTGTGGTTTGGGCGATAGGACGTGCATGGGTCCATCTTTTGTTATGACCGCAATGTCTGTCAGTAATTATTATAGATGTTTTTAAGAATACATGCATTAATGAAAAAGAGCTTCAGGCATGTATCATATCACATAATCTAATCTAACAGTAACCAGGTCTGGCACAATCTCTTGATTTAGCTATATAGCTTGAATTAGCTATATAGCTTTATTAAGCTATTCAAAATACATGTGTAGCTTGATAAAGTTATTTATTTGCAGTTTTTCACCAAAAAGTTTATTGTAAGAAATAAACAAAAAGTCGAAAGTATTTAACTATTCTATGTACTATGGGCTATCAAAAAAGCAACCCAGATCAAATATGGTTCTAACATTGCAGCTTTTGAATACTTTTAAGCAAAAGATGTATTTCTATTGTTTGAAAAACTGTCCACCACCTTGTGTGCGTTGAGGCGTGGATAAGAATGATTGCTACACATTGTGCTGAATTGGCAATCAATTATTTTGTTGACCATAATTTATCTCCTTTATAGCGAGCGCAGCAAGCAGCGCGAAGCGAGCTCAATATACTTACGTGTAAGAACAGAGGAAATTCGGAATGAAATCTGTTCATACGTCAGGCAAATTTTCTGGTGCAACATTCCCAGAATTCCTTCGCTACCAGGGTTCCATGCGAAATTCTTACAAAACATACAAAAGACCAAGGATAATTATTCATTACAGAGAGATACGTTTACTTTTCTTTCTTTGCAGAGAGCTTAAAAGAAACAAAAAATAATTACATCTACTCTACAACGTTATTATTGCACAAGATCTTTAGTCTCATTCAACCAGACGCTCGGGAGTGTCGGCTGTCTCCGTAAATTCCGACGTTATGTGATGTCACAGTCTAGATTGTGTCTCTTGCGGTCTGATGTTTGAAGAGGCGGATCAAGTGTAAGCTGCTATAGCTTTTTGGTGGTACAACTGCGCTCGCCCCAACGGTCACACCGTTAAACATATTTATTTCAAAACAGAAGTAACTGTGTGGTCACAAATCAAATGCTTTATATAGCCCCAAAACTTTTAGAAATTTGGGTACAAAGTCTCTCAAGAAGACATAATTTGATGAGTGATTTTTACATAGAAGAGTTCAAGGTTGAATACTATCACTGTGTACATCAAGATGCAACTTTTTATACAATCTAAAAAATATAACACATTTAAGAAAAAGCTATGATCAAATAGCTAAATCGAGTTTTTTGAATAGCTGATAATGCCTAACCTTGATATTGACATAAACTGTCCTAGACATCTCTTGCAAAACATGATTGAAAGTTACCGGAAATAAAAATGGCACCCTAAATCACTTGTTTTACAATCACAGTAGCCTTTTTTGTCCCGAAAAAGTTTTCTTAATCTAACTGTTCAGTAACGTTAGTTTGTTGAATTTTGAATTCAGATTATACTGTCATCTGTCATTTGCTTGAAATATATCATTTATTTTCTTTCAGTTTATTTTAAAGATAATTTTCTACAGTCCGGATTATTATAGTTTGTGAACATGGGGTCGATGTATTGGCAATTGCTCCATACCCTCTAGTGACGATTGCATGCAGAAAATGGCCGACTGAAAAAGGTTAAACTAAAGCAAACGTTCGTTACGTTGTAGCATGCGAACTTTCATGCGAAAAATCTTTGGACAATTTTAATGGTAATATTGTAGAGTATTACTTACTTTTCTAGATGGTTTTAACAGGCTTTTCCTCACGGACTGGTATCGTGATCACTATTTACAAAGCACTGTAAGGCGCCCAAAGAGGCTATAGTGTAGTTTGCAGGTTCCAGCACAATCTCTTATTTTAGCTACATAGCAGGAATTAGCTATATACTGTATTAAGATATTTAGAATAGCTTGATAAAGCTATTTATATGCAGTTCTCAAAAATGTCTTTGTAAGAAATAGAAAAAAAGTCGCAGTGTAAGGAATAGACAAAAAGTCGCACTCAGCAACTCAGCAGTATTTGCAGCTTTTGGATTCTTTTAAGAAAAAGACGTATTTTGTTTGTTTGGATAACTACACCACACTGTACTTTGAGGTGTGGCAATAGTCACGGGCAATGTTAAACGGGTTAGGCAGAGACCACCAAATGGTGGTTTAACCCGTTTGGTATTGGACTGGAGTCTGAATTTACCAGGTCCAGGAAAATCACTATATTTAGCTATATAGCTTAATTTACCTATATAGATTTATTTACCTATATAATATAGCTTTATTTAGCTATTTTAGAATAAGTTTCTGTTTTATGAAAAGCAAACAAAAAGTCGCATGAAAATTATGGCTGATATTTTTTTAAAAAGGTTTGATAAAAACAACCTAGGGCATAGATAGTAAAAACATTGCCTCTTTTAAACACTTTTTAACCAAAAAATGCATCTCTATTGTTTGGATAGCTGTCCATTACTGGAAGTGCAATGAGGCATGACTAAGTGTGATTGCCTTGCATTGTGCTGAATTATTACCAATCAATTATCTTGTTGAACAAAACTGCTTTTCTTTGTTAAAGTAGCTGCTTATTCACAGATTAACTGTTATACATAGCTCCAAAACTTTTAGATCTTTGATTGCAATTGCACAAAAGGAGAAACAATTTTAAAAGTGGGTTTTTGGTGAATTGTTTTCAGTCCATTTCAAAGTTGAAAACTAATACTGCCTCATTATGCGACTTTTTGTCTGCTTTTCATAAAACAGAAATTTACTCTGAAATAGCTAATTAAAGCTATATTATATAGGTAAATAAAGCTATATAGGTAGATTTAGCTATATAGCTAAATATAGTGATTTTCCTAGACCTGTTTACGGATAATTTGGGAGAGAAAAATCGTTTTGTTTGATTCTATGGAATTTAAATTTTGTGGAATAAAATATAGACATTTATTGGTGCTATGAAAGAAAAAAATTCGGAAATTCAACATGGAATTTTTTTGCACAGTGTCGTTCAAATAATTTAAAAAATCGTCACCCACATATTCAGGTGCAACATTTCTATACTTTTACTTAAAAAGAAAAATTCCCTCATTCCTAAATGTTATTGCAACTGTCAATCATGTTGCTAACTTTCTATTTCAATGATTGGAATGACCAATTAAATAATTTAAACCCATAAAGAATGATGATCTTTCTTGAACCAGGTCAGAAGTCTGATTTGAGGTACATTAGTGTCAATTTTCAATTAAGAAATAAAAGAAAAGATGAAGTTTTTGGTTTTACTTTGCTTATTTTTGTATGGGATGGCTTAATTCTTTATCAAATAGGATATACAGGGAGATAAGGGTACAACTTGTTTGAAAATGATTTTCTTAGAATAAAAACAAGAATAATTTTAACTTTCACTTTGTAAATCTTGTATTCAAAATCATTGGTCAAATATACTAGAATCACCATAAATATGCATACTGAACTTCAAAAGTTTGCACAGAATTTGCAACTTTATCCTAAAAGATATTAAAAATAAATATTACAATCAAATCTAGAAAAAATTAATATTATTGCAGTGAGTGCCAACCATACCAATAAGGTATAAGGAGCTTGCGTTTAACAGGATTTTATAGAGATTACTACTGATGAAGATCAGAATATCAATTAAAGGTTAACTTATCAAAAATTAAACCTCTGGATAAAATGGAGTTTATCTAACAAAAAAGTATTTTTTTTTTCATTAATTGAGTAAGAAGTTTGGCTGTGAGGTACAGCTTTCAGTATCGTTTTTACCAAGTTTCGCAGAAATTCCACATGGAAAATTGACCGAAATGTTTTAATGGTGTGAGGAACTGTTTACTAAAGTTCCCTGATGCCTATGCAAATGCACCTATGCTTTATTTAAATAAAAATTGGATTCAAATAAAATAAAAAAGACAACCATTTGGTCAGTAATTTTGTCTCTGATGTGGGCGATTGACCACCAGATGGGGGTTGAAAGGATCTAGCTACCCAAAAGTTGAACTACTTGTTAATTTTTAGCTCTACTGGTCAGAGACCAGAAGAGCTTATGCGATAGTAAGGTGTCCGGCGTCTGTCCGTCTGTCTGTCTGTCTGTCCGTCTGTCTGTAAACAATTTTTCAAAATGCTACTCCTCCTACAGTTTTGGTCCGATTTCAATATAACTTGGCACACAAGTAGACTACACTAAGATACATAATTTAGTGCATCGGTTTTTGATTTCGATGGACGGTGTTGCCATGGTTACTAAAAATAGAAATTTCTGTGACATTCCTTCAAAACGCTACTTCTCCTACAGTTTTGGTTCCGATTTCAATATAACTTGGCTTACAAGTAGACAACACTAAGATACATAATTTAGTGCATCGGTTTTTGATTTCGTTGGACAGTGTTGCCATGGTTACTAAAAATAGAAATTTCTGTGAAATTCCTTTAAAACGCTACTCCTCCTACAGTTTTGGTCCGATTTCAATATAATTAGGCATACAAGAAGACTATACTAAGATACATAATTTATTGCATCGGTTTTTGAATTCAATGGACGGTGTTGCCATGGTTACTAAAAATAGAAATTTCTGTGAAATTCCTTTTAAACACTACTCCTGCTTCAGTTTTAGTCTGCTTCTAATATAATTAGGCATACAAGAAGACTATACTAAGATACATAATTTATTGCATTGGTTTTTGAATTCGATGGACAGTGTTGCCATGGTTACTTAAAATAGAAATTTTTGTGAAATTCCCATTAAACGTTACTCCTCCTACAATTTTGGTCTGATTTCAATCTAATTTGGCACACAGAATACACTACGATACATAATATGTATTTCTGTTTTTTTTATTTGGGTGAGTGGTGTTGTCATTTTTACTGAAAATAGAAATTTCCGTGAAATACTTTCAAAACGCTACTCCTCCTACAGTTTTTATTGGATTTCAATATAACTTGGCACAGAAGTAGACTACATTAAGATACATAAGATACATAATTCTATTCATTGTTGCATGTTGCAATGTTTCAAATCCAAGTGCTACTTTTCTTTTGTTATACAAACAGACCAGTAGAGCTACAGTCTCATCAGAGACTTCTGGTTTTCTTTTTAAGGTTTTTGGATAGGAATTGGGTTTTCAAAATGTGGGCCAATCCATGGGGCAGTGGGCCCATCCAGCAGGCAGCATTTCAAGGGATGCCCATTGATCAAGGTAATTAAGGCAGCACATTGATAATGAAATTGGGGGGGGGGATTTATAACAATTTGCAAACCATTATAATCTTTATTTTCTTCATCATTTGAAGCTGGCAGTTCAATTTTATTTGGTTTACAAATTGTTATATAATTTTTCTTTTTTGAATGCTTTAAGACAAATTTTTGGAAAATGACAAATGAGAGACAAATCCAGTAGTCAGTGTGTCTTAAAAAAATTGAGATTGCTTACCAATTGAAAAAAAAAAGTTTTTAAGATTTAGATGGATATGTAATTCTCTTTCTCTGCTTTTAGTTGATTGGGCTGCACTTGCAAAGCAGTGGATTCAACAGAGAGAAAATGTAGCAGAGCCACCACCCTCCATGTCGATGAGTGCGGCTCCCCCACCTCCACCTCCCCCAGCCAATGGGGGCACCGGAGGGGATGATATGGACATTGAAGGAGACAATGAGAATAATTCTCAAGACTCTAACTCCTACGGTAATATGCCAGTTTATCAGAGTCAAGGTAAATTTAGTTGCTTTATAAGAAATATTTTATTGTTTTTCTTTTGTCTGTATGAGAGTAAATTACATTTAATTTGAATTTTAAGCATTGAAAGGATGAAAACCCTTCTACTTAAAATTTGTACTTTTATTAATATATCAATGATAAATGATAATACACTAACTACAAAATCTGACAAAAGATTACAACATATATCAGTTCAAAGAGTTTTCAGTCCTCTTTTTAGTAGTAAGGTAAATAGGAATGGCAGTGCATGATTTTTTTTGTATTTTATTACAGATTACAACCAGCAAGGATGGGGATGGACAGGGCTTCCCAACTGGAACATGAATATGGCAACAGGGTGGGGGGTGAATATGGGGGAAGGCAAGGTATTGTGTAGTCTTTATATGGCATCATTTATTATTTCAATGATGATAATTAATTACGCGGGTGAGTTAAGGCTAGGTATAGGCATTTCTATGCAAACAATCTAATTAATATGCTTAAGGACTATTTCTATTATACAGAGAAAGTTAAAACTTATTGTCTAATACATACCTGGTATCAACGACATGAGAAAGCCAGTACACATTATGATGTCATATTATGACATCATTGTACTTTACTACACAAGATTATAATGGAGATCAACAAAAATCCTTCGGCGCAAGGGCATGCTCTATTTGATTTAACTTAAACAAGGTATATTAAGAAGCAAAATATTCCAAAGTTTGCTGGTATTGCTGCACAAATATCAACAGCTCATTTGTATAATTTCTATTTGTAAAGTTTTAAGTTGAATAAGGGTAGAAATGTACAATCCGGCATAAGTTTTCTCAAATTCCGATCAAAAGAAAAAATACCTAGGATTTGTGCAGCAGTTTTATTAATCGATAGAATATTCTTCTTAGCATTATACAATTTTTATGTAAAAAAGATAGGATAATCCCTTGTGCCAAAGCTGTTTTGTTGATGTGTTTTATTACCTCCAGTAGGTAAGATCAGTCATAATGTGACGTCATAATGTGTAATGGCTATAACATATCGTGGGTACTAAGTATGCATAAGAAAATAAATCAACACTTTCTCTGAATAATAAATATACCTTAAAATTATGCTTTTTATGCTCATTTGCATAGAAACGCCTATACCTAGCCTTAACTCACATGCGTAATGGTTAATTCAAGAACATTATATGGCAGTATCTAAATCTATGGAAACTACATGAAATAAACATAAAGTAATGAAACAAAAGTTAAAAGGATTTTTTTAATAAAAACTGTAGACCTACATGTAGATAATGATAAGAACAATGGCGGGAATTTGATTTTATACCCATTTTCAGGGCATTTGTACACTGATAAAAATTATCCTTTTTTCCCACCAGAATCCACAGAGTTTTGACTATTCCCACCAGGGAAATTTCCCACCAGCCTTTGATTACAATCATGGAGGAGATCAGTATAATTACCAAGTATGTTGTTTCAGTATATTGTATATGCTATTGTTTAGGGAAAAAAATCCATTCATTCATTCATTTGTGAATAAATATTTTTACTCGCAGCAGAATGGCACACTGGCATTAATTCTTGTGGACCATGAAACCAGGGCTACTTGGAAATTCACATACATATAGCTAAGTTGTTTTACCAACTTGTACTGAAGAGTGATATGAAATTTTTATTTTTAGGGTGGTGGTGATAATTACAATCAGTTCTGGGAGGGAGATGAAGACTCCCAACACAGCAGATCCTTCAGAAGCAACCACCAAGGAGGTCGGTACCCCACTCCCCCAGGGACCGACGAGGACAGCAGTGGATTGGGTATGTCATCGTCCATCATGTCGAAAAAACATCTCTGTATGCAATGTGGTACTTCAAACAACATAAATTTGATCAACAGAGGTTTTTTTTTTTTTTAAATTTTGCATTAAACAAAATTGATATCTGGATTTTGTTTTAGCTAATTTCAAGTTTAATAATACTTTTTACATTCTTCAACTTTTGTAGATGCTGCTAAAAGGAAAACTCTTCCAGCATGGATAAGAGAAGGGTTAGAGAAAATGGAGAGAGAAAAACAGAAGAAAATGGAGAAAGAAAGATTAGAAAGAGAGAAAGAGGAAGCTGATAAACAGCGAGAGGAAATAGAGAAGGAAGTAATGGAAGACACGAATGACGGACAGCCACACATCCCAAAAAAGAGCAGATTTGTAAGAGTTTCCATTAAAATACATATGGTAATGTTGTATAAGTATAACATTATAAAGGTTCGTGTGTGATATTTATATATAGGAATAGATAAAAGTATTGAGTTTTATACAATAGAAACATTTGATGAGGAGTATATTTCTTAGGGGTCTATTTGATCCACTTGATAGAATGTACAATAATAAGTGTAATGAGAATTGATATTTATGACTGCATACATGTTGAAGGATTCGGATGATGAAGGGGATAGAGGATCTGTATCGCCAGCTCCTGTCAAGGACAGGTCAAGGTCACCAGAACAGGTAAAAAAGAGAAGCCCTTCCCCGCAGGCATTTAAATCTGAGGAAGAGAAACAGATGGAGTTTGTGAGTATTTCATACCAAAACTTTCAAAAAACTACATGTTGACACATTTTGATGTTCTTTCTCATTTACATGCATCTAAAGATCAAGATAGCACTCTTCCATGATAAAAGAAGCATTTGAACTTTCATGAAAACTACTTTTTTTAGATGATGAAAGTGAGAAAAATGCTGACAGAAATACTTTTGGATGTGACCAACACGGAAATTGAAAGTGTTTGCAAAGAAGTGGTCCGCAAAGAGAAATCTAAAGCTGCCAAAGGTAGAAATGAGAAAGCATTGAAAAATCTACTTTTGTGGTATTTTGGTAAAGGCCTAAAGACCTATTTTGTGCTGTTTGATCTGTATACTCTATGCAATATGTGCCAAAAATTCCAATGGTTGAACTTTTGTAATGGAAACTCTGCTGTGTGCATAAAATTAAATGTGGCACATGAGGTAACGTTATACTTAAAGACTGTCAAATTCAACTATCAAATAAAAATAGAACCTTTACTGAGGATGTTTTCTATACAACAGTTGATATTATTTAGATACCATAAATATTTGCAAAAGCATTCTGCAAAAATGCACTGTTTACATCTGGGCTAGGTAAAAAATTGTTAGTGGAGATATGACATCTAGAATCTTGCATCTGAAGTTCTTAGATTTTTATGGCTAGAATAATACTTTCATGAATTTGCAACAAAGAAGTATAACTTTTTTGTTTCCTCCAAAGGAGAAGAAATTTCATACACAATGTAATTATGGGCTTAATTTGAAACATTCCTAGCCTGGGTGTTCTAATTATTTTGTCTTTCAGGTGATATAATTCAGATTATTTTCACAGCTCAAAGAACATGTAAGGGGAGATAATTCCCCTATCCAGCCTCTTTAATTGTATAGATATTGAGTTTTATGATGAGGAACTAATCATGTTTGTATAATTGTACAAAAAGCTCCAGCAAAGCAGCTCACCAAGTCTACTGCTTTAGCATCTTTGACTGGCTTGGGTAAGTAACTGCTGATTTTATTAATTGCTTGAAAGTGATAGACAATCAATTGTCCTTCCTTGTAAACAAATTGATTGCAAAAAGTGCAAATCTCAGTCAGGTAGTATTTTTTTCTATTTATTTCCTAATTTTCAAATCAGCTAGTTGTTCAGTGCCCTATAATAGGAGTTCAGCATTACTGAAAAAAAGTCTTGAGTGACAGAGCATGTTTTAAAATAGGAACCTCTTTGTTTCAGTACAATTGTTGCTATGATTCCTTTTCACCCAAATCAGAGTAGTCAAGAATTTCAAAAAAAAAAAATCTTTAATTAAAAAAATAAAACATATTGATTAAATTACATGTATGTCTCATTTTCATGTTAAGAAAAAAAACACGAGATGCAAAACATGGCATAATTAATAAATAAGAAACAGCTATTTCTATCAATTACTGTAATATCACTAAATTTCATGGGGGTTAAGTTTTGTTGTTTGTGTAGTATGAAGAGACCCATAAATTCAAGTCCACCACAAAGTGTTAAAATTTTAAACTAAGAATCTACACCTCTCCAACCATAAAAGCAAATCCCTAATATTTTTTCCTTAAACCATCAATATTTTATCCTTCAAAAGTATATGCTTTACAGTATGCAATATTCAAGAAATACATTTTGAAGGGAAGTAACTGTATCACAAAGCATGTTGACAAAGACTATACTAATAGTCATCATGATATAATAGAGAGTTTTAAGATGTTTTGACATACTGCCCATTTAAGTAGGCATTAAAAGTACTAGTGGTATAAAATTGAGTTTATTAGTCAGAAAATCTTATGAAGTAAATTTTCAATTTCTCAGAAATATTGACTGAGTTGTAATTCGTATTGTTGTGTGATAGTCCAGTGGTGTTGTAGGACTGGCAGGATATGGCAGTGACAGTGATGAGGAGGAGGAGGAAGAAGAAGAGGAGCCAGACTCAGACGAGGATCTCGAGGAGCGGATCCGACAAAAGAAGGAGGCATTTGAACGCAAAATTAAAGAGCAGGGCATTTATGATGAAGACGAATTAGGTAACAACAATGGTCTCTCAGCTGGTGGTCTATTCTTTTAACAGTAATGTTATGAAAAAAATGTCATTATGGCCTACATGTACATACAATTGACATATCATCGAATTTTAACTTACAGAGCCAGAAGCACCAAAAATCTTTAAAGACCCAATTTCGGACAAGCACAGCTACCCTTTTCAAAACAAATATAATGGAATTCCTGGACTAGATGTGAAATCCGAAGCTGAACACAGCACTGAAACCAAAAATCAGTCAAAAGATTCAAAAGTAAAGGTTGAGCGTTCAAAAGATAAAGCTAAGAGAGTTAAGAAAAGTAGGACTTCCTCTAGTAGTAGTTCTAGTTCCACTGGGAGTTCAAGTGATTCTGATTCTGACAGTTCTAATAGTTCCTCTAGTTCTTCCAGTTCTTCAAGTGACTCTGACAGTTCTGTCAGTGAGAAAAGAAAGAAAAGTAGGAAAAAGAAAAAGGGGTCTGGGGGTTCTTCATCTAAAGTGTCAGAAAAGGGTAAGAGTCGGGATAAGAGTAGCAGTAAGTCAGAAAAACATAAAGACCGAGAATCTGACTATGTAAAGGAAAAGGAGAGGAGGAGAAGTAAGGGGGAGGAGTTAGACAGAAGTTATAGTAGGGATTATGATAGGCAGAGTAGCAGAGAAGACAAGAGTAAAAAGAGGAGAGATTCACGCAAAGATAGTTCTCGAGTGTCTCGTGACAGAAGTGATAGTAGGGATCGTGATTCTGAAAAAAAGAAGTCAAAGAGAAGTAGAAGCAGGTCAAGGTCAAGAGAGAGGTATAGAAATAGGTCAAGGGATAGAGGGAAGCATGATAGGAGCACTAGTAGGGAAAGGGAAAAGAGACGTAGAAGTAGGTCAAGGGAAAGGAGGAGGAGCAGAAGTAGGTCAAGGGAAAGGAGGAATAGTAGAAGTAGGTCAAGGGATAGGAGGAGGAGTAGAAGTAGGTCAAGGGGAAGGGATAGTCGTAGGCGTAGTGACAAATACCAGGATGATGAAAAGGAAACATCACGTCGCTCTTTGGACTCTAAAAATAGCAAATCCAAGTCCAAGAAAAGGAGAAGGTCAAGGTCACATTCAGACAGTGAGGATCGATTAAAGAGCAAGCACAAAAAGTCAGGAAAGAATCGCTCAAGGAGTCCCTCTGAAGAAACCAGATCCAGCAGTCACAAAAAGTCTGGTGGCGGTAAGAAGTCGAGACACAGGTCTAACTCCAGCTCAAGGTGGGAAAACCTCATCTTACTTTTTCTTATGTCCACTGTTGGTGCTTTTTTTCTTAGCTTATGCAGAGTTGGTTTTTCTAAGTGTTGTATTTATGCTATGTACAAATATATAGTTTTTATAGGAAGTAAAGTAAAGTGCATTGTAGGTTTAAAAAAGGAATTAGGTTGCTGTGTAATGTTCACAGGAAATTTTCTTTTTTTACAGGTCCCGATCCCCTAAACGGAAGTAAAGAGAATAATGAATTCATCCAGTTGCAGTTTCTTCATCACATGATTCTTGTTATGCATTTTACAGAATAGATTTTTTTGACTTTGTGCCATGTGTTAATTTTTTTTTTTCAACATACAATATAACATAATATAATGTGTAATGCTTTTAGTGCATGCCCAAGACGCCTGCAGGTTGTTTGATGAAAGTTCTTGCATTCACTGTATATTTCTTCAATATAAGAGAAGATTTGCTCAGACTCTAATTTCACTTCATAAAAATGTTTGAAAAACAACTATTAATTTTTCTTGTGTAAATGCATAAGATGTTCTTGAAATTCTGGTCAACTTATGATTCCAAAACATATATATTAAGGAGGCATTTTACATGAAAGGCTGGATTTCTGCAAAACTTTATATATAAATGAAGAATATTAAGTATTTTGACAGTGGATACTTATGAATGACATATAATAATGAAAAAAATATGCCTGAGATCGCTGTTCTGCAGGATTCTCTATGTGTGGTATGACCATTCCTCAATTGGCATTGGACTTTATAGAATGCTGCTTTTTGGTTTATACTGAGTTCAAGACCAGTGATGTATTTTAACCAATTGATATTTTTCAAGGTCATATTACTGAGGCAAAGCTTAATATGGTCATTAACATCGTCTGAACCCTCGAAGGATATGTAGTGACCTTCATTGGAGGTCACAATTCAAAGTCGAATCAGAATGATGTACTTTCATTATATGATCAAACAATGCTATGTGGGGAATAGGAAAAAAATATTCCATACACTGCATTTACGCATGTACATGAAATATAAATTTTATATACAGTTGAACTTCGGTATCTCGAACATGGATATCTCCTAATTTCCAAATTTTTTTAAATATATTAATTTACCATAACCAGCGTAAAAGATCTATTGGAGATTAGAGTAATATCCATCAGTTCAAGGTTGTTTCTTGTTTAAATTGGGCGTGTTTAATTAGCTCATAATTTCTTTCGGGAAAATTAATTTCAATGGCATTGCTTTTAGCGTTAATTGGTAACGGGCGCAGGAACGTCAGGAAATTGGTTGATTACGGTGCTTTTCTTTCAACGAGAGCAGGGTGACGGGCACATCTACATAATATATTACTCGATCACATATTAGTGTTCGAGAAATGCAGCTACGTAGAATGTTTTTTTTTTTGGGGGGGGGGGGGGAAGATTACTCACCTGAAAAATCTTCAATTCTTCGCAAAAAGAGGAAATTGTACAAAAATCGAAAATCATTTTTTTGGGGTGGGATGTTCAAACTTTAATTTATTAACACATTACCATGGGACGATTACACTATACTGAAACAAGAGGTGGGAGGGGTGGCAACCGCTGTTTCAATTAACATTTTCAACACTAAAAGGCGTTTGGATAAAAAAGGAAACTAGGTGCCTGAAATGACCCTGATAACGGAGAAAAAAAAAGCATCGTTACCACCCCCAGATTTTTAAATCTGCATAATTATATGATCCATTAGGTGACCAAGTTCGGAATTTTATTGGTCACCAACGGTCGCCATACATGTATAATGGAAAGGTCATGCAGAAGGAGCTGTTTGAATAGCTTAGGGTCTTTTAAGGTTCAACATCCCCCTTTTCATCTGTATGAAATTTTGCTTTAAATCTATTAATTATTAAAAAAAAAAAAAAGAAATCCAATTTATGATTTCTTGCGAGAGAAATGGCCAGCCCGTAAACAATCGATTGAAGTTTGTCAAAGGTTCTACGATCACGAGTAGACTCAGAACCCAGACCTTCTGAGGATTTTTTTTTTTTGAATATATTGAGCAATTTTACAGAATTATGCGTTTTGTCCCATTTAAGCATTGGGTTCTTATTTTGGGATGTCGTCGGTGCTATAACAGCACCTGGCTCTGCCGACAAATTGCACGCGTTAGCGCGGTATATGATAATTTGTCGGACAGGTGCTGTTATAGGACCGACGACACCCAAAAATAAGAATTAATTGCTTATAATTTACATTGTCTAATTTTCTGCCTTCGTAATTGTTAATTTCGTTAATCTTTATGATGAAATTAGCGCCTTTCAGTACTGGTGACCGTGTGCTTGCCGTTGCGACGTGGAAAGTAAAATAACGCAAATGAATATTGCAAGGGGAAAAAGACAAATTAATTTTAAACGTACAACTGTTATATTTTTCAGAGAGTTTATTGGGGTAATTATTTTTAATTAAATTGAGCCAAAAACAATATACATTTGGGTGTTCCTAGAGTATTGAAAATGCATTTATACTTCCTACTGAGTATTCTACCGCGCAGTGACAAAGTTTGGCGTGTGTTTTGCGCTTGTCCCTTCCACTCAGATTGCAAATCACAATCGTCATCCCTATGTATATTTACTCAATACTGGATGCACATAGTTAGCTGCATCTTCGTAAGCCATGGGAAGGGGAGTAGACGGAAAACTCTTTAGCGTTAACGAAGATGGGTTAGCTGGTGTATTTGATGTGAAAGCAAAATAAAGGCATTGGATTTAGGACCCTCTTGATGACCCAAATGACCTAGAACGCTGCATGCATGATGGATGTCCGGGGTGTGTGTGTGCTAATTTTCAGATCGAATTTTTGACAGCTTTATTTGAACAAATAAGTCTGAATTATAACCTTCAAAATACTGATTTTATCATGAAATTTTGTAATTATGTCGTAAGATATCAGAACTTCTTTATTGTTTGTTCAAGATTGATTGATTGATTGTATGTTGTTTTACGTCCCATTCGAGAATTTTTCACTCATATAGAGACGTCACCATATACCGGTGAAGGGCTTCAAATTTTGACCTTTACTCGGCACTCAGGGCCATTGAGCAGTGAGGGATCTTTATCTTGCCAACGCCTGCCGTGACACGGGGCCTCGGTTTTTAAGGTCTCATCCGAAGGACCCGCAACTTTCACTTCAAAGTGCCGAGCGCATGGCGAAGGAACAGTTGCTACCTATTTTTTTTATCGACTTAGGTCTGTCGCGGCCGAGATTCGAACTCACGACCTCCCGATCACGGAGCGAGCGCTTATTGTTTGTTCAAAGAGAAATACATGTATCCTAAAAGTCTTCTTTTTTTTCTTAGTAATTTCAGGCTAAGTTTAAAATAATGTTTGTTTGCCCTCTCCAGACTCAACGTGAAAAAATTGGGTTGGTAGGTAGGTGAGAACCGACCCTCCCCCCCCCCCCCCAAAAAAAAAAAAAAAAAATTCAACATCAATGCTGAATTTCAAAATTTATGCATAAACTTCCAGAAAGCAATTATTTTTTATGCATACCGGATCGGCTTGCGCATGTAATACGCCTAAAACTCTGTTAAAATAATAATACGTGTACACTTCATTATTAAGGAAATATAGGGGAATAAAGAAAGCTGTAAAGTTAAACAAAAAGCAAATATACCGTGTATACCAAATACGTAACCCTGGCAAAATTGAAAAAAATAATCCGGAATATTGACAGCTGTTCTTATCAATCATAATTTATATTTATGTATACACATAAACTGATGACGTAGTAATCGTCTGCCTAGGAGTAGGGAAGGTGGCAGGTTTCAAAAAGATAAAAAATGCCAACACCACCCATTAAGAAAAGGCATGGTAAAGGTAAATAAATATATAATTATAAACTTAAAATTTAATTATGCATACTGTATTTTCCTTGGGGTCGGATTTAATGCCAGGCGGAGTGTCCTCCGACTCTCGTAGATTTATTCACAAACCTTGACCTTTGTTCACAGTGCAGTGGATAGATCTATATCAAAATGTGACATGACGTGATCTAGGAATAGTGGAATACACGTGTGCATTGTGTATTCTCTTTAAAAAATTGAAAAGGAGTAAGTTTTAGGAATATTCTCATAATTACTACTGGAGTATTGACACTCAAATTGAGTTCATTCCATTAAGGGAAGAAGAAGAAGAATTCAAAATGAATTCAATCACAAATAGCAAAATAAAATAGGCCTATATCCCAGGGCTATCCTCTAAATTCACAGGTTTCCTCCAACACATAGGCCTAGCATATAGGACCAGAAAAGAATGAATCAACGTCAACAAAGGGGGGTGCATGATAGAATTCTTCCTCTCGAATGCTATTGCATTGTTATTGCATTTACCTCTCAGCCCTGTATTGAATTGCATCATAATAAAACTGGATAAATACAAATTTGGGAGGAACTTGTAATATTATTTAATCAGAGGAGAATTTGAGGGGGAGGGGTGGGAAGGGTGATTAGATGGCTACATGTACATTACATTGGGATTTTGGAAGGAACATGTATATATTTATCAAGAAGAAAATTGGAAAAAGGGGAATTTGTTGAAATATATGTTTTTCTCCTAAGGACACCATGGAATGCCTCAGCTGCCTTAATATGCGAATAAATAAATAATACATGTATGTGCATTATATGTTGATACTTTGTACTTAAGGATTAAAAAAGAGTATTTCCTGTAACCCGACCTGCCCTTCCAAATTACAGCTTACCTTTTCATTACATACATTCAAACTATCTGTAAGACCTCAAGCAGGAAACAACGAGCAATTTGATTACTCAAAGCTCGCTAACGTTCGACTCTTTTGCTTTCAATAATTGCACATTAATGCTGCATTGCATGCCCTCGATAAATGCACAAATTTAGCACAGTATTTCACAAAAAAGATATATTGACGAAGATGTACTGTATGTTAAATAAAATGAAGGTGGGTCAGCACATATTAAGATACATGTATCAGCAACTTATATAGTATCAGCACATAATGTCAGGAAATCATCATGTAATAATATGTTATGAATTTGTGGGTCTCTTCACACCACGAAAACAACTAAAATTACCCCCCCCCCCCCCCCCGAAAATTAGTGATTTCACAGTAATGAAGAAGTATCAGCACGCAATGTCAAAGTACAAACGTGTATCATCATATTACTGAAGTAATGTCAATTCAAAGTTTCAACAGTTAAAGAAGTATGGGCACGCGCAGTCATATTATTTTTAGATCTACAACGTATAATGAATTCTCAGTACATCATGACTAAGTATCAGCATATATGAAGACAAAACGTCATCACAACATAAGTATTATCCTGATCTATATAAGGCAGTTAAAGCGTTCCACAGGACACATATTGTTTTAGTTTGAATAAAGAATACTTCTACCACAGATCAGAATGAGGACAAGAAAGAAACAGCATCCAGGCCCCTTAGCGCATTTATGCTGTTTGCAAATGATGTGAGACCTCGATTGGAAATGGAAAACCCGAGTATTAAGGCTGTGGACCTTAGTTCTAAGTATGTAACAAGCTTGTCAAATTGTCGAAATCCTTTAATTACGTATATTAAGAAAAAAGAAAAACAGTTGTTGAAAAGATTACTAGTACCCTAACAAAAATACTATAGTAGACTGTAGGTTATCATAGTATCAAAGTCTTTACTGCAGTAAACAAGTACTTACTATAGGAAAAAGAAGTATTTTTACTATGAATTTCATATTTCTATACTTCATTTTCTCCAAGTCTTACATTTTGCAATTTTTTTTTCATAGCAAAAGGAAATATTGCTTCTACATTCATATATTTAGTATTATTTCTAAAATTTACCAGTGTGAAATTAAAGAGATATTAGGGCCTCAAATCTCTAAAAAAAAAGTTCTAAATAAAAGTTTCATAGTGAAAGTAGCAAAGTATTTACTATCGTAAACTATAGTTGACTAAAGTATAAAAGGAAATTTTGTATTGGTGTATGCGCATTTGCAGACAAAAACTGTACTACTCATCAGTTATGATATGGCTTAAGACTGGTACAAAAGTACGTATGGTCGTTACTAAAGATCATCAGTTGCGCCACAAGATTTTCTAGAAATTTATTGCACAACTTTTTTTTTTAAAAACTACAATTTTCATTAGTAAAATTTGCATATAATACTTTTCAGATTGGCAGATTCTTGGCACGATCTTCCGGAAGAAGAGAAACTGATATACCATCGTCGTTCCCTTGACCTATATACACGACCCGGTACATTTTGATATGCACAACTCCTAGATACATGTATAATAATTAACAATTACTATTGCAGTAATTAAGTTTAATTAGAACGTTTCCATAATCGATCAATGTTCACAATTCTTAACCATTTTGTAGATTCGGATCAGAAAACATTTCCAAGACAAAAAGAGGAACAAAAGCGGAAAGCCCCAGATAGACCAGAGCATTGTATAATTGTACCAAACGGAGAAATGAAATTGATAGACTCTCCATTCATTCAGAAGTCAAAACGAAGAAGATATGAACTTCCTTATAAATTTCCCCAAAGCTCGGAGTATCAGCCACGTCCAAGACCTCCAAAACCTCAACCAATAAAGAGACCACCACCACCTCGGCCTCTCATACGTACCTACCCAACATACAAGGAGCGGATTCAGATGATGGAGCGTGGACTGTACCATAAACAAGCTCCACCACACATAGGTGTTTTCAAACGCAGCGAGGACAACCCAGACCTTCTTATTGTCGACGAATCAGGACAAACCACGATAACTTTTCCAAACATCGAAAGACACAATGGTTATGGTAAAAGTTACAGCATTGGACCATGTGTTTCTGGACTGAAAGGAAACAGTTACTTCCATCCTAGAATCATTGGGAATGGACATCATTATGCCCAATTTCAGCTTGCATCGCCGTCGGTGAACTTAATACCACGAATGTATCCTCAACAGTTCCAAAGATTGCGATACCCTTACCTGACGAATGTCCACAGTTCCTACATACAAGCGGCCCCTCAGTTGTACCAACAGACCATCCCAGCTCAAACATCCGTCTACTCAGAAATAAAGTGCTCCCCTGTAACAACGGGTTCCATTACTGTTCGCTATGAGCCGGTAACAACAGAGTCGTTCGAGAACTTTGAGATATCAGATGATGAATATCTAGAACAGGATCCTTTTCTGAACATAAATCTGAACGAAGATGAAATCCAGATAGACGGGGACGAGGTGGAATTCAATATGATGGGTTTAGACTCTGACCAGGATATCAAGGAAGAAGAAGAGGACGTCTGTGATGATCTGGATGACATCAATCCCACCATTGCTCCATTTGAAGAAGGTTTGATGAACATATATTTTCTTAAAATTGCACATCTTATTTCCGTTAACTTCTTTTTGATTAATTTTAATAATTTTTAGGCACCTGATCCCACCTCTGATGTTACAAGGGGTCCATCGTTTTGCCTTGTTCACGATTCGTTTTCTAAACTGGATTTTAGAAGATTGATCACTGTTCATTGTCTTCATTTTTTTTTTGGTTATAATTTAATATTTTGCTCTTCAAATATAGATAAATTCAGGTCCTGGATAAAAAAGAAAAATATTACCATCTGTCTGTTTTAATACTTTTGATGAGTACAATTTTCACAGAAACTTCTTACCACCACAATTGTATTTTTTAAAGCGTTACAAAATTAGACTTTATAACGTACTAAATTGCAGAGTTGCAGTTGACTGGTTTTGCTAAAATCGAAAAGGACATGACTGGTATTGTTTCCAGTTCACAATACATGTATATGAGTATTTTACTGTTGGTAGGTAATTTTTTTTATTATTTTTCAAAAGGAATCGACCAGTATCTCTCTCTAGATGGACAACCCTACGTCATGATACCGGTAGATATGGATGTTGCCAAAAAGTTGGGATGGCCAATTCATATGCTGCCTTCTATGCCGAAATGGTTGTCCAAGATGGCAGAGTAAGTTTAATAAATAACCGTAGATAATTTTAGATTTAATGTTGTATTTTAAAAGGCTGGGACGATAAAACTTTTTATATCGATACAGTATTAAGATATTTGTGTCACGATACGATACGTATCACGATATTTTTAATTGATTATAAAATCTTTTTGTACCGAAGTGAACAAAATATTTCTTCACAAATAAGAATACTGTATACATAGAAACTGTACGTTTATCTGTTGTTAAACAAATTATTCCACAAATGTGGAATTAATTATCATTAATTTTTATGTTTAGCATATTTATTTTATAGTATTGACAGTCTACAGGTATTGGAAATAATCTGTTCTGGAACTTTCGAGTTGATGTTTCTTCTGCAATATTCTTATACTCAAATTTGTTAAAATCTTTAATTTTTGATAATTAATTACAGGTAAGCATCACTTTTATATAGATGGAAAGCAATATTTCTTAAATGTGATTCTTACTTTCAGTAATGAAGTGACATCTACCGATGTTTCAAGTACAGAACTTTTGGATATCCCAGAATCTGATTCAAGCACACAACAAAGCGGCGTATATAATGCGTTAGATTTGGAAAAAGAGACAGAAATTGCTGTAAAGACAATAAAAATTGAAATGCCAGACATGGAAATTGTAAAAGAGATACCAGAAATAATGGATTTTTCTGAATCCAATACCGATCCCGCCATTTCTCGAAATGAAACGGATTCAAAAGATGATGAAGTAGGAAATGATATGGATACCAAATTAACTAGAAATCCGCCAGTCTACACCGAGGACAAAATGCCTACTGCTACTGGAGAAATAATGGACAATTGTGGCGATAAGAAATTTGATTTCTTGGCAAGTATTCCAGATGAGAGAGGTGACCAAGGAGGGTTTCGTTTTTCTAGTACTCCAAACCAAAGCCCTCTTCGAGAAGAGATTAAATTGAAGACAGTGAGCGATCCACCAGATGAGGAAATGTATCAAAATTTTTGTCAATCCCCAAAGTACTCTCCTATAAAATCTGTATGCCAAGAGGACCATCTCAAGCGTGAGCAAGATGAAGCCGAACATTTCAAGGAAGTTATTCGACAAGAGAAGAATTTCAGCCAAAACAATTCCAACTGTGTGTCTAATTCCAACACAACAAAAAAGCCGTCCATTATTCTTGAGAGTCTCCTAGAAAATTCTGACACAGAAATGGATGACGTTAAAGGTACACCAAAAGATGGATCTGGAAAAGAAATTAATAGTGGACATCTGACATACGGTAAAGGGAAAGACATTACAGTAGGAGGCTACATGGAAAAACAGAAATGTTCAGTGTAATGTCTTTTTTGAAGTATGGATGATGAAATTTCCGACTGTGATAGATAATTTGAAAAAAAGTTACAAAGCAATTTCATTGATCATTTTGTTTTATCTCCAAGATTTACTGCTTAAATCTACTAATTCATTCATTTGATTCAAATAAAGATTACCTCTGAGGTCATGTAATCCAGATGATGTGCTCAAATTTATAGATGGTAAGAATGACAATATAATATTATGATTCATTTTTCCTCATCTAAAATTTGATATTTTGAAATGTGAGAATATAATTCTTAGCAATCTGAACATCATCTTATATTACTTTATACTTGGTTAATCTTGCTGAGCTTGAAAGAAGTTCTTTGTAACTTTTAGATCATTTATAGAGCAAGGTACAGTTTCAATACAAGTCTGGCCCTGTATTTTTCTAATATATAAAAGTGATGTAATAACTTTAAACTAGTGCTTTCTGAATCGTTCAAATTCCATGAATTGAGATCGTACAAATCATTTTTCTCATATGACCCCTTAATGCTCATTGTGACGACATGAACTTGTGTATTTTCCCGCATTTTCTTAACAAGTTGCAGAAGACATCAATTTTCAAAGGAATTTTCTTACAGATAATATGGACGACATCCATCGCCCACAAAGCTATTGAGAAAAAATTAATTTTTCAAAGAATTTTACACAACATATCCAAAAACTGAAGTGGACGATGGCTGTGAACACTATTTTCTGTAGAAACATAACTCTTGAATTGAGTCATCTTGAGGTTTTTTCTGTTTCAAACTTAAAAATGTACCAAATTAATAACGTCAAATCTCATGGTCCTCATTTATTGTCATATTCTTTCATTCATATATCCATAACTCATATTTAAACCAATTTCAAAACCTTTTTGAAATCATTAAATTTATTGGGTACAATAAGCCAAAACCAGACCTTTTTCTTTATTTATCGTCTTTATAAAAAAAAAAAAAAGAAGAAAAAAATCCAAACTTTTCAGTTATAAACAAATTCTACAAAGCATCGATATTGACCAGCTAAAACAAAATCCTCCTGAATATTCTTATTTTCTCCTCTTCTTCAACTAGATGTCCACATGTACACACTGTTACTTGTGATGTTAATGTAGTTGAAATGAAATATGGAGACAGCGAACAGTATTCAAGCTTATAGTCCATTTAAACAATACAAATAGGGAGCAGAGCAAACACGGACCTCAAAAAATATAAAAGGCAGGATCAGGTGCCATGGAGGGGTAAGCATCCCATGTCGAACGGTCACATCCGCCGTGTGCCCCTTGTCATGATCAGGTAAACGGAAAAATCAGTAGAAATTTAAGTGTGTAAATAATGGCCTAACAATTAGTATGAAAAACATGTCAGAATTTGACCTAATGATCAGTGCTTTTAATAAATCTAAAGAAAAGAGGTGATTTTATCCATTTGAAGAGGCTGTTTTGGAATTATTTCCAATCGTTTATTTTGCCAATTATTAAATCTGAAGCAGCTAATTCGAGTCATTGAAATGGTAATACAACGGCTTCTGCCTCCCCCTTTTGAAGCCCTGAATGATGGATTGTATTTGCTGATGAGGTCATTGTATCAACCATAGAACTTGCGAAATGATGACTGAAAAATTCTCGAGAGGGACGTTAAACAACATACAATTTATCATCAACTTGTTGATTAATAGCTTGCCTCGATTTGAAAATTGATCGTACGTAAAGCATGCTCTTACGTATCGAATCAACTGGGAGACATAAACCTCATATGCAGGTAATAAGGGCATATACATAACTAAGGGAAGTTGAAGATAGAAAAGTTGAATTCATCACGGTTATCATAAAATTTTGTTGTTAGGTTACCATCAACTTCCTTTTCTAGTAAATTATCCAAATATGAAACAGATGTGTCATACTCTGTGGCGTCTTTTATTTCAAGTTTACTGGGATATATCGAATCGACATACAGGTATTAGCTTTACTAAAAAGCTTGTCTGACTTGAGCAAATTTATTTGTACATGAAGAATCAAGAAATGTTAAATACAGTGTAATCAACATGAGTCTGAGTCATAAAATGAATTCTTTTACTAAAAAACAAGAAAAGTTCAATTCAGTGGCATCAACATAAAATAAAACTTGACATAAATTTATTCTGTATACATTATATTACTTGTAAATTCTTTTTTCTCAGATGTAGGAACCGGAGGGGGTCCCCCCCCCCCCCCCCCATAATTTTGCCGATTTATATACATAGCTATTTTATGATTGTGTCATCTAAATCATGTAAATATTAACTTCTGATAACTTTTGTATGCTCTATAAGAAATTATTCCTTGATAAGAGTCTACTCTAAACTGAAAATTTCTGAAATTTCTCCCAACGGATCTGTTCATGGATACAAAGTTATAACCAGTGTTTTTGAAAGAAAAAGTTGCAACACATAAAAATCTAAACATCAATTGGTGAACAATTTTGATAGTTAAGAAATGTCTTATTTAAAAAAAATAAACGTAGCTAACATCTTTGCATTTAAGCAAAAGAATATTCAACATCTATCCTTCACTTTGATAGTTTTTTAACTATGTTATAGTTACATTATAGATAGTAATTGGTTATTGGTAAATACACTCACTATTTTCATATCTAAAAGTTGAAATGATTGATTGATTGAATGTTGTTTTACGCCCCTTTCGAAAATTTTTCACTCATGTAGAGACGTCACCATATATCGATGAAGGGCTTCAAATTTAGACCTATACTTGGCACTCAGGGCCATTGCGCAGTGAGGGTTCTGTATCGTGCCAACGTCTAACGTGACACGGGGCTTCGGTTTTTAAGGTCTCATCCGAACGACCTGCAACTTTCACTTCAAAGTGCCGAGCGCTTGGCGAAGGAACAGTTGTTACCTATTTTTTATCGACTCAGGTCAGTCGCGGCCATGATTCGAACACACAACCTTCCGATCAGGGAGCGAGCGCTCTACCGACTGAGCTACCGTGAACGGTCATGTTGAATTGAAGGCCACGAAGACCACAGCAACAAAACAAATCAAATCCACTAAGTAATTTGAACCACTGACCTGGAGATCTTTAATTTTACAATTATCGCATAGAGCAAAGTTGTTACATTTATAAATATAATATATGTTTTCCATGAAAAATGAGTAGAGGGGAATACCTTCAAAAATGCAGTTTATTTTTAATATACATGTATGATCAACGGGCTATAAAATAATCATTGTACACATAATAACAGTATGTCTCCAAGATATCCACCAGTAGAGATGATTTTATAAGAAAAGAATATAAATTTTCCTCATGACATTGTAAATTGATGTGTGGGCCTTATCATAAAATACTTATAAGCAAATTCATTTCAGTATGACTGAAATTTACTCATGGAGGCATTCTCGCAACCTGTCGGACAAGTTTTGCCAGAATTCCTCATAACCAGCGGGATCATCTGGGTATTCAATAAAACAGTTTTTCTTCAAAAAATCTGAAATCTTTTTGGGATATCCACCGCTGTACACCTCTGGCAGGAGGATAAGAATAACATATCTTAGCGTATTTCTGGCCTCAACACCTTCCACTCGAGCCATGTTAAGTTCATAATCTCTCCATGCAGACTTGAGGTATCTTTTTGAGACAATGCATACAGTTTTTCTACTCTCTTGAATAGAGCGTACTATTTGAAGAGATTTTGATTCTCCTGGTATGAATGATCTATCTCGGATGAGAAGCTGAAAGCCATTGACTTGTTCCAAGTTTTGAATCATATCTTTAATCACGAATTCCCTGTCTTTGCTAGTATAGGAAACAAAAGCATCGTACAGGAAGCGGTTGTCTGAGGAAGTCTGGAGCCGAAGATATCCACTTCTACGGTTCTGTAGCAATGTATACCTCAGGTATCGAATTTTCCATCTGTTTCTGTACAAAGCTATACAAATAACCAAACTTAACAGCGAACTCAACGTGATGGATACTAATATATAATAAGCTGTGTAAGATTTGCAATCCTTTTTCAGTTTTTCTACTGACACGTGTAAGTCATGAAACTGAAAGCTATTTTGACGTGCATTGGAACAATTATAGGTCTTGTAATTTTTAAAATGTGCTTTGTATTTTAACATCCATTCCAGAAAGTCCAGGTTATCACATGTGCACATCAATCTGTTGTCTTTCAAGTCGACAGATAAGTTTCCAACAGCAAATAACTTATTTAGTTCTTCCATACCTTGTTTTGATATTGTCCCCAATCTATTTTGCGACAAGTTAAGAACTGATAATTTCTTCATGTGCCCCATTTTCATATTCCAGTCAGATATTAGATTATGGGAAATGTCTAAATAAACAAGACTACAGAGGTTTTTCATAAACAAGAACGGCAGTGCTTGTATTCTGTTGAAGGAAATGTCTAAATGTTGAAGTCGACGTAAATTTCTAAGTATTTTACCATTCATATCGAACTGAAACTTTGAACCTAAAGAATTTTCAGCCAGTTTGAGTTTAAGTAAGCCAGTAAGATGTTCAGCAATATCATTTGAAAGCTTGGAACAAAAGTTTTTCGACATATCTAAAATAGTTATATTCTCCACGCCTTGTATGGGTCCAATCCATGAATGAATGACATTGTTTTGAAAATAAATTTCTCTTAAATTATTTTTCTTGAGTTGAAATTTTGTTACGCGTGTGTATAATTTGCTCGAGTTTGCATAAACAATTTGTAGATTTTGCGGTATGGATACAGATATCAAGCCATTATGATGCATTGAGGAAAGTGAGAGATTCTTCTGACAGCTGTAGTCATACGTTTTACTCGTACATGTAAATGCATCAACATTTTCTTCACATCTAGAGAGCGAATCTATAAAACGAGCTGGTGTGTTCCTTAAACTTGCATTGATTATTTCAACTCCAGTGAGCAAGTAATATTCAAGAACATATTTACCAACTATTAAACGATTTTCGGCAATGGAAAGTTTCTTAATTGTTTTTGGTAAATTGAATATGACACATGGATCAAACATTTCAATGCGATTACTTGCAATACTTAATTCCGTAATTAAAGTGTTATCCAAATTAATTAGATGATGCCGACGAAGAATATTACTTCTCCCACCTGGACAGGTAATCTGCTCAAACTTGAACACCTTTATGTTAGTCTGGTTTAATCCAAATGTCACGTTTGGAAGAACAGCTAATCCAAGATTTATATTAAATGAAATATCTAGGTAGTTAAGATTTTCTAGGTCGCTAAATGCACCTTCTTCAATATTTTTTAACACGTTTCTAGATAAATCGATAAATGTCAAGTTTTTGAATCCATAGAATGCAGCCCTGTTGACATTGTACAGCCGATTTTTTGATAAATCAATGCAGGTGACATTTTTGTTAATTAGAAGAATCTCTTTTTGCTTTAATCCCGAGCAGTTTGCTAGAATGTCACATCGAAGAGTTCTAGTATAATTGCATTTTGTATCCATACAGTAACTATTGGAAATAAATGTCACAGTTACACAAAATAAAAGACACAATACAAAGAAAACTGTGTACATCTTGTGAACTTCCACGTCTTGTAGATAGAATAGTTTATCAGGAATGGGGACTTCCATCCGGAAGTGTGTGCACATCTAGGACGAGACTATCAGGCTTGATTAAAAAAAACATTCTTGACGGGGGTCAGATAGCAGCCTACCACTTCTTTGTATGTAAGAGATATGAATGCTAAAAATCCCACTTTAATACGTCTTTTTTCAGCTTTATCAGCTGAATATCATTAACACTCATTTATATCTATAATTATGAGGAAATGTATCTCTCTTTATTGATGTGAATGATTAGATAATTCTTTATATAGTCCAAAATCTGCATTTGAGACTCAGAAAGATTTTAAGTTCATGTGATTAAATTAATGTATAGGACTCCAAAATGCGATGGGACTCCAAAGCCCAATGGTCACGCCAAAACCCGATAGGTCTGCCAATGCACTAAATTATGAAGCCGCGCAATTCCAAGGTCCGAAAGTTTTGAATAAAAACAAATGAGTATTAAAATATTTGATCGCCAAAGTGAAATTTTCACTAGAATAGAGAAAGTATAATTGTATCACGAGCCCTATTTCTCAAGTGGGTAGAGGCTAGATTAAATTCCTGTGATGGGTGCAAGACTAACTCTTATCAGTCGAAAAGTGTGTAACATCCTGGGAGGGAGAGAGGCTAGCCCCAATTAGTTGAATAGTGTGCAAGGACGTACCCTAAATCTCTTTGGTTGATGCGACACTAACCCAATTCAATGGAAAAGTGAAAGAGGTCTTACCCGGCTGAAATTATCTCTTGGATAGATGTGAAGCTCTCCCACAATTACGAGGGATCAAAAACGTTCGCGAACTAATTGAATTACTTCCATAAAAGAAATAAAATTAGGTTTCAGTGTGTAATATTTTTTTAAAAAGTAGTCCCCTCCGGTTTTAATGCACATCTGCCATCGTTCTGCCAATGCGTGAAACACGTGTTTCAGGCGGTCACGTGATGTTCTGTTCTGTTCACAGCAGCTAAAAGATTTCTCCCGAGTCGTATAATTATTACTATGCAGGTTATTTTTTATAACTGCATGGAATAATCCATTTGTCACAAATAAACAAATCTTGGCAAAAGGATGGGTGAATAAGGATATCTTTCACCAGAAAGAGCATGGTGACCATCAAAACCAAACTCCTCTGTCTTAGATGAGTCCTTTTTAGCTCACCTAAGCCGAAGGCTCAAGTGAGCTTTTCTGATCACATTTTGTCCGCGCAGCTATGTTAAGGCTTCCCGACGCTTTAAAATGCGCTCAAAACATAATATGTCATTGCGAAGTCGGTTTTGGTTTTAATTTATAAGTATTGAACCTTAGTACTTCCAATTTAAATAAAGGGTTTCCTCGGCTATCTATTAGCATATTTGTTATGATATCACATGAGTTTGTTGATCACGTGACGATCATTTATAATTTTTTGAAGTGTTTCATATAAATCGCTTCGGCGCAGCTGATTAACACAATAATTATTAACATTTTGTTATATAAATAAACTCATCATATCCTTGTGTATCCGAAATGTGCTTGGGAAAAGTCATAGTATTACTTGGATACAAAATATTTCCTGAGAAATTCAACTTACCTACAAATTTGAGGGTATTTTCCACACAATATCGTAATCTGTATTAAAACAAAGCCAACGCACATTTTTCCCAAGCAAGATTCAATTAGCGAACAACCTCTTCTTACAGATTTCCACAAAAATTCTCAGATTAATCCTCCTTAATCACCTGCGCCAGACTCTTTTATGCACACAAAATAAATTCTACCTCCATCCACGGGTATAAAACAGAGTACATTTCAAAAGTATATTTTTCATAAGCATTTTGAACATGATGAATTTAAATCAAGGGTAGGTAACCGGTGCATTTTTAAAATATTTGGACATATAAGACTTAAAAAACCTTTAACGACCCGTGAATTTTGCAATAGCTATCTAGCATTTTACATGCAGTTTGAAATAAAGTGTAAAGTTCATGACACTCTCCCCGTCATAACACCTCAAGTTTGCAGTGACCTGACGTCATTTTCCATTATGACGTCATATTTCGGTAGTTTAGAGATGTGAAGGCACTGAGTGCACTGTCATATTCTACGGGAAGCCTTAACCTACCTGTGCGTCGTCCGTCCGTCCGTCTGTCCGTCTGTCTGTCTGTCCGTCCGTCTGTAAACTTTTCACATTTTTGACTTCTTCTCAAGAACCACTGGGCCAATTTTGACCAAACTTGGTACAAAGCATCCTTGGGTGAAGGGAAATTTAAATTGTTAAAATGAAGGGCCAAGTCCCCTCACAAGGGGAGATAATCAAGAGAAGACAAAAATAGGGTGGGGTCATTAAAAAATCTTCTTCTCAAGAACCACAGGGCCAGTAAAGCTGAAACTTATATGGAAGCATCCTGGGGTAGTGTAGATTCTAAATTGTTCAAATCATGACCCCCGGGGGTAGGGCGGGGCCACAATGTGGAATCAATGTTTTACATAGAAATATATAGGAAAAAATCTTTAAAAATCTTCTTCTCAAGAACCACTGGGCCAGAAAAGCTGAAACTTATGTGGAAGCATCCTGGGATAGTGTAGATTTTAAATTGTTAAAATCATGACCCCCGGGGGTAGGGCGGGGCCACAATAGGGAATCCAAGTTTTACATTGAAATATATAGGAAAAATCTTTAAAAATCTTCTACTCAAGAACCACAGAGTCAAAAATGCTGAAACTTATGTGGAAGCATCCTGGGATAGTGTAGATTTTAAATTGTTAAAATCATGACCCCCGGGGGTAGGGCGGGGCCACAATAGGGAATCCAAGTTTTACATTGAAATATATAGGAAAAATCTTGAAAAATCTTCTTCTCAAGAACCACAGAGCCAAAAAAGCTGAAACTTATGTGGAAGCATCCTGGGATAGTGTAGATTTTAAATTGTTAAAATCATGACCCCCGGGGGTAGGGCGGGGCCACAATAGGGAATCCAAGTTTTACATTGAAATATATAGGAAAAAATCTTGAAAAATCTTCTTCTCAAGAACCACAGAGCCAAAAAAGCTGAAACTTATGTGGAAGCATCATGGTGTAGTGGAGATTCTAAATTGTTAAAATCATGACCCCAGGGGGAAGGGCGGGGCCACAATAGGGAATCCAAGTTTTACATTGAAATAAATAGGAAAAATCTATAAAAATCTTCTTCTCAAGAACCATTAGGCAAGAAAAGCTGAAACTTATGTGGAAGTATCCTGGGGTAGTGTAGATTCTAAATTGTTCAAATCATGGCCCCCGGGGATAGGGAGGGGCCACAATAGGGAATCCAAGTTTTACATTGATATATGTAAGAAAAATCTTGAAAAATCTTCTTCACAAGAACAACTGGGCCAGAAAAGCTGAAACTTATGTGGAAGCATCCTGGGGTAGTGTAGATGCTAAATTGTTAAAATCATGACCCCCGGGGTAGGGCGGGGCCACAATAGGGAATCCAAGTTTTACATTGAAATATATAGGAAAAATCTTGAAAAATCTTCTTCTCAAGCACAACTGGGCCAGAAAAACTGAAACTTATGTGGAAGCATCCTGGGGTAGTGTAGATACTAAATTGTAAAAATCATGACCCCCGGGGGTAGGGCGGGGCCACAATAGGGAATCCAATTTTACATTGAAATATGTAAGAAAAATCTTCTTCTCAAGAACAACTGGGCCAGAAAAACTGAAACTTATGTGGAAGCATCCTGGGATAGTGTAGATTTTTAATTGTTAAAATCATGACCCCCGGGGGTAGGGCAGGGCCACAATAAGTATTAGAAGGGGGTAAATCTGGTAAAGAACAGTATGGCCAGAGTTACTCAGGTGAGCGATGCGGCCCATGGGCCTCTTGTTATAATGTGTATCAAGTATATGCGCGTTCTCATTATCATATCTGATTTATTTAAACTCTAAAGAAAATGATATTTAAGGGATTTAATAATTATTTTGTTGTTAAGATATTCAACTATTTTTCTGTGTATTGGAAATTTCATGACAGATTGCTCAACTAAGGATATATCTCTTTCCCAGCATACTTTCAATGGACACCAGAACAAACATCATTTTTAACCATTTCCCTTCCATCAATAAAACAATCAATCCAATTAATGATTGAACTTTTTGCAAGTCCTTTGTTTTCATAAACCCTGTACAAATTATTATATGCTACTGCAAAGGAATTTCCAAGTTTAACGTTAATCTTTACAGCCGTTCCTTGCTCGAGTAAGACTGAGTCACCCATTTTTCGTCACGTCACTTACATATGACGTCATTTTCAGATTGTGACGTCATAAACATGAACAAAAACATTACGTAACATCTGCTATTTATAGAACATGTTTATGACTATTTGTGTGCCAAATTTCAATCTGATCTGAATTATGGTTTTGTAAATATAGAGATAGTTCGCGAACTTTTTGATCACCCCTCCTAGTTCAACAGTGTGTAAGAACTAACCCTCATCAGTATAATGGGGTGCGAGTACTTAACCTAATATCTCATATCTCATGTGAGTACAAATAATAAGTAAAATGAATCAGATTGTTCCTCTATTGTTAGATGTTATTTGTTTCTCTGCACCATCAGATTTTGGTGTTTCAGACCATCGCATTTTCGCGCAACGTGTCTCATAGGAAACAAGCCATCGTGCTTTGGCGCAGACCATCGGACTTTGGCGTCACCATCAGACTCAGATGATCTCAAACAGTAAAAATAATCATAAAAGTTCAAATGTTATGTACACCTGAAGACGGATTATGAAAACGCTTGTGTTGAATGAAATTTGGAAACTGTGCATTTTCTTTTATGATTATATATATATACACATGTATATATATATATATATATATATATATATATATATATATATATATATATATATATATATATATATATATATATATATATATATATATATACTAGTATATCCTTGAAACCTTAATTGAATGCTCACAGTAACATAAGTATTTTTAAAAGTTATAAGTTAACATATGTAGGGACAAAATTAAGTTCAATCAGTTTATGTAGATT